TATTTCTTGTTACGAGCAACCAGCTCCTGTTACGGCATCTAGCCCTTGTTACGGCATCTAGCCCTTGTTACGGCATCCGCCCTTGTTACGGCATCCGCCCTTGTTACGGCGTCCAGCCAACCCACTTCAGGTCGGCCAGGCGGCTTCACTCGTGAAGATGGGTTCGAGTCCCATACCGATCATCTACGCATTAGAGTATTCTCTATCTTTTCAGCGGGCTTGGAGGGGGGGGCTGCATGTTTGTTATCCATTCGGTGTGGCTTTTTTGGACGTATGGCGTTGGTAGATGAAGGGCTGATGAATACAAGCAACTGTTAAAAAAATTTGGACAGTGGTGGGCCTCATTTGATCATAACGCTAGCTCCAAACAGCATCGATAATTTCTACTGCCTATGGCCGAGTGTACCAGTTCATTTGGTGAATTATATTATATTCGTCCCTTCAAGCCAGCAATACTGCTGTCGCCGGTTTGGTGAATGAATCGCGAGGTAGAGGAAACGCTGGTGCCAAAGAAGCGGGCCAAGGGAACGAAAATAAGCGAGATGGAGGCCCCGATATGCCCACAGTTCCAGGTCCACGTTTGGCTTGGTAGTTGGCATGGGGGGGCGTCGATGACGGCATTGCTACCTCACGGGTTCTTGATCCAAGCTTGTGATTGCCAAAACGCCCAACATTTCCTCTTGACAGATTACAACCCGACAAAAACCTCTTTGAATCGCAAATTACCCCCTCATATACGCGACGAATTCCTCATCCGTCAATTGACTACTGCCGTCGCATTACAGCTTGTCGAACCCGATCGATCGAGCCTACGCAGCAAAACAGCCCACCACGCTTGACAAATGAGCTCCAACGCCTCCACGAGCGCCGTCGCCAACGGCGGCCAGCCCAAGTCGCGCGGCGCCCGTACCATGGACGCCGTTGGTGAAAGGGCCAGCGAGATCATGTCAGTTGCACACGCACCCGGGTAGGGGTGAGCTAACGCCCTCTCACAGCAAGGAGGACTTTGGCAATGCACGCAAGGTTGCGCTCGAGGCCATGAAGAGCCGCGCGTACCTCTACCCGCTCAAGGTAAGCAAGGGAGTTCTCTATTTCCATGGCGGCGCGTCTACACCCGAATATCCAAAAACAAGAACAAAAAGAAAGAGTCGCTAACCACCACCTACACACACATTCAGGGCATCGCCTACTTCCTGTCGCACCGGTCGCTGTGGAAGCCCTTTCTGTCGCGCCTCGGCCCCATCCTGGCGCTCTCGGCCGGCGTCGTCACGTCCATGTTCGCGTTTACGTACCTGCCGCAGCTGGCCGTGCTCGTGTTCGTCAACGGGCCGCTGGCTGTCTTCTCGACGGTGCTGCTAGTGCTGAGCGAGAGCTCGGCCATCATCAACGCTGTCTCGCGCGGATGGCTGCTGCAGGACGCCATCCTGGACACGTTTGACGGCACGCTCGTGGCGCGCGACGCGACCGCCATTGTCGGCGAGGGCCGCGAGCTCCGGCCCGGCCGCGACCCCATGGCCCGCCTCGGCAAGGTGCTGCGCAGCCCGTTTGACAAGTTTGGCCCCAAGGCCATGATCCGGTACCTGATGTACCTGCCGCTCAACTTTATCCCCATTGTCGGCACCGTGGCGTTTGTGTTCTTGCAAGGTGGGTTTTTGTTTTTTGTTCTGGGGGGCTGGGGGGATTTTTTTGCTGACGAAATTGGAAATAGGTCGCAACCGCGGACGTTCGGTTCATGAGAGGGTGAGAGCCTAGCGTTCCAACATCGATATCTTTGTACTAACGAGCCCTGTAGTACTTTCAGTTGAAGAAGTGGACCGATGCGCAAAAGTCGAAATGGGTCGACACGCATGTCGGGGCGTATACATCGTGAGCGCGCGCCGTTGGCATCCAAAAGTCTCTCTGCACAAACGCTAACCAAGGTTTCAGGTTCGGTCTTGTCGCCACCGTCTTGGAAATGGTCCCCATCGCGAGCATGTTCTTTACGTATACCAACACCGTCGGCGCGGCCCTGTGGGCGGCCGACCTGGAGGCGCACAGCACGTCGCTGACAAAGGAGACGGCGCCGAATCTGCGCGCGGCAGCCGACAAGGCAACGGAAAAGTCGGAGCTGTAAAGGATTTGGCGGCGAGATGCGGTCATGTATGCGGTGCATGATATTGTAACGGTCGCGTTGTCAAATCAGCTAGGCAGTTTGACGTTGCATTAGCAAAATGGCAAGGCGAAAATGCAGTGGAAAATATTTTGGGCAGAGGATGGATGATGCGAGTAGTGACGGGTTCATTTTATCGTCTGTGCCTGTGCTCATTTTCCTAATGATCTGGGCGCGTCATTTCTTTTAAAGTTTCAATTTGGCAACTTTTCTCAATTCTTTCCAGCCATCACCTACCAGGGGCGGATGTTCAGTAACACATATCTTGAGACTAAGTCTACTTTCTACTTCTCCTTCAATAAGGAGAGTATATGACTATTAACAAGCTATTCAAGGGCATTGTTCAATCACTAGGAGTGTCACGGATGAGATTTCACTCGGATGCAATAACATTAGCGAGCCCAGGCTGGATTCTATACGCGATGCGCTGTATTTAGGCAATGACGATCTGCCGGGAATAGCCATAGAACACTAACATCAATTTTCACTCGCTCGGCCGACTGGCAGACTGCCCAGCTGCACGGTGGCGTAGCGCAGGTGCTCGGACAAGCTGGCCGTCAGTCGACGGAGCTCGTCTTTGACCTGCTCGTCTCCCGCCTGCCCGAGCATGACTTGCGGCAAAGGCGCCAACGGGGCCGGCGGCTCCCGCGGGCGGTGCTGCGTGTCCGCAGCCCGGCGACACTCCACGTTCATCGACGGCGGCGGCGGCGCGACACTCCAGTCTAGGTCGATCAAGCTGTCCAGGGACTCGCCGCGGCTGTGGGACGCATCCGATGCCACCGCCGCCGCCGCCGCCTCGTCCCAGCGCGGCGGCGGCGAGCGGCTGCTTTCCAAAGCGGGCTGCGGAAAGAAGCTGGGAAACTTCCAGTCCTGCGTCGCGCGTCTCATGCTGCCATCGCCCTGCGGCTCCCCCGCCTCGCCCCATCCGAGCGGCCCCGGCCGGATCGTCTCCGTGCCCAGGTCTACGGAGCTAAACGCCGAACTACTGCTGCTGTCGCTGCTGCTGCTGCTGCTGTTCCCGCTGTCCACCACCAGGCACAGGTCCAGGTCGATGAGCGAGTCCCGGTCCGCACCATCCGCCGGCGCGACGCCGTTCTGCCAGAGCGCCTGCTGCACCGGCGCCGGCAGGAACTTGGCGTAGTACTGCCGCGAGTACTCGTCGTAGTTGGACAGCGTGTTGGAGTCGAACACTTTCTCGAGCGGCGACTTGACCGCCGCGGCGGCGGCGTGCTTGGGCGGCGCCCGCCGCCGCCGTCGATACGTCTGCTGCGGCTCCTCCCTACGGCTGTCAATCCCGTACGCGCCTGCCAGGGCCTCACTGTCAGACGCGTCGAGGACATGATCGACGTCGGCCTCGACCGCTGTGCTAAAGTTCCAGTCGAGCACGTCGTCGTCGTCGCTGTCCTCGTGCTCGGCGCCGCCATCGGACATGCCCGCCGCGCCGCCCTCGGCAAACAGCGAGCGCCGGTCGCCGCCCTGCGCCTCCCAGAGGCGGAACGCGCGCACGAGCTGCGCCAGCGACGCCGTCGGGAACCGCGTCTCCGTGTCCGCCAGGTACGCGTGTCGCCGCACCGCCTCCATGGTCGGCCGCGCCGCCGGGTCCCGCTGCAGGCAGCACGCCACCAGATCCTTGAGGCCCGCCGAGTGGGCGTCGCCGACCAGTCTCGGCATCTCCATCTGCAGCTGGCGGCCGAGCTTGGCGAGGCCCATGCCGAGCGCGGCGTTTGGCGGGCGGCCCGTCGCCAGCTCGTACGCCAGGGCGCCAAACGCCCAGACGTCGACTTCTGTGCCGTAGCCGTCGCCGGCAGCAGCAGCGCTGCTGCTCCCGGCGAGCAGCTCGGGTGCCATGGCGTGCGGGGTGCCGACGAGGGTTTTGCGCTTCTCCGCCGTGCCGCGCAGCATGGCGGCGACGCCAAAGTCGCAGAGCTGCACGCCGCGGCCGTCTTCGGCGACGAGCACGTTGGCGGCCTTGACGTCGCGGTGGATGACGCCGCGGGCGTGGACCCCACGCCAGCGCCGCGGCCGTCTCCCGCAGCACCGGCACGATCCACCGCTCCCGCAGCCCGCCGGTTCCGGTCCCGGCGGCGTCGCGCACCGGCCGCATCAGCGTCGCCACGCTGCCGCCCGCGCAGTACTCGACGACGAGCCAGACGGCGGGCCCGACGAGCAGCGCCTCGAGCACGTGGTTGACATTGGTGGCGTCGTCGAGGGCGCGCAGCGCGCGGAGCTCCGTCTGCAGGTCGGCGAGCGTGTCGGCGAGGCCGGGCGCGGCGGCATCGCCCCGCTCAATGTCAATGACTTTGACGGCGACGAGCGAGGGAGAAGACGTGGTGGTGCGGGCTTTGTAGACGCGCCCAAAGGAGCCCTTGCCAATGAGCTCGAGGAGATGATAGGGCGGTGGGGGCTGGGAGGCGGCGAGGGTGTGTGCGAGAGCGGCGGCGTTGGCGCGCTCGGCGTCAAGGAGGGCGCGCTTCTTGGTGGTGGAGGCGGTGGCCATGGGTATGCGAGGATCGAGGGGATTATAGATGAGTGGAGGTTACTTCATGGTTTATCTTGATGGGATAGTGTCGAGGTGGTAGTATTTTGGGGGTGCTAAGAGGTGCTTTCTGACGCCCCCTTTGTGCGACATGGTTGATGTTGGGTGTCCTATGGTGAGGGTGACGAGGTGAGGAGCAACACTCGCGAGAATTTGGGCTGACATAATCACAAACCAGGATCAAGCACAGCAGATTCGTACGGAGAGTCAATGAGGGTTTTTCTTTTCTTACAGCTCAAAATTTGGATACATTTCTACATTCACGGTCCTATTCCATCTGCACTCCCGCCGTCAGCATTCCCTCCCGGCGGCGAGTTTACCCCAGCTTGCTTCCGCCTTGGCCTTGGCACGATCGGCCGCCGAATCGGAGCGTAGACCGGGCAGTGCAGGAATAGCCAGCATCTTCAGAGCATGAAGAGAAGCCACGTGGTTCAGCTTCTCAAGATGTAGATCCGGTGGAGTCGCGTATCTGTCGTGGTGTCGTGCAAGTTGGGACCGGATTCGGCAGTCAACACAGGTGCATTCGCCGTATTTTAATACACATATACAGATTCTATGGCTTGAGAAACGCGACGTGCTGTGGAATGGAAACAAATGAATTCGCGCGTCATGAAATGCTATCAACAGTGTCTAGGAAAACAACAAATTGGTATCGTAACGTACAGAATTGAAAAAAAAAACAGGTCTAGTATAAAGTGGCAAAAATCGCGTGACAGGACGCCGCCATTCTCATTTGTACCGTTTGCAAGGCACCTGGCGAATCTTGCGCTTCACGTGGCCCTTTTTACCAACATGAATGACCAGGGCCGTGAGCTCGCCGCCGTTGACGCACGCCGAGTCGAGGCCAAACGTGTGCTTGCCCAGGGTGAGGCCGCGCTTGGCATCGTGGCCGTAGACGACAGTGTGGCGGGCCGCCTTTGGGATCTGCGCCTGCTGACGGTCCCAGAGCTCGGCCCACTCGCGGCCCTCGTGTGTGTCGACCGGGATGAGGTCCTTGAGGGTGAAGCTAGCGTGCGCGTCCTCGCCCTCCTCGTCTCCGTCCTCGTGCAGGTACCCGTCGTCCTGCCCGGGCGCCTGGTACGCGAGGTGGTGCCTCGGCGGCTCAATCAGCGAGCGCATATTCATCACCGCCCACGGATCCTGCTTCCGGGGCCGTATACCCGGCACCAGGCCCGCATGCACAACATACATGCCCAGCTCCTCGGCCGTGAGTATCAGCGGTCTCTCCGCCAGCCACCGGAGCTGCGCCGGGGACAACTGGCGCGCCGTCTTCCGATCGCGCTTCTTGCTGCGGCGCTCCTGGAACTCCGGAAACGGCACGCTCTCGGCGGCCTCGTCCTGCTCGGCCTCGGACGCCAGCGCCAGCAGCACGCGGTCCTCGTGGTTGCCGCGGACGGCCGAGGCGCCGAGGTCCATGAGGCGGGCGACGACGCGGGCCGAGTGCGGGCCCTTGTTGATCATGTCGCCCGCGGCGACGATGTGGTCCGTGGCAGGGTCGAAGTCGACGTGGGCGAGGAGTCTGTCCAGGGCGGCGTCCATGCCGTGGATGTCGCCGATGATGAGCAGACGACGCCCGTTGGCGGCAGTCGGGAGCAGGTGCCGCGGGAGCCGCTCGATCATGGTGAGATCGTCGAAGCGGTGCCGGTGGCCCTGCAGGTTGACGTCAGGGCTGCTGTCCAGCTGCGGCGGAATCTGCGCCGTCGTGTCCGCTGCTGTCGTCGTCGACGTGGCCCAGTCACGCAAGGACATGAGCGGCGCCTCGGTGTAGCAGATGAAGCCGACGAGGGAGGCGGCAGAGAGGGCGGCGACGAGCATGATGCTAAAGATTCGATGATGCCGCGAGGGCAGCTGCTCGCCGAGACGCGGCATGGTGGGCTGCGCTATGTGGTGTGTGCCTGCCGCTATGTCCTGTCGATCTATGGGTATGGTGTGTTTGGTTGGTGTTGTGGTCCGTCCAGGGCAGCCCGCAGAAGAGGTTGGAATGCTTGGAAGCAACGTGGAACAAAACGAAAAACGAAGAGCGTAATAATAAAGGATGCACCAGGGGCAGCCCTCTGGGTATTACTATGTGTTTATGGAGAAGAAGAAAAAGTGACAGGGCCGGATGAGGCCGCATGACAAGAATCAAGGGTCCACGCCAAGACCGCGCCAGCCAACCTTGAGGGTTCTGTCGTTTTGGGCCGTCAAGCCCGTCTCAGATTGGGGGCAGTTGGGCTGCGACCAATGATTCGGCTTCAGGGCCTCTTTTTCCAGTTTTAGCGACTGTTTAGTGGACAAGCAGCGTGCTGGAGGCCCCCAGCGACTCCCCTTAGCGGTCCCTTGCGCACGCCCCAGCCGGCCAACTGGCTTGCGACGCGACGTCGCGTGCCTATGTATGATGATATGATGATTACTGACAGAAAGGGTGTTTTGCATCAAGTCAGCTGCTGCGGTATGCACCCGAGCGGTAGGCCTCCAACATGCTGGTATGTGGTGTGTAGCCGTGTGTTGCAATCGGCATTGCCCTTCTTATTATTACCGGAAGCTAGGTTTGTGCCGAGAGTGTTGAATCGGTGGCGCCGTTCTAGTCATGTTTGTTTCGATACTATGTGCCAAGCTAAGAATAGGTATACGAAGAAAATATTTCTATAACCTTTTCTATACTGCAGTAGTATCGCAGCCCATCCTCCAACGCCAGCCAGACATGCACTGAGGATGGGGCCCCGTAGAATTTCCTCGCACCAAGAAGCGAACAGTACCTAGTTAGGTAGGTGACCTTGAGCTGTCTTAATTTTCACTACATGGTACATTCAATGCTACTACTATACGATTGTTCCCGTGATGTGTCGTAGCAAAGAAAAGCCCTCAAACTGTGGCGCTGATGCACAACAGCTCACTTCAGCCACGACCACGTCAGCCAGGTCGTACCACCACAACACACAACTCCAGCTACGTCTTTCCAATCCAACAGACGATTCATTATACAGAGTGAGTTGTGAATATACTTCTTATGCCGCGGTACTCTTGATATACGCAGGCAGCTGTCCAACCTGCCGGTCCGACACCCGCCCGCACCATGCTTCCATCGTACCATGATCGCGCGTAGAAACAACCATCCCAAAAACGCCAAACCGCAATGCCAAATGCCAAATTATCCTACACACACGGTGTCTTCACAGCACCGTCACTTTCGATTCGCCGCAGCCAGCGCCGCCTGCTCCGCCCTGTACCGCTCATTCTCCAAATCCCGCCAGTCCGGCGCGACCGGTTCATTACCGCTCGTTTCCTTGACCACGCCTCCAAAAGCCGACGAGCCCGCATACAGCTGATACCCTTTATCACCACCACCGCCGCCGTCGGTCGCGCGCGGCCCGTTGCTCGACTCGCTCTTGTACGCCGCCGGCATGTTGCCGCGGAACCGCTTGCGCATGTCCACCATGCCGCGCTTGCAGTCGCCGTACCCCTTCTTCAGCTGCTGGCACTTGGTCGGGAGTGTCGCGGAGAGCGGCTCGCGGAGGCAGTCGGCGGCCTGGTTGCGCTGCACCATGACGCAGTCGGATTCTTGGAGGCACTGGGCCAGCGCGTCGCCTGCGAATTCAGTTAGCAAGAGCCGCGGTTGATGCAATTCTCTGCAACGTACGCAGTTCTTGACAGGAGTTGGGCATTGTGATATTTGTGAGCTTTCTTGGCTGCTTGTCGAAAAGTACAGCTGTCGAGAGCATGTCAAATTCAAAGTTGCCTGGTTCGACTCCATACAAAATTCCGCGACATCTAATTGGCCAGATCACATCGCAATCCAAGCTAGGCCTAATCAAGCCACTGCCCGCCCTTCGTAGTTCTCGCACTCCATTCACATGCTTGTGACATCATTCTTTTCCCTTCACTACGATATCTCTGATCTCACCTAACGATGCGGCGCTAGCTAATCAATTCTTCCTCTCATTATTCAATTCCTTGAGTTACTGGTCATGGTGCCCTTTATTTCTTGTTGATCCTAATACTACCTCGTTTATTCACATCGCAATGGCTGTTCCCTTTATTGGCCGCCTTCATCCGTATGCTGGTTGCATCGCGTCAACAAAGTCGCACAGCTCACCCCGCTAACTTTTCATGTCGCAGTATGGAGTACATTGCCCTCGTCGGCTCTTTTCTCCTTGTGTCCCTCGAGGCCATTATCCGCATCTGCACTCTCGCCCTGCGTAAGTCACCCGTCTCCCAAGACACGTCAATAAACCCTCGGCTAACACATGACAGCCTCATTCCTCGTCGCCTACTTTTACCGCGCTTCCCGCCGGCTCTTTCTTCGCTTCTCTTCCGCCGAAGACAATCCCATCCACCGCAAGACCAAATGTAAGCTCATCCCCACTGCTCCCCTTTCGCACGGCCCAGCTAAACCCGTACCAGGCATTTCTGATTCTATCCGAGACGCGGCCGACTTTGTCGAGCTCTGCCGGTTTTGGGGCTACGAAGCTGAGGAGCACATTGTGCAGACCAAGGATGGCTACCTTTTGGGCCTGCACCGCCTTCAGTGGAGGCGTGTCGAGGAGGGCCAGCGCGTGAACAACGGCCCCAACTCCCTGCGGAAGCGCGTCGTCTACATGCATCACGGCCTGCTCATGAATTCAGAGGTGTGGGTCTGCCAGACGGACGAGGAGCGATGCCTCGCTTTTGAGCTTGTCAACCGTGGCTTTGATGTTTGGGTAAGTCGACTCCAGCATCGTGCATGAACTTTCACTAACAGTAACAAGTTTGGCAACAACCGCGGCAACAAGTACTCCAAAAAGTCTATCCACAGCTCACCCAACTCGACCCGGTTCTGGGATTTCTCCATTGACGAGTTTGCCTTTTATGACATCCCCGACAGCATCGAGTACATCCTCGAAAGCACCCAGCAAAAGAGCCTCTCCTACATTGGCTTCTCCCAAGGCACCGCCCAGGCCTTTGCCACGCTCGCCATCCACCCTAAGCTCAACCACCAGGTCAACGTCTTCATCGCCCTCGCCCCCGCCATGGCGCCCGCCGGCCTGTCTAACGGCATCGTCGACTCCCTCATGAAGGCGTCCCCCTCGGCTCTCTACCTCATGTTCGGCCGGCGCTCCATCCTCAGCTCCGCCACCACCTGGGAGTCCATCATGTACCCGCCGCTCTTTGCCCGCGCCATCGACACGGGTCTGTCTTTTCTCTTTGACTGGAAGACGCTCAACATTTCCCCCAGTCAGAAGCGCGCCGCCTACCCGCACCTCTACTCCTATACAAGCACCAAGTCGGTCGTGCACTGGTTCCAAATCATCCGCCACCGCTCCTTTCAGCTCTATGACGATGACGTTCACCAGCCGCTCCGCGTCACAGCCGCGCGCCGTTTCTCCAAGGTGGCCAAGTATCCGACGCGCAATATTCGCACCCCCGTCGTCCTCGTCTACGGCGGCAGCGACTCCCTCGTCGACATCAACGCCATGCTCCGCGAGCTCCCGCCGCAGACCGTCGCCACCGAGATCCCCCACTATGAACACCTCGACTTCCTCTGGGCCCGCGACGTCGACGTCCAGGTCTTCCAGCACGTCTTTGACGCCCTCGACAGCTTCACCGACGCCGAGCACACCGTCGCCGAGTACGACCACTACCACGTCGTCCGCTCCGAGAGCCTCTTGGGCTCCAGCCTGCTCATCGACGCAAATTGCACGCCGGACAGCGATCCCTCCGTGCTGGCGAGAAAAAGCCACGCCCACCTGCCCCACGTTGCCCGCGAGCCCGCCGTCCGCTCCCGCGCCGCCACTGTCGGCAGCCCCCCCTCGGTGCCCCTCTCCAGCGGCGGATCCGCGCCCCAGGCCGCCAAGCAGCCCGCGCCGGACACCACCACCCCCTCACCCAGCGCTGACAAGCTCCGCGGCATTGGCGTCCGTCGTGAGCCCTCGATCACCAGCCTCAACGTCTCCGTTCTGCGCGATGGCCGCGGGATAAGCCCCGGTCAGGCCAACGCCATCGGTGGCGTCGTTGCTAATCTCAGCGGCGTCGAGCGCGCCGACGTCGTCTCCTCTTCAGGCGAGGAGAAGAAGGCTGGCGAGAAGAAGACGCTGAAGAAGCGTCGCTAGGAGAAGTTGTCGTCGGATGTGTTTTGTTGCTTTCCGAATCCGGCTGCGTAGGCCCGCCATTCATGCTGTTTCTGCACCCAGAAGAAAGGACTGTATACAAGCTGTATTAGTAGCCTCATTATACCCCCCTATGCATATACGTTTCAATTCAATTACAGTCACATTTGTCTCTTTTTGAAATGGCATAAATCAGTAGTATATTATACGTTCTCGCCGCCGTACGCGACCACGTTGTACTTCAACCAAAACAGATGAGGGGGTATCGTATTGTAACGGATCGCCATCATCCATACTAATGAAAATATAGGGCAAAAATAATCCATTTGGCGCCAATAACGCCACTCAATGCTGCTGGTAATACATCTGCACTTTGTCTTGACCAGGATTCTACGTGTGGTTTGGAGGAGGGATGTGGCGGATTGCCCGCCTCAGAGGGCAATGTTGCCCAGGGGGAGAATCTTACTCGCGTCGCCATGGAACTTGGCTCGATACTCTATGATGCCTTGGCTGATTGTTTCGAAATCCTTCACCTTGCGGTCTCGGAAGTCGGTGAGCAGCTGGCGCAGGCCCTCAATGTACTCTTGCTTGCGCGATTCTTCGCAGTTCGTATACGCACCCAGCTGCAGCAGGATTTGGTCGTCTAGAAATCACGGCACACTCTGGTCAGTTCTCTTTTGCATCGCCCATGCCAGGCTGGCCTCGTCGGCGTCCTCGTCGGCATCGCTGCAAGGCTCCGGTGGAATAGAGAGCGAAAACATACCGGGCGCGCTCAAATCCGCAAAGTGCTGGAAGTGGCAGTTCTTCCCCCGAGGGCATGCATCGCCTGCCAGCTCGTCTGGACAGAGAGGAAGCATGGTGTCGATTTTATTACTGTATGTCATAGATCGCAGACCACCAGCAACAACATTGTTGAAATCTGGGTGGAAGCGATACGAGAGAAAGTATCGCAGTGGCGAATCGTAGGCTAGGTAGCTCGACTGTACGGGAGCACTATCCACATGCTCGGCTATGCTGTCTCGTATCTATCGAAGAGACGTTAGTTTGGATCACTCACCATTGTGAGAGGCGGCCACTACTTCTCTCTCTGGCTCCATGACGGAAGCAGAGTCTTGCCGTCCTGCAGATAATAATTCGGCACTAAGGGCTGCCACAGCCGGGTCGCTGTCAGTAAGCTCATGTGCGGCATCGGACGTCTTCAGATTAGGCGAGGAACGTCCAGTCTCATATGAGCTGGCCTCGGCTGGCTCATAGCCGTCAGAGTCCTCATCTGCTTCCTCTCCGCTGTTTTCTGCCTCTCCCATAGCAATATCCGCATCATCTGTTGTGACTGTTGCGACTTTCGTGACTGCATCACTAGTATCTTCGGGGACCAAATGGGACTCTGTACCTTGACCGTCTGGTGGAGCGTAGGCAGCGGCATTCTCTCCAACCACCTCAGGGGTTGATCGAGAGCTCGTATCTGTTGCAATATGGTCGGAGCTCAGCATTTCGATGGGATTTGCAAGCCCATATCCAGCTTTCTCCACGTTTGTAATGGATTCGCTAAGAATACGGGCCGACACTGGCCGCGAAGCAACAGGCTCAGGAGCTGTAGGCATGGAAACGTCGTCATCCGAGATAAAATCCAAGTCCTCCCGTAGCTTTTGCTCTTCCTCGAGACCTTCTTTAAGTTCCCTCTCGATATTCGCGACTTGCGATTGAAGCGCCTTCAGCCTCAACATCTGCTCTTTTCGGCGCGATTCGAGCATTGGAAGTCGTTCACTTGCAGCGCGGGATCGATTGATTTTTGGCGATCCAGGCGATGACAGTCTTGTCTCTGCCACTTTCGGTAATCCATGAGAGATGGCATCGTGGGTGATAGGAGCAGATAGATCTGGAGAGCTCGAGGTTGCCTCGTAGATATCATAGGCCCTAGGTCGTGGTGATGCGGCGGGCGAGGCTGGCGCAGATAGCTTGAGTCTCTTCTTTGCCTCGGCTTGTGCAATCTTGCGCTTCATTGCCTCGATCTTTTTGTTCATATTTTCCAAGTCGTGGCGAGTTGCCGGTGGCGTGTGTAACGATCCGTTTTTTTGGAGATGTGACAGCGTCTGCAGTTGCCTTTTACCTGGGCTACTAGGCGCATGCAATGCTGACATGCGTTGCTCAGGAGATTCCATATCCATGTCAATGTCGTCTTCGTCATCGCTAACATCAATGAGAAATGGCCGCGTCGGCCCAAAAGGCTTTTGAAAGGGGCCGTCGGAAGCGCTCACACTCCCACTATTTGGCGTAGCGAGAGCTTTCGCAGAGGAAGGGATCGACCCAACAGCCTCCAATGTTGATGGTTGCGTAGCCTGATCACTCGCTACCGCCACCTGTAAAGCCGAGGATAGCTCCGCGGGACCAGCTCCAGGATTGGCGCTGGGGAAGCTCTCTTTTTGAGATTCGAGTCCCGATGCCGCCAGTGCTGTTTGTCGATCAAGCTCCTTTTGCTTTTCTTCCCGCGCCTTGAGCAATGCCTCCATCTTTTGTTGTAAAAGTTTCGACTTTTCCGAAATTACCTTCATGTTTGGGGCCTTCGCAACTTTGCCAATGACAGTGGCTCCTCCAGACTTTATAGTCTTTGATCCTTTCGCAGCGAGAAGTCTTGCAATACGGTCTTTGCGAGCCTCTGATTTATCAAGTGGTGTCTCTGTCGTTGTAATGGTGTCCTTAGCCTTTGAAGCAGAGGTGCTGATCTTCTTGGAAGGCACTGGGGCAGTAGCGGGGGCTGCAGGTGCGGGTTTTTGCGCAGACTTGTCAAGGCCCAAGTCACCGAAGAGCTGGTCGAGGACAGCTTCGTCGATTCCCTCATTGACGTAGTCCTGATAACCAATGTTGGCTGCTCGTAACCGTAAAATGGCATCTTTCGCTTGGTTTCTAGCTTCCGCGATGATATCGTTGGGTTTCTTTTGCAATTCTATTGTGTCGGGTCCAATGATGCTAGCTGAGTCGCTGATGGGGATGGGCATGAGCACGAGGGCGGGTGGCGATGCATTCATCTCCCTCGCAGAGAGAAACGGGGAGTACGAGCCAGAACGATCGCGCTCTTCATCGCTCATCTCAACATAGCTAGTGTCAATCTCCGGGGCAGGCTGCTCCTGCTGAGCTATATGTATCGGCTCTTGCGCCTCGTACAGGTCCTCGAATTCGTCTGCGGTTATTTCTCCTTCCTCTGCCGAGTCGTTGGCGGCTGTGTTTGCGCGCTTCGCTTTTTCGTTGGCAGATATGGCAGTTTGCTTCGCGTCTGGTCTCTCTGCCTTGCCAAAAAAACCTAGCCCAAGACCAGGAATGGTCTGCCGGGTATGGTCAAAAGGGTTCATAGTCACGTCAATGTGACTTGCGCCCGCCCTTGCCGAGCCTGCTTCAACAAACGCGTTCACTCCCGACGGCAAGACATCTGGCGCACGGCCAGGGTCGTATCCTGAATGCGCCATTTGAACAAAATGAGGTCAAAGCTGGTGTTTTCCCAATCTCCTTGCGGTATGAAGGAACAAGAGCAGTGTCTTGAAGCACCAGAGTGCCGAATTTTGATCGCACGAAAAACGCCGATTGTCCTACCTCCTGAGAATTTCTGACCGAAATTTGCCACTAGAAAGTCCAGTTCCAGGCGCCAGCACGTCTTCAAAGCGTGGTTGCGGCAATCATGGAGTTATTGGGGTTTTGATAAAATTAGGCATGAATCGTGGTGGAATATGTACCCGCAGCTTTCTCCAAATCGGGGCTAGCGTCTTTATCCCTCGCAGCTGACCGCTGAGTAACGTCACGTCACGTGCATGCCATTGTTTACTTCGGTGGGGTTTTACCACAGCAACGGTCCTATCAATGGCCGCCGATGAAGCCGTTGGAGGGCCGTAAAACACACAAACACTCGGTCTTTTCCATAATCAACACGGCAAGTGACAACGTTGTCTTCGTGGGCCAAATTTTTTGGTGTTTTTTCATTCCCTCTTTGCCCTATATCCAGATTGACTGACTGTGCCCTCTTTGAAGGCTCACCAGGCTCAGAGACGCGCTTGTTGATACGCGTCCATGATCTGACTTTGAGCACATCAACAGCTGTTGGTGTAAATGAGACAACAAGATGTCTTTTTCGAATAATGTGCCGACCCAGCGGCGAAACCCGTTCTCGAGGACAGATTCCCCAGCTCCTGTGCAGGCCACCAACGGCCGGCCCAAGTCTGCGCTCTTCTCTCCTCAAGCGCCAACCAGTCCTTCACATAAGCGATCTCACTCGGGCAATCCCCTGGGAGTAGTATTGACTCCCCCAGCCATGAAGAATGGGCGACGCGACTCACGAAGCGGTACGCCCACTTCGGGTACGTTTGCTCCCGCCTTCATTAAGACAGAGGAAATGATGCGGGGTTACGACACCGTCAAAGGTATCGAAGGCGAGAACGATTTTTCTGGCAAGCGCTACGTGTGGCTTAAGGATCCCGTGGAAGCTTTTGTCAAAGGATGGGTCGTACAAGAGAAGCCAGATGGCAATCTGGTAGTCCAGGTCGACGACGGCAGTGTAAGTGAGGCAAGTTCCAGACAGCCGGGCCATGCTAATAGGGAATAGCAACGAGAAGTCGATCCCGAAGCTTTTGACAAAGTCAATCCTACTAAATTCGACAAAGCCAACGATATGGCGGAGCTCACGCATCTAAACGAAGCCTCTGTAGTGCACAACCTCCGCATTCGATATCAGTCCGACCTCATCTACACATACTCTGGCCTCTTCCTCGTCACTGTCAACCCGTACTGCCCATTACCTATATATACAACTGAGTACGTCAACATGTACAGAGGAAGAAGCCGAGAGGACACCAAACCACACATCTTTGCTGTTGCAGACGAAGCATTCCGCCATTTAGTCGACGAAGGGTCCAACCAGAGTATCCTAGTTACCGGTGAATCTGGAGCGGGTAAAACTGAGAATACAAAAAAGGTCATTCAGTATCTTGCCGCGGTGGCTCAATCCGACTCGTCTATTAGAAACCGCAGCCAACGTACGAACCTTTCCCAACAAATCCTCCGCGCCAATCCAATTTTGGAGGCTTTTGGTAATGCGCAGACTGTTCGAAACCACAATTCATCCCGTTTCGGCAAGTTTATTCGAATTGAATTCAATCGCAACGGCGCAATTACCGGCGCCCATATCAACTGGTATCTGCTCGAAAAGTCCAGAGTCGTTCGCATTAACAGCCAAGAACGCAACTACCATATCTTTTACCAGCTTCTCAAAGGCGCAAACTCCCGTATGAAGAAGGATTTCATGCTCGACGGTTGCGATACGGGCGACTTTGCCTACACTCGCGACGGAAACGACAGCATTGTTGGGGTCTCGGACACGGAAGAGTGGGACACACTTATGGAGGCTTTCCAAGTCATGGGCTTTTCCGAACAAGATCAAACGGCCATTTTGCGGACCATCGCAGCTGTTTTGCACCTCGGCAACGTTCAAGTCATGAAGGAGAGTCGAAGCGCAGACCAGGCTTCGCTCTCTGCCGAAGCGAAGGCGCAAGTGAACAAGGTCTGCAAACTTCTCGGTGTCCCCGCAGAGTCCTTTATTCGTGGTCTATTGCATCCCAAAGTCAAGGCCGGACGGGAATGGGTAGAGAAGGTGCAGACCCCCGATCAGGTCCGTCTCGCTCTCAATGCCCTAGCCAAGGGTATCTACGAGCGTGGATTTGGTGACTTAGTTTCTCGAATCAACCACCAGCTTCACAGCTCCGGTATGGGACCTGAGGAATCGCACTTTATCGGAGTACTGGACATTGCTGGGTTTGAAATATTCGACCACAACAGTTTTGAGCAGTTGTGCATCAATTATACCAACGAGAAACTGCAGCAATTCTTCAACCATCACATGTTTGTGCTGGAGCAGGAAGAGTATGCCAGGGAGCAAATTGAGTGGCAATTCATCGATTTTGGTCGTGATTTGCAACCAACCATTGATCTCATTGAGCTCTCCAACCCAATTGGTATCTTTTCCTGCCTGGACGAAGACAGCGTCATGCCCAAGGCTACCGACAAGACTTTCACTGAGAAGCTCAACTCTTTGTGGGAGAAAAAGACTCCCAAGTACCGTCCCTCCAGACTTGGCACGGGCTTTATTCTCACCCACTACGCTGCCGAGGTCGAATACGACACTGGGGGCTGGCTTGAGAAGAACAAGGACCCTCTAAACGATAACATCACACGGCTGCTTGCTACATCAGGCGACAAGCATATCGCTGCATTGTTTGCCGACTGCGCTGATCCGGAAGATGAGATTGGCGGAGGTCGCAACCGGGTCAAGAAGGGATTGTTTCGAACCGTGGCTCAACGCCATAAAGAGCAACTTCACAACCTAATGACCAAGTTGCATTCTACACATCCTCACTTTGTGCGCTGTATTCTTCCAAATCACAAGAAGCGCCCCAAAACATTTAGCAACCTCCTTGTGTTGGACCAGCTGCGCTGCAACGGTGTGCTTGAGGGCATTCGAATTGCTCGAACTGGTTTCCCTAATCGCCTTTCATTCGACGAGCTTCGCCAGAGATACGAGGTTCTCTGCTCCAATATGCCCAAGGGGCACCTGGATGGCCAGACAGCAGCTACTATTATGCTTGAGAAACTTGCTCTGGATAAGGCTCTCTATCGCGTTGGCCTCACAAAGGTTTTCTTTCGTGCTGGCGTGTTGGCCGAGTTGGAAGAGCAGCGTGATGCGCTGATTACCGAAATAATGTCTCGGTTTCAATCGGTTGCGCGAGGCTTTGTCCAGCGGCGCGCGGCGTATAAGCGACTATTCCGAACAGAGGCTACGAGAATCATTCAGAAAAACTTCAACGTGTATCTCGATCTGGTAGAGAATCCCTGGTGGCATCTGATCGTTAAAATGAAACCGATGCTTGGATCTACAAGAACTGCTTCAGAGGTGAAGAAAAGAGACCTCATGATTCAACAGCTAAAGGAGACTATGCGCTTCGAGCTGGAGAATAAGAAGAAGATTGAGGAGGAGCGACGTAACTGCGTGACCGAGATTGCCCGTGTCCAGCAAACTCTGGAGAGTGAACGAGCTCTCGCGTTGGACAAGGAAGAAATCTTCAAACGACTTCAGCAGCGGGAGATTGAGCTTGAAGAGAAACTTTCTGGTGCTTTGGAGGATCAAGAGCGTCTGGAAGATGAGCTGGATGAAATCATGGAAGCCAAGGTGCGCGCCGAACAAGACCTCGAAAGGCATCGTACCCAACTCGCCCAAGCCGCGAGCTTGATTGCGAAATTGGAGGAAGAAAAGAAGACGCTTTCGACAAGGTCTGCCGATCTCGAGAAATCACTTGAGGATATTTCACGAAAGCAATCCGAACGTTCGGAGCAGGAGGAAACTCTTGAGCGCGAGATCAAGATGCTCCAAAGTCAATTGTCCCTGAAGGACCGCAAAGCACAGGACCTGGAGAGCAAGCTTCTCAAGATCGACCAGGAAGTGCAAGTCAAACTCCACGAGACGCAAAAAGAGCTAGACTTGACCAAAACCCGCGAAGCACGTGCGGTCCGAGAAAACCAAGATATCCAGAAGCAGCTTGCACAACTTTCCAAAACTTCTACCGAGTACGAGGATCTCGTTCGCGACAAGGAAAGCGAGCTGTCACTGCTCCGCAGCGACAAGAGACAATTCGAGTCTGAGCGCCGTGGTTTCGAGACGCAAAAGAGAGCCTTGACTGAAGACTTTGAAAAGACAACTACCAAGTCTCGCGAAATTCAGGCCGAACTCGTTGCTCTGAAATCCAAGCACTCTCAGCTCGAAAGAGAGTCCGAGGATGCCAAGAATCTGCTTGAAGCACGCCTATCTCAGGATGCCCAAGCCGATAGGACCAGACAACAGCTCGAATCTCAAATCAAGGGTCTTAAAGAAGAGCTGTATCAGACACAAATGGATCTCAGCCGAGAGAGGCAGTCCCGTGACGATGTCTTGCTGTTGGGTGAGCACAAATATGACGCTCTCAAAGACGAATTCGACAACCTCAACGAGTCCAAGATTATCATTGAAAAAGAGCTCTATGTGCAGCAGGATTCTCTACGCAGACACGTGGAAACTCGCAAGGTTGTTGAGCAGGAGCGCGACGACGCCCGCGTCGAAATCCGCAAACTGCGGGCTGCCAAGGCGGAGATTGAAGAAGCCCGTGTTCTCGCCGAGGAGAAGCGTGAACTTCAAGCATTGAAGACCGCAAAGGATCGCGAAGCCAGCTTGCAACGAGACCTCGACGCCGCTCAATCTCGCCTTGGTTGGTTTGAGGATGAGTGTGCCAAGCTTACACGTCACATTGAGGGCCTGAACAAGACCATGCTTGCTTCTGGCGAATTCGGACTGAAGCATGACCAGGCCAAGGACCGCATGGAGCGAGAGCTGACGACTGTCAAGAGCCGACTTGCAGCATCCGAGAATGACAACCGGGCTCTCTTGAACAAGTTACAGCAGAAAGGTCTCGAGATTGCCCGGTCCACCTCCAAGGCCAGCGATGCGTCTCGCGGACAAGTTCTATCTCTGCAGAAAGAAAAGACAAGATTGGAAGAACATAATGCTGTTCTGGACAGGCAACTAGGCGAGGCTCAAGTAACCATTGCTTCGCTTGAAAAGAGGACAGAAAAGCTGCAGCTCGACCTGGAGGATATCAACCATGAGATGGCGCGAGAAGTCAAGACTAGCCGCAACGCCGAGAAGGCTTCGTCCAACTTTACTGCACAGCTCGCCGAGGCCAACCGTACGCTAGAGTCTGAGCGACAGCTACGCACACAAGCTCAGTCGACCGTACGGGCACTGCAGGCTTCTCTCTCGTCCCGCGAGCACGAGCTCGGGGATCTTCGCGAACATATGCTCAAGATTCTCAAGACCGTCGACCCTGAAGCCACACCTCCGCCTATGGATGGCGCGAACGAGCGTGGCATTGCAGTCAATTTTGATCTGGTTCGCAAGGTTGAAGAGCTGCAGCAAAACTTGCGCGCCCAGACTGCCGCACGTTTCAACGCTGAGTCTCAGTTGTCTGACCTCCGGGTCTCGCGCGGTGACCCCAACCGCCCCAAACTGGAGGAGATTCATGTCAACGAAGCCCCGTTCAACGGCTCGCCTACGCAAAGGAAGATCAAGGCGCGACGGGTTTCCAACACAACGACACCCACTCGCCGCAACCAACAGCCAGAGCTTGAACTCATGGACTCTGCTCGCTCTGATAGGACCGCCGACACTGCGGTGCTGAACAACCGCATGGACTTGAAGGCGGAAGTGGAAGAACTTCACAACCAGCTCCAGCTCAGAGACATGCAAAATCGCCACCTGCAAAGTCAGCTTGACCGCGCAACTCCCGGCCCTGAGAGTGGCTATGACGATCAAAGCCCGTCCATCCGTCGCATGCAAAAGCTCGAAAAGGCCAACAGTCGCCTACACGACCTGCTGGACGACTCTTCTCGCAAGGTGTCGACTCTCGAGAAGAATATCCGTACTGGCGAGCTATCCCTACGCGATATTCAGACGCGGTCCCACGAGGAACTACTCGATGCCTTCAACAACCAAGAAGAGTCGCGCCGCTCTCTGCTCCACAGTCATAAGGATGCTGTAGCAGAGCTCACAGATGTAAAGTCTCACTTTGATAAAATGCGCCACGACCGTGCCAAGCTCGAGGTTGAGGTTCGTGATGTCAAGTCAGACTTGCAGGAGATGACGCAGGCCCGCGAGCAAGAGGCACAGAGTCGCAGCCAACTGCTCCAGGAGTATACCGACCTTCAGATTCGCCTTGATGCAGAGACGGCTAGATTAGCAGACGTGACTTCCAGCCTCGAAACATACAAGTCGCGTGCAGACGAATACTTTGGCAAGCTAGAACAAGCCGAAATCACTGTCCTGAAGGCCACCCGTGCCGAGCAGTTTGCAAAGTCCCAGGCCAGAGAGGCTGAAGACTCTCTAGCCGAGACCATGGCTGAGCGCGAAAAACTCGATAATCAGATCGAGGACCTGCAGAGACAGAACCAGCGCATGGATGAAAAGCTTGAGGACATTTCGACTGACCTTGAAACGGCACTGCAGTCCAAGAAGCGTCTTCAGCACGAGCTTGAAGATTACCGCAGCCAACGGGCCATGGACATTGAGGACAAGGAATCCAGCATGGAGCAGACTCGCAAGAAGTACCAGGCGGAGTTTGCTACCCTGACCAAGGAACTTGATATTGCCCGTGAGGAAAAGCTGTACAAGCAAACTGAAATTACCAGACTTCGAGAAGAGCTCGACGACCTCCGATCCAAGTGGGACGACGAGGTTCTAAACAGCTCTACTTGGTCCAAGGAGAAGGCTCGTCTGGAGGCAACCCTGTCTGATGTATCGGCGTCGCGCGAGGAGGCCACCAATGCGCACAGCGAAGCTCAAGGCAAGGTCGTATCTCTGCTGTCGCAAGTACGCACGCTGCGAACCAGCGTCGATGAGGTTACCGCCGAACGCGATCGTCTAATGCGCGAGAAGCGCAGTGTGGAGAGCCGCCTCGAGGAAGCCAAGGCTGGCCTCGACGGTCTCGCCCGCGGCGATAGTGCATCACTGCGAGATGCCGCCAACATGGACAAGGCGGTCCTTGAGCTCAAGTCAAACTTGGCTAAACAAGAGGACATTGCCACTGCTGCCGTCGAAAAGATGCGTCGTTCGGAGGCGCTGGTCGTCGAAATGCAAAAGGAGGTTGTTACTGAGCGTGAGAACAATGCGGCCGTGCTCTCCCAAAAGGCAGCCGTGGAACGCACGCTCAACGAGGCACAGCTAAAGCTGGTGGATCTGGAGACGAAGGGATTCTCGAGCGCCAGCCAAGATATTAGATTCTCGCACAAGCGAATTCAAGAGGTATGTCGATTTTGGTATTCGAGTGGTCGTGTACTAACTGTTGAAGCTTGAATCCCAACTTGAGAAACACGAGACAGAGAAGTCGCAGTCCCAGCGATCAACACGCAACGTCGATCGCGCTGTCAAGGATCTGCAGGCCCAGGTTGATCGCAAGGACAGACAAAACACGCAGCTTTCGGAAGACGTCAGCCGGATGCGCGAAAAGGTCGACAAGCTTCTCAAGACGATTGACGAACTGCAAGCGTCCGAATCGGCGACGCAGCTGTTGACACGGCGCGCCGAACGCGACTTACGAGAGGAGAAGGAGAGAACACTGCGCCTGGAGCGCGAGGTGGACAGCTTGAAGACGTTTAAGAGTGGCGGGAGCCTCAGGAGGGGTGGGAGCATTCGCAGCAGGATCGATGCTTTGGGGGTGATTGAAGACGAAGAGGAGGATTCGAGCCTGAGCCGTGCGCCGAGCCTGACCAAGGGTTTTATCTGATTGTATTCCATAGGCGTTGTTCGGTGTGACGGCGACAGGCTGACGGGGCCACGGGGTGGCGTCATGTATCTATGGGTAATGATATAGTGTATATGTTAATATGAACTTGTATGAGTCTAGCTAGTACGTGTACGTGTCAAAGGTCAGCTTTGCGGCATTCAGGCAACCACAGCGTCAGAAATTGTAGCGGTCTAGAGTATGGAAGCTGCACAAAGTTCAGTACCGGTGTAAGTCGGACATCCGTGTGACCGTGGAATGGGAGCAGCCTGATCTCGGAGAAGTCACACGAAACGTCCAAGGAAACATGATAACGCAATAGGAATATGCGGACGTCTCCAAGCTCGACAATCTGGTGGAGAAGCGTATGCTTTGCTGCTTCAGTCGCGTCAGAGAGACTCTCGCAAACCTTCAAGACCCGGAAAAGAATCTCGACGGTCTTGAGACCGCGGATTGTTTATCCTACCGGCAGCGCATTAGTCAGAGTCGCAGAATTTTTGAAGACTTGGTATGAGTTCTACAAGAACACCATTCAACGCCCTTCGTACGAGAATGTACAGTGTTCAATACAGGTGTTGTATTGTGCAGGACACATGGCGGAAACAATACACAGTTGATAGATGATGTTAGATTTCAAACACCGACTCTTAAATTTATATATTAAAAAAAAACTATGTCAAGTGTAACAGGAATATTTTCGGCTGCTGTTGCTGTTACGCGTACAGGCATGCAATGCAGTATGTAGTAGGCTGTGGCAGATTGGCAGTAATTTGCCCCAACGCGCGGGGCGTCGCGGTCGGCACCTGCTGCAACGCAAACTTGCTCCTTGCACTCACCTGACAGACGCCCTGCGACAGAACCATCAAGCAATTCTTCGCCAGCTGGAACTTGGATTCCAACAGATATTCATTCAGCATTGACAGCTTGGACGGTATCAAGCCGCGCGGTTCTCTACTCGACCGCTACCAGTCGCGTCTAGCTTGGCCCATCAACACCGCCTGCGCAACGCGGGAGTGTCGCCTCCAGCAGCCAAGATGCCGCAATATCGCATCGGTAGGCCCTTTGCGCATAACCATGTACTTTCGGCGACTAACAGGTTCAGAAATCTCCCCCAATAACCGTGCGGGGTGCAAGGACACGGTGTGCAAGAAGGCCGCCGTCAAGATTACCAAGGGCGAGATTCGATTCGGCACCTGGGTTGAGATTGACGACCGCGGCAGCTGGTCGTGGAAGCATTGGTAAGTCATCCACGCTCGCTCAGTCACTCACTGCTCACAGAACAGGGGATGCGTGTCGGGCGAGCAGATGCAGCGCCTGCACGACCAATGCCGCCAGGGCAACGATGAGTGGGACTTTGATCAGCTCGACGGCTACGATGAGTTGGCGTATGTCGCCCTCGAACCGCCAAAAGTCGTCCGCTAACAAGTCTAGGGCAAACGCCGAGGTGCAGGAAAAAGTCAGTCGCTGCGTGAAGCAGGCGCACATTGACGCCGAGGACTTCAAGGGTGTACGTTGTGCGTCGTCGCGATTTTTTTTGTCTAGCTAACTCTGTCAGGATCCTGAAAAGAACAAGCCGGGTGAGAAGGGTATCCGTCTCACTGCCAAGGAAAAGGCTGCTCTCGAAAAGAAGGATGAGGTATGAGCCCTCGCTCGATGACGCGCGCCATGCTAACTTTTCAGGAGGACCCCAAACCCAAGAAGCGCGGCCGCGCCAGCACGAACAAGGGCAAAGACGCCCAGGCTGACGAGGAGGATGAGGAGGAGCCCCCTGCCAAGAAGAACAAGGCCAAAAAGGCCAAGGCGGGCAACGACGATGGCAATGACGAATCACCGGCTAAAAAGGCCAAGGCTCCTGCAAAGAAGGCCAAGGCCAAGGTTGCCGACGAGGACGACGATGATGCTCCCCTTACCAAGGCCAATATCGGTCGCGGCAGAAAGGCCAAGGTTGCCAAGGACGAGGAAGAAGAGGAAGATACTTCTGCTAAAAAAACCAAGACTGCACCTCGTGGCAGAAAGTCCAAGCAGGTTGAGGAGGAGGCGGACGACGAAGATGAGGCTCCTCCTGCTAAGAAGGCTACCCCTAAGAGCACCCCCAGAGCCAGACAGTCCACACAGGCCGAGGAGGAGGAGAATGAGGAGAATGAGGCTCCTCCTGCCAAAAAGACCAAGGCCGCTCCCAAGACTGCTACCAGGGCCAAAAAGTCCAAGCCAGTCGAGGAGGATGAGGATGAGGGTGCGGAGGAAGAAGAAGAGAAGCCCAAGCCCAGACGCCGCGGCCGCCCCTCCAAGGCCTAGACTGCAGAGTATTATCAAGGGGTTATATCATCAGCAGCGAGGCTTTTGTTTGAGAATGGTTGCATGGTAGGAGTCGGGTGTGAAGGACTGTTGTACTACAGTGGATGGATGCATGGCAGCGGAGGTGTTTGCTAGAGGAGTTGATTGATGTGTATTCGTTGGAGCTGTATCACTAGGTGGTAGTGTCCCGGGTCACTAATAAGATGTTTTGTTGCTTCTTTTCTTTGCTGTGTCTTGCCGATCAACTACTTACCTAGGAAACTACCTAGTCACAACAGTGTAGGTAGACGGCGGCGTCATTGCCCCACCATGATGAAGCTCCCGCTCCAAGCTCCCTCCAACATCAACTTAACATACACACAACACACACAACACACACCGCAACCATGTCCAACGTAAACCCCGACCCCGGCAATGACGCGCCCGCCTTTATCCCCCTCGAGGCGAATCCGCCGCTGATGACGAACCTCCTACACAAGCTCGGCGTGTCCCCCGCCCTCGCCGTGCACGACGTCTACTCCCTCACCGAACCTGAGCTGCTCGCCTTTCTCCCCCGGCCCGCCCTCGCGCTTCTGCTCGTGTTTCCCGTCAGCGCCGCCTACGAGAGCCAGCGGCTGTCCGCCGACAGCCTGGTCGCCGAGTACGCCGGCCACGGCGCCGAGCCCGTCGTCTGGTGGCGGCAGACGATCCGCAACGCCTGCGGCATGATGGGGCTGCTACATGCCGTGTGCAACGGGCCGGCAAGGGAGTTTATCGGTGCGTGTGCAAGCGAATGAACAGATTTTGCGGGTGTGTGTGTGCGCGCTGACAAAGGGGGGGGGTGTTAGAATCCGGCTCCACGCTCGACGAGCTCCTCCAGAAATCGATCCCGCTCGACCCCGCGCAGCGCGCAAGGCTGCTCGAGCAGACGCCCGCGCTGGCCGCGGCGCACAAGGACGCGGCGCAGCAGGGCGCCACGCAGGCCCCGGACGCGCACGACGACGTGGACCTACACTATGTGTGCTTTGTCAAGGGCAGCGACGGCGCGCTGTACGAGCTGGACGGGCGCCGCAAGGGGCCGATTCAGCTCGGCGCGCTGGCGTCGGACGAGGATGTCCTGAGTGAAAAGGGCCTCGCGCTGGGGCCGCTGAGGTTCTTGGAGGGCGCCGGTGGTGATTTGAGATTCAGCGCCGTGGCGCTGGCGGGCACCCTGGACTAGATGCCCGCGCTTGTGAACGGATGAGTGCGGGTCGCACGGAAAGGAGACTCGCAAGATGATGTTGGGGAAGGGATGTATGGGACGTGTACAATGTGGGATATGTTATCGTTGGATGATTCATGAGGATGATAGGGTGAGGTGCAGACTATACAGCGGCTGGCACGGGTTGTGTGCTCGCGGGAAACAGCACAACAAAAAATACCACTTGTGGAATACTTGCGCTTTGTTCTGAATGAAGTCGATTTCTCTTACCTCTCTGTTTGTGTTGAACAGTTAATTCGCACGCATATGTGATGGGTAGGTTCGCGGCGATGGGGACTTTGGTGTATCTTACATTTCAGCTACTCTCAACTTCAGCCTTTTTTTTTCCTTTTTATCAGACCATCAAATGACTCTCTGTTTAACAACCCACTTGCGCATTTCTGATATCTGCCCATATCACCCTGATAACAGGTTAGGATAACCGCCCTCGGAATTCTACAAACGCCCTCAGCAGCCTGCAGACGCTCTTATAAGCCTGCAAACGCCGCAGATTTTGTTTTCGTTTTTGTTTTCTCGCGTTCTAAGCCCCTGCCGCTTACTTTGGAGTTTACTTACTCTGTTTCCTCTCTCTACACTCAACACTCAACAGTGCCTATCAATTGCAAGATTATTGTGAGTATTTATCGTCATTTAATGTATGCTGCTACTTACTTCTCGCTACAGAAAATCTAAGGATATCCATCATGGCTCCAAATCCGATACTTCGTTTCGATATTGAAGATATTCGCGGTATCAAACCTGGACACGAAGTCTACGCGGATCTCGCTGTACGCTACTATCAGACGTACGCCGCCAATATGTCTCTTACCGAGCAGCATCTTTACGTAAACAGAATCAAGCAGCACGACTACTACTGTTGGGAGAGCAAACGAGGACGTACCTGGGATAATAGGATCTACCGCCGTATGAGAAATCGAAATAACGGCACGCGCTGGGTGACGAAGGAGATTCATTTTGTCCATTGGATGCTCTGCAATGTCACAATTGATAACAATGACTTGAAAAACAAGATTGCCAGCGCTATGAAAGTGGCAAATGTGACGAACAGGATGGCTGACCATGCAGAGTACGTGAAGCAGCACCCGACCAAACTTGAACCCGCTGAGCTCCCGGATATCATTACCCTCGCTCAGATTTGGAAGGATGGCAAGGGCAAGGGTAAGGATATGGACCTCACTGAAACTCCAGCAAAGAGTAAAGGTGAGAAGGGCGGCAAGGAGGGCGAGGACGCCATTGAAAAGGAGAAGGCCGACAAGGAGACGCCCAAGAAAGTGAAGGCCGACAAGGAGGCACCCAAGAAAGAGGATGCCGACAAGGATACTGTCAAGAAAGAGAACGCAGACAAGGAAAAAGAGGGTACTGGTGTTGACGAGGGCTGTGACACTCGAATTACCGATGACCTTGGCTACTTTTTGTATGACGACTGGGGCAGCTCCTCAGACGATAGTAACAGCTCCTCATCTTCTGACTCGTCCTCCAAGTCAAAGAAGAAAAACCCTCAAGGCAGCGAGTACGGCAAGGACTGGACTATTGATGAGTCGACACTTCGCAAAGAACTAGTCAAGGCGGCCGAAGACCAGATAAAGTCCGTACAGAGCATATGGAATATCGTCCCGGCTATCGTCCAGAGCCAGGACAAGAAGATCATCCAGCAAGATGTCCAATTTCGAGCCGCACAGCTGGAGAGCCAGCAGCAGAAGGACAGCATGAAGGACAAAATTATCGGGGGCTTGCAGACAACAGTAAACAACTTGAGTCTCGAGTTTGACCGGACAAAAGAAGCTCTAGAGGAAGCTTTGGAGAAGCAAAAACCCCTGCTCGACAAGCTGGCTGCGCATGAGCTAAGAATGGATGGAATACTGGGCACTCTAGAGAGAATGAAGGACGAAAGGACCAATGCGCCGGCAAATTTAAAGAAAGAAGTCCAAGATGCGGTTTTGACCGCAGTGAGCAAGATGCTCGAGGAAGCAAGGGGGGTGAAGGAGGCAAAACGGGCTCAAAAAAGGAAACGGGAGTAGAGCGAGCGAGCAGGATATGTCCGCTGCATTGAAACCTGTGCAAGATGTTCGCTGGAGTTTGCTAAATCACGAAGAGAAAATACTGGTACTGTGCGATGGTAATGATTCTTCAGTTCACTGTCTAGGTAATCAATCATGAGCGTACAGCAAATCTAGAGCTAAATGCAAGCACGGTGCAATCTACATCAACCAGCCGTGTTGGTTTGCCGCGGTAGCGCTGCTTGCAGCAGGTCATTGCACTGTCTTGACCTCTAAAATCCATCCACCTCTTGCTCATTTTAGCCAGCCTCGGGTTGCGAAGAGCCTCATCGGGTATCTGACTGGCATGTTTACTTCTCGTTGCTGACGCGTTGTACGAGAGAAGCAGGAAATTCTGGCCTTGCCCGCAGGTCGAGATGCCGCGGAAAAAAGACTGCCCTCGGTTACGCTCTTGCGCAGGGAAAAAAAAAATAAAGGCATGGAATCAGGGTGCCAGCAATGAACATGCTCAAAAGCAGACGAATACCCGTCGACGCTGTTGCCCCCCAGGAGCTGGTGCATGGCAAAGCCCTTGAACGAGTTCCCCAACCTACTTGGGTCGAATGTTCGATTGATATGTTTCGATGATGGTTCTACTCCCATTTCTGCAGAAAGATATGCGCTACGACTCGGATATATATTTATTGGCGGCAATTTGGTGGGCCAATCGAGATCCCGGATCGCGTCCAAGGCTCGCGCGCCGCGCGTAGCGGGGAAACGTGAACAGACGTAAACACCCGCGCCCACGTCGAGGTCTAAAATTAATCTACAACGGCAATATGATGTCTTGGCCAGCACTCAAGAGTTTTGCTACTGTACCTCTGAGGCAGGTTTTAAAAGTACTCCCTCCTGTGAGGGATGTAGGGTGGCGCGCATTGTGATGTTGGCGGTAAGCGGTACACAAGGCAGCAAGACGACAGCTTCGGCAACATGAATCACTGGAATTGACAAAGAAAAAAGGCACGCGTTGGACCCTGAAGACTCTCACACACGAGAGTGGGTTTCAAATACCATCAGTGAGAAAGATAGTCTTTCATCCCGTCTACGGATACTTATTAGGACATGCACTACGACGACGGTGCCATGTACAGGGTAGCTTTCGCGTGAAATTTCCCACAACACCCTGCGCACATGCTGCCACGGCAAGGACCAATTTTCGAGATGGATGAGGTAGTCATGAGACACGAGTACAAATCGTGCGTCTGCCAAGGAGACCCGTCGCCAGCCGCAAGTGTTGCGCCATCGCAGCGCCTGCACCCGGTGCCATTATTTCTCTCGTCAATTCATCGGCTGCCATGCGAAAGATTTAGATTATAGGCACCTGAGTAAATTCACCGTTAGCCTGAGTGAAGAAAGGTAGCCTCACTAGCTGTAGGAGCGGCCTTGGGAATGTGTCTCTGTCATATACTTGGCCACATACGATTCCCCCGATCTCAACGACGAGACAGCACACAGATTCTTAGTAGCATACAGGAACCGTATAGATCCTGTTCAGTGACCCATACCAGTAATAGCGTGACGGGTCTAGCGAGGAGTGTGTGTGGAGTATCAATAGTTAATATGACAAAATAACGCGGCCACCCGTCACCAATTAGGGCGTCTTTCGATGTCCATGGTTTGATGGTCTAGTGTATGTCAAATCTTGATAAAAGATGCGCATCCCCTCAGCCTCGATCCGAGACTTGAGAAGGTCGCATTATCATTAAACCAGAATCAATATGCTAATCCCACATTCAGGGTATGATTCTCGCTTAGGGCACACCCTGAGTTTGTTAAAAGCAGCTTGCGAGAGGTCCCGGGTTCAATCCCCGGTCAAACCCCTTCTTTTTCTTTTGCTGTTCTGATAAACGTGGGATTTGAAGCTATCCCGAGTTTTCTTTGTCTTGGCTCACGCGGGCTACTGGCTGCGCTTGGCGCTACTGGACACTAATATTCTAATCTTTCTTATTCTATTGACCTTTCCTCTATTATTTAGTTTCTTTATAACTCTAGATCCTTTGGAGTTGCTATTTTCTCCACATCTGGTCGCTCTTAACACTAACTTCCAACCACAAGCGCTTACTTTTGGTATACATTGATTGTAGGTCCATGTTGCAATCTATATTTGCCCATGCGTCATCAATCCACCGCTCAATACCTTTTCCCTCGACGTTTCCGTCTCCTCCAGCGCCAGCTTCTCCCCGCTGCCAAGAATCTTTTCCCTGTGCCACGCGCCCACAAACATGCCCTCCGGGTCCGCCTCATCGCGCACGCGCCTAAACTTGTCAAGATTGTCGCCATACAAGGCCTCCACGTCTTCCCGCTTGGTGTCAAAGTTCTTGGCCCAGTGCGGGCGTCCGCCCATGTCCCTCATCAGCCACTCAAACGCCTCGTAGTAGCGCGCACGGCACGGCGGATCGCGCCAGTACGGGCGATACAGCGTGGCGTTGAGGTACAGCGTCGGCCCGTCGTCCACCGTCGGGTCGAGAAACGGGCGCGCACCGGTGGACAGGCTCGTGTCGCTGACGCGGACCTCGACCGGCGCGTGCACGTACAGGCCGTCGGCGGAGAAGGGAATGTTGTGCGGCACGTAGTCCGGGTCGTCGGGCGTCAGGTGGTTGACCCAGGCGCTCAGCCGTCGCAGCGCCTCCGGTCCCCTGGCCAGCGGCAGCGCCCACTCGTTGACAAACTGCGAGTACAGGCAGTTCATGAGCAGCGCCTGGCGGCTCGGCTGCACGGCGCCCGTCGTCGCGCCGTTGGCGAAGCCGTACTGCATGCCGAACACGAACCACTCGACCCACGGCAGGATGCGCGGCACAAACTGCGCCGCGTACAGTAAATTGTGGTAGATGTAGTAGCCCAGCGCGCCGTCGTAGTAGCTCCGGGGCGGGTCGCGCAGCGGCTCGTCCGTTTTTTCAGCCCTCCAGACCACGGCGCGGCGCGTGTACGGGAACCACCAGACGCGCACAAACTCGGTCTGCGTCCAGAGCGCGCCGTCCCACGCGGCGAGCATGGCGCGGTCCGTGTCGATGGTCTGCTGCCAGCGGAGGGTGAAGGCGGGCACGGCGCGCAGCGTGACCTCGGTGATGATGCCGAGCGCGCCGAGCGACAGCAGCGCGGCGCGGAACAGGTCCGGCTTGACGTCGGCCGAGCAGTATTCCGTCGCGCCGCTGGCGAGCGTGATGCGGAGCGCCACCACGTCCTCGGACACGAGGCCGTGGACGGCGCTGCTGCCGTGCGTGCCCGTCGAGATGGCGCCGGCAATCGACTGCTCGTTGATGCTGCCGAGGTTGGGCATGGCGAGGCCGTGCCGCGCGAGCGCCTCGCCCAGCGCGTACAGCCGAATGCCGCTGTCCATGACCACCAGCCCCGTCTGGGCATCGACGGAGCGTATCTGGGCGAAGCGGTCGAGGTTCACCATCCAGCTCGAGGTGCACGTCATGTGCGACGGCGAGTGCCCGCAGCCCGTGGTCACGATGCGCCGGCGGCAGCGCCGCGCGAGGCTGACAATCTTTTCCACCTCGGCGAGCGTCTCGGGCTGGATGTAGAGCTCGGGCCGCGATGAAAAGGTGCGCGCCCACGTGCGGTGGACGTGGCCCGGCCGGGCGCGGAAGGCGACGCCGTCGGCTGACTGGCCCTCTTGCATGGCAGCGACGGCGGCAGGATGCATCGCGGGCTTGTTGTTGTCTTTTCTATAGGTCGTTTCGCGTGGATCCGCTCGTGGTCAACAGCGTCTGCCGGCGACAGTGTTGGGCTGGCAGAGGCAAAGTCGGGTGGTCGCAAACTCTCGGCGGGTTTTTCTTCCAATGCTCGGCCTACGGCGGGGTGTCGGGGTCATCGGTCTTTATCCCAACTGATAAGGCTTAGCTCGAAAGTCGCCATCGTCTAATACATAGAAATCCATGCCCCAGAGCTTGATCGTGAGCGGCCTCTTTTAGCCCTCTTATGATCGGTGAAGGGTGGCGTCGCAGCTGCTACCCTCGCTTACATCAGAAGCTGAAATTTAGAGACCATGAAATCTGCATTGATCCTGACTTTCCTCTAGCATGTGTGTGATGACAGACGGCCCGGAAGCCGGAGGAACGATCTCCCGTTACCTAGTATATCTTATATACTATACTACTAGTTAGAACTTATATAATATAATAACTATATAAATAATAAATGGCCTTGCCACATCTTTGAATATACAAGTTGGCGAGCTACATGTTGGCACCGATCACGTTGAAAGCAAATAGTGACGAGTCGTCCCGTCTGCCCAACGATTTTCTAGAACAACGGAATACATCCGCTTACATGCCAGCCAGGCCCTTTAGTAGAAGCCAGGGTTTTTTCAGAGGTGCTGTAGTTTTTTGCATTATTATTAGTGGCATTTCCTGAGGTGTCGGCACCCCCCAGTACATTTTTAAGGGGCTCCCAGCTCTCCCGCCGTGGCCGTGACAATACACCACCACAACCTAGCAGACTTTACTCTGCGTCCCCTATTGCTAGCCCTTGCCGCTACCCTGTGCTACATCTTGCGATCCATCATGCGGCTCCAGACACCTTTTGATGATGTTGCCTTTGAGGCAAGTGAGCGAACGGAAGAAGAGTGGCGGAAGCTCATGGTTCAAGAGTCCACTCTCATGGCCATCGGCCGTTTCATCGTGAAGCATCGCGGTGGCGGTACTCCTACCCTCTTGTCCATACTGAAGGCCGGTTCGTTCAATGCCCAATTTCGTATGGAATTTCAGGACGGTGGCTCAGCCGTGATTCGATTCCCGAAAGCTGGAACGACAATGTTTCCTGAAGAGAAGATACAGAATGAGGTCGCCACGATGAAGCTAATCCAGGAAAAAACAACTATACCGGTCCCTTTCATCCTCCATTGGGGATCAAGAGAAGAGAGTCCCCTTCAGCTTGGGCCATTTATCATCATGGAATACGTCAAGCATCACACCGATATGGGGCAGGCACTTAACATTCCAGGGCGAAGTCTCCAAGATCCGCCATACCTTGACCCTAATATCAACCCGGCCAAGCTTGAAAAGCTATATCGACAGGTGGCGGACATTTTACTCCAGCTGTCTAGGCTGCAATTCCCAGCAATAGGCGCTTTCGAAGAGACTGACGACTGTACATGGGAGGTTACCCAACGGCCCCTATCAATGTTTATGAATGAACTCATACGGCTTGGATCCTTCCCGCGAGCGAAATTACCCGAGTCTACATTCCAAGCCTCGCCAGACTACTTTGAAAGACTTGCGCAGTTACATCTTGACCATTTAACCTATCAGCGAAACGATGCGGTTGAGTCGGAGGAAGATGGTAAGCGCAAGTTTATCGCCAGGCATCTTTTCTATAACCTTGCACGGGAGAAGACGCTTTCGTCAGCAATGCATAGCTCTGGACCTTTTAGGCTATGGTGTGATGATTTACGGCCTTCGAATATCCTTCTTGATGAGGATCTACAAATCGTCGCCGTCGTGGATCTGGAGTTCTCCTATGCCGCGCCAGTCGAGTTTTCTTTCGCTCCACCGTGGTGGCTGATTCTTGAACAGCCTGAATACTGGCCATATGGGCTAGATGATTGGGAAAAAATATTTCAACGCCGCCTGCCCACGTTTTTGAAAGCCATGGCGGCGAGCGAAGACGCGGCTATTGCGTCTGGCATGCTGTGTGAGGACCAGCGCCTTTCCCAGCATATGCGTGAAAGCTGGGATAATGGCGACTTCTGGGTCATGTATGCGGCGCGAAAGAACTTCGCCTTTGATGATATATTTTGGCGAAGACTGTATCCGCGCTTTTTTGGACCCGGGGTACCTGAGGATGCGTGGAAAGAGAGACTAGAGATGCTCGACGTGGGTGATTTGGAAAAGATGGAAACTCTTGTTGCCAGAAAGATGAAGGAGAGGGAAACAAGGGAATTGGTGTGGGAACCGGATGAGCCGCCTGGTCAGCGAGCGTGATTTACGAGAGCTCTACATGGTGCCACGAGCGGCCGGAAATCCACTATTGATGAGTTCTTTTGCTTTTCTGTGTGTGTCAGCTTGAAGAGCTTCGGGAGCTGGAAGCAAACATGATGAGCCTTGGTCGGGATGATGCGTCGGGACAAGTTAGCATGTTGCCTAGCAGAGTAGCACGCCGAGGTTCCCGAGATGGCTTACGCCCGTCAATCCATCATCATGGCCCCATAGCTAGGCTTGCTGCCGTCCGCGTGGTCTTTGAACACAGGTTCGGCGTTGATATCTGAATTGTCAAGGGAGAGGCCGTTTTGAATAGCGGCTTGGAGCTATTTCGCAGCCCTCTGGGCTTGGCCTGGGCTTTGATCTCGCCTAGTCAAAGAACGAGAGGAAGAAGAGAGGGGGACACACATGGAGAAGCCAGAAATGGAGTCGCCAGCATTTTAAAGATATAAATCACGAACAAGTACTCCGTAGAAGGAAATAAGAATGCTATTATAGGTATAGCGGCCGATAGAGGGCTCATTCAAAGGCCATTTTCGGCCTAGATCAATGGGGCGTGACCGGATGGGTTGAAGAAGAAGGCGATGGGGCACCGCGGCGACTGATGGCGAGAACATCGATGATGGGCTGGGCTAGCGCGACGGCTGAGATCGTCGACTGAGACCAGCATCGGGAAATTCAACCAGGAACAACTGGTGTATGTAGAAGCAAAACGAAGTCTGTGAAGCGAGGACCCGCATGTTTAGAACATAGTACAGAATACGCCGACCTATTTCCATCTACAAAGCCCGGTTGGCTAAGTGGTATAGCGTCTCACTAGTATTAATACGGTGACATGAGAAGATCATGAGTTCGATTCTCATACTGGGCTACCAGTTCGCGTAATGCGTTTCGTTTTTTTTTTCGGTTTGCTACGCACCAATTATAACTGATCTCTTTCTTATCTACCATTTTTCTCATCTTTTTTTCTTAGTACGCGGTTTTCCATTTTACAATTTGCTAATGGCCTTTAATCACTTTTCCTTACATCGCTACTCCGTACACGTTCTACTTTTTCGACTCCTCCTCCATATCCCGAGGCGTCGCAGATCCACTCGTCTCCTCCGCCTTGACTGCTTCGCCATCGATGACTTGCCGCTTTGGCAGACGGCCTCCACGCAACATCATGGTCGTCACCTTGATCAGCGTCTCTCTGCTCTCCCATAGCGGGTAGATACCGACGGCAAACAGCGATAGGAAAATCCAAGCAATACCGACAGCCACCCAGCCCGTGAAGAAGGACTTTGAAAAGATGTACCGCGACCCGTACATTGGCATTGGCCAGAGGACCAGGAGCGAAACCGCGCTGAACAACGTTAGTATCAAACGGGAGCAGTGAGACTTTGAAACTTACAGAATGGCAGTGCCGGTGACTGAGGTTTTGAATGCGCGTGACAACTGTGCCTCTTCCTCTTCCTGGTTGACCGCGCGGCGTTCGACCTCTCTTTGTGCCTCTTCGCTCAGACCAGAGCTTGCAATGAGCTCGTGATCGTCGGCCTGTCGAATGAGACCCATCGACTTCCAGTTGTACTTGTCAAAGCCAAAGACGACGGCGCAGAGTGAAATCATGACCAGGGGCGCAAACAAGGCAGTGACGTTGCCCGCCAGCATCGGGGTGTTGGAGCCGGTGCACTCGATTGTGAGAGCGCCGCACGACTTCTTCGCCGTGACCAGCCAGGCCGTAATGGCACAGGCGGTGCCAAAGATGGGGGACAGCAGGGCCGCCATCTTGTTCTGGCCATCCCAGAGCAGGGTCAGCGTGGCCGGGATGACGGCCGCCGAGATGAGGACGCCCATGAGTAGGTACAAGTAGCCCATCGAGATGCCGTTGAACCAGAGGCCGACCGAGATGCAGCAGATGATGGTCGCATAGACGACCATGCACATGTGCGAGATCCAAATCAGGCTCCTGCCGCCGGCGTTGGGGCGGAAATAGGTGCGGTAGATGTCGTAGGTGAAGATGGACGACGTGGCGACCAGCTCCGAGTTGAAGGACGACGTCACGGCCAGAAAGATCATGACGAGCGTCGCGGCGGCGCCGCCCTTGCCCAGCAGCGCCACGGCGGCATACGGGAGCGCCAGACCGGCCGACACGTCCGCCTCGCTCATGCGGCTCGGGAAGGTGGGGAAGCGCGGGCTCGACTCGAGCGCCAGCGCGGCAAGACCCATGGTCGTGGCCGTCACGAGCGGGATGGGCAGCCACGCGAGCCCGCCGATGATGTACCCCGGCAGGGCGTGCGCCGGGTGGGCGGCAATGGCCTTGTTGAAGTACCCGTTGTCGAGGAAGACGGTGCCAAAGTTGCCGACAATGTTGATGATGAAGAAGGTGACGCCGCCCGAGGAGCGCATCGTCAGGTAGCTGCCGCCCTGGTTGCCGGCGACGGGGTGCGCCTCGGCCGCCTTGACGAGCAGGTCGTAGACGATGGACGGGCTGCCGAGGATGTCCGAGGTGGCGTACGCCGTCAGCGAGAACATGATGATGATGATGAGCACGACCAGGCCGTGGATGTAGTCGGTGATAAAGGTGGCCTTGAGGCCGCCGATGAAGGTGTAGGCGACGACGGGGATGGGCATGAGGAAGATGGCGGCGACGGCGCTCACGCCGGTGAGGGCGTTGATGGTGGCGGCGCCGCCGGCAATCAGCATCAGCGAGACGAGCACGTTGGTCATGACGCCGTACAGGATGAAGACAAAGTGCGTGGCGGTGCCGTAGCGCGCCTTGACGGCCTCGAGAAAGGTGTGCGCGTTGGGCGCGCGGCGCTTGAGCGTGATGGCGAGCGTCGCGAAGAGCAGGATCTGCACCGTCGCGCCCGACGCGTACCAAAAGGGGCCCGACACGCCGTAGCGGTAGCACACGCCGGAGCTCTGGAGCAGCGTCGCGGCCCAGGTCCACGAGGAGACGACGGCCGAGGCGACCAGGCCCGACTTCATGGTGCGGCCGGCCGTGGTGAACATTTCCGAGGTGACGACCTCGTTGTTGTAGCGCTTGAGGATGTGCGTGAGGGTGATCTGCGCGGAGTCAGCATGGGCCGCGCCATGGTATTGGGAAATGATGGACGGGCGTTACCATGAAAAAGGCAAAGGCAAAGCCAACGCCGAGGATGATGCCATAGCCGTAGCCCTGGCTCAACGCGGGAGGCACTGTCAGTGTCATGGTGGCAGGATTCACCGGCGAAGATCTGGTATTCTTGTGAAGAATGGTAGCTCTGTGTTTCTGTACCTTCAAGGCCAGGCCAGGGGGCCTTCTTTTTATAGACGCCGCCTCCGAGAGATGGAGAGATAAGCTTCCTTTCCGACGGACACCATCAACCATTCATCTTTTTGACAAGCCCAGCCGCCACGACGAGACAGGGCGTCGAGAGCCGACATCGCCCGACACAACCTGCGACAGGACAAAGAAATACATTCGAGTTATCGGCGCCAACAAAGCTTTGCGGAGGATAAGATAACAAACCAGCCCGGGGGGAGGGGGGGTGGTTGTCGGCCTTGCACTTCGTCGGTCCCATGTGGGGGCCGGCTGGGAACTGATAAGAGAAGGATGCAACAAGATTGAGTGGTGATGCCGGCATGCATAAACCAGCCAGCCACCAGGGCCTGAAAAAAGGAGAAATTAAGAAAAAATAAAAATAAAGACAAGCAATGGGCTAAATGTGTGTGTTATGCGTGCTAACTAGCCCACTGTATAATTTTGATTTTTAAAGTTGGACAACATGTGAATGCTGCTAAGTTACGGCGGCGGCGAGGCCAAGGATCCGTTCTGTGGTTGGTGGTGGATCCTGGGGTTTTGGTTATCTCTGCGCGCTCTGATACGCAGGAGATAGAGACGACACTGACAGGGATCGAGCGCTAACTGGCCGAATTTCAAGACAAGGACAAAGACAAGTGCTTTTTTGGATAAAAAAACTCTATTATGCTATGGAAATGGAAAGAGGTGCACTGGTGATGGTGACAACGCCGATATGAGATGCTGCGAGCTGTTATATAGGTGGTCGTAAAAGTAGTAGTGTACATGGCCGTCGGTTCAACGACGAGGGCGATTTCACTTTCTCTTGGGCGGGGTACTTTTCGCTGGCGTTTTGGCCTCGTTTAATGTCTGCTTCTCTGATGCCGCCACGGCGCGGGTACGGGCGCGCGTGGTGGTCTTGGCTGCCTGTGTCGGCTGCTTTTGCTCCTTTTTCTGATCGGCCAGCTCTTTCTTCTTCTTGGGCTGGGCGGCGAGCGCTCTCTTCTTCTTGGCCTGGGCGGCGAGCTCTCTCTTCTTCTTGGCCTGGGCGGCGAGCTCTCTCTTCTTCTTGGGCTGGGCGGCGAGCTCTCTCTTCTTCTTGGCCTCGGCGGCGAGCTCTCTTTTCTTCTCGGCCTGGGCAGCTCTCTCTCTCTTCTTCTTGGCCTCGGCGGCGAGCTCTCTCTTCTTCTCGGCCTCGGCGGCGAGCTCCTTCTCCTTTACAGCCTGCGCGGCCAGCTTCTCTTGCTTCTTAGCCTGCACGATGACAGCCCTGTTGCTCCTTCGAAGTCCCACCGGCGGTGTCGAGTTCCGTGTTCGCTTCTGGACTCTGGCGGGAGGCTGCCCGCACCGCGGCGGCGTCTTTATTCTCGCCGACTCGGGATTGGCTGCTGTTTTCGTATATTGGGGAGGCGCCTCGGCAGGCGTTTGATCTTGCTCATCGTCGTTGCCAGGATGCCAGGGACCCCAGTATGCCGACGGGGGCTCACTGGGAAGCTCCGGCTCGATGCTCTCATATTCCTCGAGCTCCGAAGGCGACATATCCTGCTCAATGTTTTGTCCGTGCTGGAGATATGTTTCTGGTTCGGGCGACGGGCTTTCATGCCGCCATTTCCAGCCGGGACGGCCACGCATCCGAGCCGTATTCCACTCCTCCTTCCAGATGCCACGCTCCTCCCAGCGAGCGCGTGTAGTTCTGTCGTTCCACCCGGCCATGCAAGCTAGATTTCTCTGCACAACCGTCATCCGCTCCCATCGTACGCGCTCTTCTATATTACAGAGTATAGACTGGAACCAAGGCCGGGACGTGATGAACGCCTCCCTCTCGTCATGGGAGCTCTTGCTGGTCAGCCTGCTGCGAGGCGGCGGGACCGGGCACTCCCCCCGGGGCTGCCCGCGGCGGAGGCGAACTGCGCGCCAAACGGGATGCGTCTCGCCGTGCGGTGCTTCTTCTGCTTTCCATGCCCACGCCCAGGGCTGGCCGTTTTCGTCTCTAACCGCCGTCCCATCCCCCGTGTGCGAGCGAAGCTTGAAATTGATGAATCCCCAACTGTCATTCCACACACCAAGTGCCTGCCAGCGTTTTCGAACAGCTGCGCGCGCGATGATATGAAGACGCGGGTTTGTCACGCGGTATTTGAGAAGGTAGGTAAGTTTAGGAATGACCTTGTAGGCGGTGTAGTACGTTTCCAAATGCTCCAGCTCGGCCTCGTAGTCCAAAGCGAGACGCGAACCAGCTTCGTAGAACGGCGCAGCCCTTTTCGCGACCAGTTCTAGCTCTTCGTCGGTCAGAGGCGGTTCCAGGATGTCCTGCATCTCCGCCAGCTCAGCCATGCCTAGTGTCGGGTCGCTGTCGTACTCCGTAGAGGGGCTATATGGCGGCGGCGAGTCGTGATCGAAGCGCCGCCTCGCCCTGTCCAGGAGCGCAGGGTTGGCCTCGAAGGCCTCGAGAGTTGAAGTGGTCGCGGCCTGAATCGCTCGCTGCATATGTATGTAGTCACCCGGAGATTGCATTGTGAATGCCGCGGTGGAAACCTGCTTAGTGTAGGAGCGAGCCGCGATGAAGCAGATGGTGGTTTGTGTTGGGGAGGAATTCTTTCGCGACGCAGCTGGGTGCGTGAAAGGGATAAAGTATGAGAGCCAGCTACGTGTTTGTTGTTTCTTGGCCTGAATCGGCAACAAGGTCCGCTGCCGGATCCTGGCGGGTGGGTGACAAAGAAAAAAGGCGCCACACACAGGCCAGTTACACACTGTCTTACATGTTAAAAGGATTGGAGGGGAATGAAATAACACGAGAAAAATAACAATGTTGAATACAATGAGCAAGAAAAAAAATGTTAAGAATTATTCAAAAAAGAAAAGATGAGAATGATGAAGGAAAAAGAATTAAATAAGGAAGACTTACTTGCTAGTTTCAGGCTCTAATGCACATAGGTAGGTACGTACCTACGCGCGTGAGGCCTGTTTTCCACTCAACATGTAATTTTCCCCTATCACAACGCTGTTAGGCTGCTACTATGCGTTAAAAAACCTCTATATTTTTTATAAGCCGTGTTAGAGACGTCAACAGCGTTGTGATACAGTGGGTTGCCAAAAGTTCCGTGTTCCCTACCATAAGGGCGCGGTGGGGATTGACGCGAAACTTTTGTCCCCCTACTGTACAAATTAGGGGAAAAAAAGCGACCTGTCTAGTACCCTGTCTAAAACAGGCCTCACTCTGTATGTACCTAAGTAGGTACCTGTTTACCGCCCGCCCGCCCGCCCGCCCGCCCACCTGCCACCACCCACCCGTTGTGGCGAGGGCTGGCACTACCACCTTAGTACCCGTCATTAGGTCATTATTAGTATACCTACCCGTACCCGTCACAGCTGTCATTAGGTCATTATTAGTATACCTACCCGTACCCGTCACAGCTGTCATTAGGTCATTAGTATACCTACCCGTCACAACTGTCACATCAACGGATCAACGGTCAGCCTACGGAGTACTGCAGTAGCACTTGTGCTATTGGTGGCCCCCTCCCTAAAAAATGGCTCCTCCGACGCAGGCGGCAGCCAACCGCAACACGTGCAAGTCTCCGATTGGTCTAGAATCACAACACGCCCACCTTTTGCGCCCTCCTTAGCCGCCCGATATCAAAAGATGTCCAACAACCAGACCCCCAATACGGAACCCAGAGCCTTGTGCAGACTAACTACTCATGCATTCTTTAATTAGAAGCTGAGTATGCGCGTGACTTCTCTGTCGCAATGGGGGTCTTGGAAGCGGGCGCTTCTGGCCGCCTCATCTAGTACCATCCCCCTCACTCCTTTGTTCTGCCCGTCTCGCCCATCAGATCTGACAAGACTAGAAGCCGCGGGGCGAACAAGATGCCTCCTAACCGGAATCCCCAAACTCTTTTTCATCTTGTGCCGGTCAACAGCGAAGCCATCGACCTTCTACACCGTGAACAAAATCGGAAACACGTCTCACCATCTTGCGACGGTGGCTTATTAGGCTTGGAAGTCGGCTACCACGTTCAAAAGCAAACTAGTGCTACTATCATAACCCGAGTCGGTCGCAATGCTGACTTGATACTTTTTAACCCGAAAGCCTCCCGAGTTCACGTTGACTTTCAATTTTACCCCTGCACCTCCAATATTATGATGCGAGTGCAACGACCTCGATCGACCGATGTGCACATACTTGAGCTCAATGAGGAAGAAAATCATCGCAAACTTGTTACGGACATCTCCGCGCTCTCTTATGGGTATAACTACGCACTCAGTATCCGTGGCTATGAATTTCGGGTTGTCTGGTGTCTTCCTGACGCCGCATTGAGGAAGGCCAAGGCCCAGGACGAATACGAGGCCGCACGTAACGCGACGACATTTCTCAATACTTCCCGTCGAGATACAGTTATCGACAAGGGCGAGGAAGAATCAGGTTACCTGCTAAGGATGCGAACCCATCAATCAAACCCAATTAAGGAAGACGTCCAAAGCCGCCAGTTGATTGGCGGTGGCGCGTTTGGATCTGTGTACAAAACTTTGGACCTATCAAACAGCCATGTTATGGCTGTCAAGGTTATCTCCATCCAGGACGGTAGCCCTGCTCAAGTGGAAGCACAGCGGAAACATATCCGCAAAGAGGTCGATATGCTGCAAAAGAGTCCACATGTAAGCACACACATGTGTTTCGGGATACACTGCAGCCACTGACGTGGATACAGCCCCATATCGTCGAGTTACTTCACGTTACGACCCTTTTCGGCCGCCAAGTATGCTTGTATATGCCATGGAGGGACGGCTCTCTCTCGTGGCTCCTATCCCAGCCCAGCACAAGACGCACCGCTGAGCTTACGGATCAGGTCCTCCACCACAGCCTCATGGCGCTTGACTTTCTGGCTTGTAAAAATATTGCGCATCGCGATCTGAAACCTGACAACATACTGTGCACCGTACTGGACAAGGAAAACGGGGAGTATCGCTTCCAGCTCGCCGATTTCGGCCTTTCGCTTTATCACGGCTCGCCCGCCCAGCAAGCAGGCACGCTCGGCTACGTGGCTCCCGAAATCGTCGCCAACATGGAGCAAGGCAGCAAGGTAGACATTTGGGCGCTAGGCATGACGCTTATCTGGCTCAAAAACTATCATCCCGAGCGCGCCAGACGATGGCCCTTTCCCGGCCTTAATGTCCACGCCGACATCATCCTTGCCGTCCGCTCAAACGACTACTACCCAGACTACGAAGCCCTGTACCGTGAGGACCAGTATGAGCGAGCGTCCGCTGCGCAGTGCCTGAATCACTACTTTGCAGGCGCGGGCCGCACGACCATGGACTGTATCGCCCCGATACGCCCGCGCCAGCGCCCCGGTGCGGTGCCCGACACGGCGACCCCGGTGCAGACCCCGCCCCGCATGAAGAGGGGCCGCCCCCAGCAGCCCCGGCGGGCGCCGAGTCCCGTCAATGCTGGGCCGAGTCGCTGCCCGCACAGACAAGGAGCAGCGCGCAAGGGGGTCCCCGATCAAAAGGAGAAGCGACCCATGGAAGCAGCACCGCCGTCCGAGCGGGTGACCTCCGAGCAGGTGACCTGCGATGGTAGCGACGTTATCATGGGCGGCATGGAGGAGGGCTATTACCTGCGGTCCCGACGCAAGCGCGGTTAAGGATGGACACAGCTTGTTAAAGCCTGCGCAAGCAGCCGAGCAACCGCGACGTCTGATGTTGAAAGGTGAAGCTAGATGTTAGGGAAGAGGCTACAGGGAACACACGAAGCCACAGAGAATACACGAAGCCATAAGGGAACTACAGTCACGATAGGAGGCGTGTGGTGGGAGACTGCTGACGAGCCACTAGAAAGAAGACAGCGATAATTCCACCTCTTTTATCAATACTAAGATCATACTGTGACTAATACGCTCCGGACTAACCACAAACTTATACTTATCTAGTAACTAGAATAGTACTATATATACTATTCTTTATCTATTTAAGTTATAAATAGTATTTCTAAAGTTTCTAAAAAAATTATAATTTCTATAATATAAGGTACTATATATATACTATTCTTTATTTATTTAAGTTATAAATAGTATTTCTATAATTTCTATAATTTCTATAATTTCTATAATTTCTATTAAAGACATTTCCTAATTCAGCCTTTTCAATATATTTAAAATACAGGATATACTATTCCTTAGCAAGGTATAAGTCATAGGCATTTAGTACGTGAAATACTAATCTGAGGTAAACCTATAGCCAATTGTCAATAGCCCCTGAACTTGTTATGGCACTGTCTCTGACAATTTCCTGGCCACTCGCCATGTTGCTCGCATTTGTTAAATCAATATGGGTAACATGGGCATCCAAGCTTTCAGTATCACGGAGCAGCAGCGTATCGAGCATCGCGCAGAGGACACTGCTGCCAGCCCTGTTTCAGGCTCGAAAAGCGCAAAGCGAGCCGTTGTCACATCAAGACAACACAGCGCGATCGAGGCACTCGCGTTCGCGGTACAACGATGAAAAGCCCTGCCTCGTATTTGGACCGGATAATGGCAGCCACAATGCCTGCTTTTTTTGTCGAGTCGAGTTCCCCGACGATGCCACCAAATGGGTAGTTCAGATGCCGATTGAGCTAGCTCTCCATCGGCCATGGGACAAGCTGATAAGCGAAGTGGCCACTTCGAAGTAAATGAGCGATTCTACTGTGCATCAAGTAGCTGCTTGCTGATACAGATATAGAGTCACCCAGACAGGCACCTACAAAAGCACACAACTATATCTATACCAGTCGTTCGCGCATATGGCCGAGGCGAAAGCCTAGCTTGCGACGACACTGCGCAAATGTTTCTGGTTTCCAACTACATCCGCGGCAGGCCCCTTGAGCCACCCATGCTTTTCCAACTTGAGCAGTCCATTCGCACACGGCTGTACAACCAGATCCATGACGCCTTCTTGCAGCTCCGGCAGCTCGAATTCTCTACGATGGGCTCTTTGACACATTGGACGGGCAGGGCGAACCAGTGGTTGGCGATATGCTCACCTTTGCCGACAACGAGCTCTCCGTTTGTCGACATTTATAGCTGCGCGGGACTATCTGAAAAGGCAGTTTGACGTTTTGCGACACACCGCTGCACTACCCACCCGCGGTTTACTGAAGACGGAATTCGGTACGAAATGTTCGCCATCCATAGCCTCGAAACGCACTTCCACAATCTCATCACCGACGAGCTAGACAAAGGCCCGTTTGTCCTGAATTCACGGGGACATGCGCCTACCATACATCATCGTCGAACCTGCAAGTCCAGGGGTTCCTCGACTGGGAGTTCTCCAACATTGTACCGCTGCCGCTGTTTGCGCCTCCGTCATGGGCCACCGACCACGACGATCCGGGGCTGCACTACCTGAGTTTCGACTTCCGCACAGAGCTGCACAGGGCCGCAACTTCAGCGCGACGCATTCCGAGCTCTTACACGAGTGGTATCCAAGCCGAAACCTCGAGCCCAGCACGGCTTTCAGTATTGCGCTCATTGTGCGCTTTACTAGTCATGTGGCGGACGTGTTCCACCGGAGATTTGCGAAAGAATTCGGAGACGGACTGCATGAGGCAATCTCTGGATTCTTCAACGCTAACAAAGACTATGCCGCCGAGGCCAAGCGGAGAGCAGAGAGAAACGCAGCAATAAAAGCAGAGAGAAACGCAGCAATAAAAGATGGTGAATGGGGTTGTTTAGGGCTACACATATGAGAGTACTTATCCTCCGAAGCACATGTTTCCCAAGAGTCCAGCCGCCTCTACTGTCTCCCGGCTAGCTATCTATTCAGCCTACCCATGGCTGTCCGAAACTCGGCTAGCACTGTTCGTTTCTTCTTAGGCAGCCTTTTATATCATATTCTTATATATTCCCCTAGCCTAGCGATATCAATATTTTCTAAGTACTCAACTTAGTTTTTTGGAAGCTATCTGCCTATCCCAAGTTTCCTTTTCTTAATATTGTTGTCGCTGTTATTATTGTTGTTATATCTCATGACTACTATACAGGAGACTTGCTCTTACAACCAAGCGCAAGGCGCCTACGCGTAAACACTCCCTCTCATACACTCCCCTTCAGCAAACCCTCCTCAAACCTCGCGGCCCACTCCTCGGCCAACCTCTCCATATCCCACCGCGCGGCCTGCTCCGCGCTCCCCGTCTCGGCCGCGACCGAAGTGACCATCTTGCCCGCCAGCCCGCACGGCACAAAGCGGGCCCACGGATTGACGCTCTCGTCGGCGCCGGCCGTCGGCACGTCCACGTTGAGGGCGACGCCGAGCGCCGTGACGTACCGGCGATGATGCACGCCGAGCGCGGCAATCTTGCGCTCCTCGTGCCCGTCGCGGGCCACCCACACGCCGGGCTCCTGCGGGTTGGCGTACGTGGCGATGCCCCACAGGTCGGCCAGCAGCGCGCGCGTCGTGGCCTCGAGCAGCGCGGCGTACGAGGCCACGCCGAAGCGCGCGTGCCGCGGCGAGTGCATGTCCAGCACCGGCCACAGCACGAGCTGGCCGGGGCCGTGGTACGTGGTGAGGCCGCCGCGGTTCGTCTTGTGCACCTGCGGCGTGTAGTGTGCGACGGGCTGGCTGGGGATGGTGAGCGGCTGGGTGAGGCGCGCGGCTTGCGCGGGCGAGAGGGCGTCCTGCCGGCGGCCGAGGGTGTAGGTCGGCTGCGCTTGGAAGGTGAGCAGCTGCGGCGGAGGCGCGGCGGTGGCGGGAGAGGTCTTGTAGGCGAGGAATCGCGCGCGGTGCTCTTCTTGCAGGGCGTCGGCGTCGGCGTAGCGGATAAAGGGCGGCGAGGAGGGCGAGGAGGGCTTCAGGTGGTGGTGCTGGAGGAGATGCAGGGTGCGCCGCGGCGCGGAGCGGCTGGCGGCGGCAGTGGTGGTATGGTGCGGCGTTAAGGGGGATGGGATTGTAGCGCTGCCGCTTCTGCGCGGTAGCAGCCGTTGCGCTTGTTTCATGGTTTGTGTTGGGAGGATGGGATTGGAAATCGTCAAGGTGGGAGTGGCTGAGTGGCTGGTGGTTTTTTTCTTGGCTAGTCCGCCGAAGTCGGCACCAGGTGGCTCAAGGCTACACTTGCTGCATCGTGTCTAAATATCAATTCAACATGGAGGGAATTGTCTCTTGCATTGGCGAAAAGAGCTCAATGAGTGGGGCCTCCAAACTATTTTACTTTGTACGACTTTGGTCAGGGACTGTCGCGCGCGCCGAGTACTGGGCTTACACAGAGTTTACCATAAAACCGCGTTGCGTGCCTGGGGCTGCGACTCTCCCGCGACCTGGGCAGTTTAGCTCGCGCGCCACTAATAAACGGGCAGCAGTACGCGCCCAAATGAGGGTTTCAGGTAAAAACGACTAGAAGAAAAAAGACCATGAGGAAGAAAACGGCGCGTTCAGTGATCCGCTAGCAGACGGCTGCATCATCCCACCCCACCAGCTCGGCTTCGCCTGTCACTTGCATCTTGACGCAGATATGATGATCTAGATCGAGGACAAAGGCGTTAGGCTTCCCCGACTATCGGGTTCGAAAGGCGGCGAGATGATTCAATCCATGACATCAAGCGCCTGGCTCGGGGCTGCCGAGTCCCGAGTCGGGGAGGAAATGCTGCCACTAAGAAACTCTGGCAATTGTGGTGGACTCGCAAAACCGGTCTAGGATCAAGATTGATGGGGCTATGTACATCCATGGCTGGTAGGTTTGAACGTGTCTTAGCAGCGCGGGATGATGTCATGGCTGGGCTTGCCGGTCCTATACAAAGTTCAACTGGCAACTTGTGGCGACTGTTTGCTGCGTAAATGGGTCAATCAATATCTTTATCATCGCGTTGACATGCAGTACACTGGATAGCCATGAATAAGTCAGAATGCAGATGAAAGGGAACCAGAGGTGACGTTTTTTGGCTGGCAGTGCTGTGGCTCGATACATGACGACAACTTGCTGGGTCTACTTTTTCTCCTCATTTTTTTGCCTTGACCAATCATCAGAGTCAATTATTATCATTCAAGGGTCGCTGCCTTTTATTCTGGAAAAGAGGTGATGAGGGGCTACATCTCGGACCATGATAGGTACATGTGTGGGCGGTGGCTGTGCTGTGCTGGACAGCCGCAGAGTGTGGCTTGAAAGTCGGCACTTGCAGATGTGGGAGAAGGTCTGAGAATAGCTTGTTTGTCGTCGTAATTGCCCACGAGAGGTGCCACGTTGTGTAGCATACGTAACCTAGAGGAGCTACATGGCGTGGCTGATGCACGATACAAGCAGCCTCGCGATAGTAGCTGAGGGGGGTAGGGCCTCGTGAGCAGTTGGACCCTGCAAGTTGAGAATGGGACAATGGTGGCGGTGAGCAGGATATGTATCTGTGCTCTATTATAGACTTGGATGGGCGGAAGACGGGAGTGGTGGCGATGATGCAAGTCACTCTATCAAGTCACTATATCAACGGGGCAAAAACGACGACGGAGAATCGAGTAATAGTAGATTCGATTCTGCAAGGGTATGTTACCGGCAAAGCGGAGGGGATATGATGGAGCGATGGGCGTGGCAAGCTTGGCGTGGCAACGAACAAGCTGAATTTCAATGTTGCAGTTGAGCATTTGCCGCAGAAGGAGGAGCTGCGAGACAAAACTCTATGACATCACCGCACAGCGGGTGCCGATAGCTTAGGGAAGCTTCGGCGCTAGTTGCTGGGGATCCCGAGGTACCTAGTGTGACGGGCCAGAGTTTTTAGCGATTATTAATAGTGTTGGGTACCGAGCTGATTTCTTAATGAAGAAATCGAATGCAATTGACCAGAAGCAACAAGAAGTGACTGCATTTTCTTTTAGTAGTTTCTAGGACAAGTTTGGCGGCGGTGTTAAGAACCAAGGCCAAAGTTTTGCCATGTGGTTACCATGGCAGCTACTGGTGGTACATTGCTAGCTTGATTCTCGACGACCAGAGCGTAACTTTTGACTGGACATATCTGGCGGTTTTTTTTCTTCTGAGCAGCGCCGAGAAAAATGGCCTGCTACGCTGGGGGGGGGGGGGGGGCGTGCTGCGGCTCGGTGTCGTCATCAGCTGCTCCACCGCGCAGAGCAACAACTTGTCAAAGTTTAAAAAGGCAGATGTTTGCGGTTTAGAGAGGTCACGTTTTGAGCGCACAAAATGGGCAAGGGAAAGAAGTGAAGCAGTTCAGGTCGCAAAATAGGACGATGCAGAGATTGTTTCGAATGGGCAGTTGGAGAATGGACTCAAGTGTCGTGAGACGTTTGAGCGCACTGGAATTGACAGGTTGGTCAGTGTAGCGTCAGCCTGAGAGCGCTGTATTTGTACTTAGGCTGGACAGTGGGCCGAGGACGTTGTAGCCGGGGTGTAATCCGAGGCCACGAAAATAATAATCGCTTCTGCTTCAAATCAAGGAAATAGCCGCAAAAAGGCCCCGCATAGTGATGCCCGTTAGAGTTTAGCCGGGAAGTGGCTTCTGTAGGTCGATCGAGTGGCTTGACGGGGAAAGCGAAGCAAGTCGTTGCTGGTTGACGTGTGCATGGCGCTGTAGACACATGCTGCTAGATGCGTTCCCAGTGACAGCTGGCTGGTGCGTACTGGTGACAGGTGCGACAGCAACAGCAACAGACAGCAATATTCAAGAAACAAAGAGCCAGAAAAAGACGCAAAAAAGGACCAAAAAATACACCTCACTCTCACTATCATTTAATTACCCCCCGTTCATCGCTGGTTTCGCCTCCCTGGGTTCTCCCACCCCCCGGAACCTCCAGCTCCAAGCGGCTCCACCCGCTAGAACAAGCTGCCACGGGCCACTGGAACTGCCCAGCTTTTTCAATGCGCATGGCCATGCCCAGTTTCCCCAAGCTCATAGTTACAAAAACAAAGCCTTCACCCTCCTCCCTCCCAGGCTGTTTTCCTCTCCCACACCCATCCACGCCAACATTTCCGTCTTGAAACCGTGAAACACATCCTCTCAGTTTCGCTTTTCAACATGGTAAAGAGTAAGTAGGACTTGACATGCCAGATGCCATCACCCTTTCTGCTGGCCTAGTGGGACGAGTGCGCGCGCGCGGAACATGGCTGCAGCGCTCATGACGACGGAGCTCCGGGACATCGACGGCGACGACGACGACGAGGACGACAAGGACAATGCAGCAACATCCGCAACGACACGCCTCCATCCCGCTCCTCTCGATGCTCTGCGCACGCCACCCGCCGCCGCGCCAATTCCCAGCATGCCATTGCTCTACACAACAACCCCATACTAACTCGCTCTCGCAGACGCCCCCCTCGGCCTCGTCGGCCTCGTCCTCATGGGCGCGTCGCTGCTCTTCCTTTTCTTCATCATACTCGCCGGCGTCACCACCAGCACGCCATTCAACAAGACCTATTTCCTTCAGGCCGACACGTCGGGCATTGATGGCGCCCACTCCGTCTCCCAATGGACCTACTTTTATGTCTGCGGCGAGGGCAACACCGATTGTGGCAAGGCCACGGCCGCCCTGCCCTTTGGCCACGCCTGGAACAAAGATGCCTCCAACGTGCCCGCCGGCATCGCCGGCTCCAAGGACGGCTCCAACAACAAGTTTTACCTCCTCTCCCGCTTCGGCTGGGTCTTTCTCCTGCTCGCCCTCTTCTTTGGCACCCTCACCTTCTTCAGCAGCTTCCTCGCCTGCTGCGGCCGTCTCGGGTCGGCCATTGCCACCTTTGTTAGCTTCTTTGCTCTGCTCTGCCACGCTATCGCCTCATCGCTCCTCACGTACGTATTTCCCCTCTTCTGTGCCATTGTTGTGTAACCACGCGATTGTACCCGTCGACATGAGCTGACATGTGATTCTAGTGCTACCTACGTCCTGGCCCAAAAGAAGTTTGCCGCTGACAACCGCACATCGCACCTTGGTCGCTATGGCTTTGGTTTTCTCTGGGGCTCTTTTGTCGCCCTGCTGATTTCTGTCATCGTATTCTCTGCCGGCATCCGAAAGGACCGCAGCAACCCCAGTGCCGGCGGTGGTGGTCGTGGCCGCTTCTGGCGCCGCAAGAGCACTCGCAGCTACGAGGGCCGCCGCGTCAAGGACGAGTACAGCTAAATGCCCCGTCGTTTACATCGGCCGTACAGCATACCGCTATTTTCTCGGGTAGCTGCAAAACGGCAACGTCAATACCGCGATGCCAGCATCGTCCACAACAACACAATCCGCAAAAAATATAGAACGATAATGCCCACCCCTACCAGCGAGCCAAACCTTTGACAGACTGATGCACGCTAACGCCGACGGCTCGCGGGCCTGGCCGCGTTATTTTATTTCCATTTCTTTATGCATATACAAGAGAGGCGGTCGAATCAAATACCTACTTCGTTCCGGGGCGTTTGGACCAGAAACACGTGTACGTTTTTTATTGCAGTGTCTTCTGGTGATTATGGGAAAACAGTCGTTATTGCTACACAGAGGACGTGTATGAGAGAAGACACAGGAGGGGGGATGCCGCATGCGCTGACTGTGCCTGCCATCTGTCTTGGAAACTGGACGGAAGTGTGGCATGCCAGGCCGAGTACGATATTTCATGGTAATGAGGAGGTAATTGCAATGTACTATGACTTGCTTAATATATTTTTGCACCATTTAACATCTCTTTATCCGTTAATGATGCATGTCTTCCACTCCATGCCAGGAAATGTTAGGACGGCAGGGGACCCTGACGAGAACCCTGGGAAGTACAAAGATCGGCGAGGAGTTGAAGATCGGGCTCAAGACCTGTCAAGATCGACGAAGCGCGCGCGCGCCTGCGCCCGACGGTGCGCACAAGCCACCCCCGACGACCAGTACAAATAGGCCAGGCTTTCCATAGTGTACATGCGTGTCCGTGTATCTCTCTGTACCAGCGTGTAACCAAGTTCTCCTGTCCTTGTACGGGGCGAGACACGGCCCAACGCGGGCTGGTTTCTGAGGTGTATGGCCGGCCCGTCACAGTACGACATGTCTTTTATAAAAGTCATTTTTTTTATAAATGCCAACGAGGGGGGGCACTACGTCAAGTCCCCGTGGTAAAATGCTAGAGCCCTTTCCGTGTATCATGTCTCTGCTTCCCGTCTTGAAATCAAATGTGCGCCTAGATATCATGGTTCAACCAAAAAAAAAAAAAAGAAAATAAGAAAGAAAAAGATCATGATAATGACGTGGAAAGCCAACAAGACCAAGAAAACGCACGTGGCTATAATGTAGAAGAGACAACATCAAAAAACCAACACGCAGCACATTTGGTCCCCCTTTTGCCTCTCCACCCGTATCCTCCGTTCTTTCCTCACTCGGTCGCCGCGGGATTGTCCATGGTACTGACGCTGTGGAGCGGCGCCGCGTGCAGCGCCGGTCGGCCCTTTGCCAGCGGCGCCGTGTCGTCCGCGGGGTCGGCGCCCTTGCCACCTGCCGCTTTGCGCGCCAGCACGCTTTTGACCCATTCGGCGACATCCTCATCGTCGGTGCCCGAGTGCAGCGCCATGCGGCCGACCTGCGCCGCGACGTGCTCCGCCTCCTCGCCCTCCTCGGCCTCTTCGGTAATGGTCACCGGCTTGTCGAGGGACGCGAGCCAGGGGTGCTTGAGCATGGCGGCGTACGTCGGCCGCTTGAGCGGCACTTTGTTGGTGCAGCCCCGGACAAAGTCGTGCGCTATTTCTGAGAAACCCTCGGCGGGCAGTGTCGGTGGTTCGCCCTCGACAATGGCCTGTACTTGTTAGCATCTATCCGTATTCTTAGGAGCATGGGTGACGTACGTTTAGTTGGCCGAAAATGGTCGACGACACTTCGGGTGGGTAGGGATATCGCCCCAGGGCACATTCAATAATCGTCAGCCCCAGACTCCATACATCGCTCTGTACGCTGTACGTGCCGTCCGCGTTGCCCGACTGCGACATGCTGCCGCCCGATATCCGCTCCGGCGCCATGTAGCTCTGGCAACCAATGTTGGTCTTGGCGATGCTGGCCACGAGGTTGCCGCTGACGCCAAAGTCGCAAATCTTGACCTGCCCGCGCGTGTTGGCGAGGATGTTGGTGGGCTTGACGTCGCGGTGGATGATGTTGTGGTCGTCTTTCAGGCACTTGAGCCCGTGCACCGTCGCGTGCGTAATCTTTCGCAGGATGTTCTCCGGGATGCCTCCGTCGTACAGCTTGTCAATGGACCCGCCGTCCATGTACTCAATGCACATGTAGACAGCACCTTCTTGATAAAAGGCGCCGTAAAAGTCGATAATGTACGGCGACACGCACTCGTGCAGAATCACGAGCTCCTTGAGAATCGTGGTAAACTTGGCGTCGTCTAGCTCCAGCCGAATCTCCTTCATGGCCATGAGCATGCCCGTGGTACCGTCGTCGGGTGTGCCCTCGGCATCGTCGCCGGAGCGCTTGAAGCCGGACAGGCCCTGGCCGAAGCGGGGAGCCTTGCGCTTTGTGTGCCGCACCTTGTAGACAGTGCCGTAGTTGCCCTTGCCGAGCTCGCTGACCGTTTCCACCTCGTCCAGCGAGATTTTGAACGTTTGCCCGTTGGCAAAGTTGACGCCGGATTTGGTAATAGTCGCCGCGCCGTCAAACGTGATCCATCCTTTTTCCGCGTCGATATACTTCTTAAAGTCATCAAGCTTTGAGCTGGGGGTCGAGGCGCTCGTGCTCGCGCCGCTGGAGCCGCTGGAGCCCATGTCAGAGAGCTTCGGGGCGCCGGCACGCCGCATGCTGGGCGCGGGGCTGGCGGGCGCGCCCCCGCCGGCGTTCATGTCGGAGAGTTTGAGACCGGCGCCGCGACGATCCATGAGGGACGGCCGCGTGACAGCTGGGGCGGAGTTGACGTGCATGGGGCCTGGACGGACCATACCGGCGGGCATACGCGGCACGAGTCCGTTGGGACCGGGGCCCATGGGGGACATAGGACCGGACGAGGCGGGTGAGCTCGCGTTGGAGCTGGTCAGCTTCATGCGGTCCTGCTGCAGGCGTCGGGCCTTGGCCAGGACATTGGCGTCGAGCGCGCCCATTCGTCCAGCGAGGGGCCCGGCGGCGGGAGCCCCGAGGCGCGCGGGATTTCTGGCGTCGTCGAGGAGGCCGCGGGCCGTCGTTGTGGTGTTGCGGCCGTGGGGATCCGAGACGGACCGCAGAGAGGGCACTCGCTTGGGAGGGGTCGAGTCTGTGCTGCCATCGCCGGCGAGCGTTTGCTCCTGCTCGGGCAGGTCAGAGACCTGGTCCTCGCTCGAGGATCGCCGCTCCGTCTCTTGCGTGTCTGTCATGATTCTGGATTTTTCTTGTGTCGGATAGCTTTTTCTGCTTCTATCGGCCGTTGGGCTGCGAGCTGGTTTCGGAGGTGGGGTTGGAGGGCAACCGCAGACTCGGTTGGGGAGAGGGGGGAGAGAGAGAGGGCGAGGAGGGCACAGAGTCCTCCGGTAGTTAGCGCGACTGCATGTGGTAATTGCGTTGGTGATGGCGACTCGGTTTGTTTCTATATAATGGGCGAGGAGGATGCTCGTGGCACGGGCGCGGGTCACTCGTTCTCGTCAGAGGCCGCAGCCAAAAGGTGGGATGTGGGATGTAGGATGTCGAGCAGGGGTTGTACAGCTCGCGTTGGGCTCTCTGACAGGTGCGCCCTGGGCAGCAATGGAAAATAAAATTTCTCAGTCGTTGTCGGGAGGGACGGAAGAGGAAAAATTGGCGTTTTGGGCGAGGTTATTTGCGGGATAGAGGATGCGGATGTGCCGAGGTGGAATGGGAGAGAAGAGAGAGGATTTTGGGTTTGAGAAACGAGCACCAAAGAGAAATGACTGATGAAAAAGAAAATAAAAATAATGGGTTTTGCTACCAACGGCACGTTGGCCTATTACCTGATTGAGGGGCTTTTCTTTGATGAGGAAGGAGGAGGAGAGGAGGGGCTGTACCAGCGTATTGGGCACAGTGGGGGCCGAGTTAGGCAAGGCAACAGCCAATTTGGAGATCCTTATCCTGCATTTTCCGAGTACGAGACTGTTTCATCGTACCTTGGACATACATCATCAATTCATGGACATTTTTTTCTCTCTTCTTCTTTTGCCTCCCCTTGTATTGTCTCCCGTGACCACACCTCCCCCGACAGCCACCCTTTCTTCATTGTTGGGCGGCAACTACGCCTTTTCGTGCTGCTTCTGTTTGTTTTCGCGGCGTGTGATAGCTGCGACGACGTGGGATAAATTTCACAACTGCTAGTACTTAACTACCAGTGCTATTCGCCGATGCGCTATCCTAATCTTTGCTGATGCTGTGGCTGATGCCAAGCGGTCGTCTGGCTTGTCCGGCCCGAGACCTATGGATCAGATAGACTCGTGCTAGGTCGACAAGCCGGCCAGAGATTTATCAAACCCCCGGGAGTTTTTGCGCACGAGATTGCCAATGTCGTACACATACAGGCTGCCAAGCAGCCGGAGCTGCTCTGTACGTTGGCTTGCCATACACGACAAGACTGCCAAGGGTTAGATGCTGCAATTATTGAAAATGCCGCAGTCCGGAGCTCTCAACCATACACTACCAATGCTGCACCTGTTCTCGAGATGTAGTTGTGGACCGATCGATTGCCGGCCCGGAGCTACATCACTCAGCGATACATATATTGGGGTATTGCTGCCGCAGATGTACGTCGACGGGTACAGTTTCACCTACAACAGTCGTGATTGTGCGTCACCGATACAAAAGAAGCTGTGGATTGCAGCCTGCATGCCCAGAAGCGCCGTTTTTGTGTTGGCAGCGGTTGATGCAGTGGTATCTGATACGTTTCCGTCGACAAAACGGAATACTGGCAGTTGATTACATTCCTGCTTATCAAGCTTCGGCTTCTGGAGAACTGGTGTTGAATCTTTTGACGATGTATTGCAGGAACGCTGGCTGCTATACTGCCATGGGTTATAAGGAGGCCCCAACGTATCAGGTACCTATCTGTAAGCCTATCTATCGACCGAGTGCTCAGAGGCTATTTTTAGCCTGCATTTCGAGTCGAAGTAGTAGTAAGTGATTTGAAGTTTTATCAACACTTACTCGGCTTACGACGCAGCAAGAATCATTCGATAACAAGGTGAGGGTTCGCACCGTCAAGCGATTTTAGACATCAATCGGTACCCGTTTCTCTAGCCTCTGCTTCGGCAAGCGCGGCGTTCTATATGAGCAAGCTTGACGTGATTTATACACTGGATTGCATGGCCTGGACGAGCCAGTTTCAGCCGCAGCAGAACCTCAGCAACCGGCTCTGAGCGCTGACTAGCCGTATGCTAAGCGGACGGAACTCGTGGATGCTAGCAGTATATTAACTATGGGAATAAAGAAAAATGATTAAACATACCACATGGAGCTTTGAGCAAAACGATGCACCCCGCCTCATTACTCGAGCGAGTTCCGAGAGGACGTCGCTGGTGGACATGTTGACCCATCGCATAAATGCCGTCAACCGCACGAACCATACGAGCCATCCCAGGCGAATTGACAAACATGTTCTTGCTGTCAAGAGAGAAAAACAGAGCCGGTCGGAGGCCTCGGCCGCTTTGTCTTCCGAGATGCAGTCCCTCCAAGCCACGCCGGCGGCCCGCTCGACTCCTGTGAACTGTGCCCCGCCTGCAGTAATTTACGCTTCTGTTTTCCACCTTGATAATCCTCCGCGTACAAAACTCACCGACTCTGCTCGCTGAGAAGAATTGTATTGTGCAAGAGGCCGCCAAGACGGCGGGGTTGGTCGATCCGGCTGCGCCAAGCTCCTGTACCCATGCGGTCAAGCCTCGCCATGTCCAGTCGGTCCTCCTCGCGCCTGTGCCTACGGCTCTTAACCTGCGCTTTCAGTTTGCTCGCATGCCCTTGAAAGGGTAGGTTGTTATGATAAGTTCGTCAGTGGATCGTTTGGCGTAACGCCAACCCTGAAAACGACCCGTCGGCAAGTGCTGGGGCCAAAAGGGCTGACAATGCTGTGCGAATGGGACGATGCTCATCTTGGATAGCGGCAGAATGATATAGATGGCGGCGGCGGGGGCTATTGCCAAGACTGGCATTAACACGACTGCATGTCTCATCGCCTGTACTATCCATGATGTGGTACGCTTCAGCACGCCGCCTTGGTCAGCCCGTGCCAGTGGCGACTGTCTCATGCTTATCTTTATGCTTGGCAATGAAAAGAATTGACCGGTTCTCTTGGTAACTACCAGAAGACGCTCCATTGCTTGCGATCGGAGGTCAGGCCAACTTTTACGATGGGAGCGGCTTGGCTGGGTTTCTGCGGACCCGTCGGATAAGTGGTGAATATTTTTGCGTCAGATCCATGGCTCGAAACGGGCATCGCATCAGGTATAGCTCTTCCCCGCAGACTCTTCGCTTACCAGGCTAGCGCGGCGGACGACGTATCGGAATTATGCGTTCGAAAGTGCCAGTAAGGACCAGGGATTGAGATGAGCTTACTCGTATGCAGATATGATATTTTGTGAGGCCAGATGGTACCAGGTTGACGCATTTCAGCCTTTGCATGTAGAGTGGTTGTGGTGGCATGTGACTGGAGAGTTGACGCCAGGGCTTGCTGTTGCGCTGTTGTACTCTTCGGAAGCGCATGCCAACTCGACTGCATTGGAAGTACAGACAAAGCACTGAAAGTCCCAAAATCAGATAGTTGCCCCGGGCGCAACAGGGATTTGATACTCTGTACGTTTTTTTTCTGGCCATTTCTGGTCGCTCAGCGGTCGGCAACAGTCTTCTCCCAATGGGCAGCCGGGAGCTTTGTCAAAAGCAGCCGCCTGTACAAATTACCAGTAAACCCAACCGAATGGAACAGCAATAATGAAGCCACAACCTGCAGCGTGCGTAATGTGCCAGGTTGCGGCAGGGCTATCAGCCGCTAGGTGAGTCAAAACGCTAGCATCGCGCAGTGGGTTTCCGGTCCCAATTAATTGGTGGCCACGACAAGGTTTCCTGGCCTCCCTCTGGAGCAAAGATAGCCCCTTCGGCGCAGGTGGCGTGCGCTAGAAGCTCATGCGCGAATGGGAGGCATCGATTGGCTCCTTTGGGCATCATGACTGCGTAGGTGGTGGCTTGCGCTTGCGTCCCATCTTGGCCTTGCCATATCGCGGCATGCAAGCCTGGTCTTGCCAAATGGGAGGGATCCAGCCTGCCGCTCTGGGCGAGTCATTCTGGCAGTTGGCCAGCCATATCGAATACAACGTGGAATACTTGCAGGGAAGAAGAAAGAGGAGCATGGGCTGCCTCTCTCCTGCCAGGGCGCGTACAGTGTGAAATGGACAGCGAATCCAGCAAAGTCCTGCGCAGGTCGCCGCACGTCTTGCCACCCCCCCTCGTTTCAATCGCGTTGAACAAACGTGGATCGTGGGCCTGTTTATCCCCCCCAGGTCAGAAGTGGTCGTTTGTAGCGTGGTATTGTGCTATTTCTTGGCGGGCACAGATGTTTGACGATGCTTAATGATTCACCGCCGACTTTGTACTCTATATTGCTAGTATCTATAAATGTCAGCAGGAGAACAAGACCAAGCGAGTACACCAGAAGCGCCGATGTCTGGAAGCGTCTCGTAGGATTCGGGTGCTAGCAACGCGCCCGCCACACAACCACTAGAGGCCGTCCTGCATCGCACTGATGCACAAAAGCCAAGTCAACGAGAACAAGGAGGGTTTATTAGTCGCTCAGCTAGTGAGTGGGTGGCGTCGTGGTCTTCGCCATGCCAGACAAGGCATGGCGGTGCTGCTTGGTGTTGCACTGTGTCGCCTTGGTGCTTGGTGTCGCATCTGCGTGCGCGGTTCCACTTAAGGTTATTTTTCTTGCGTACTTCAGGCGGGCTTCCGTTTGGCCTCGCCAGCACACACCACCTACCTGGCATCCATCTCCAGTTTTCAGACCTTGCTTTTTCCTATTTCTTTCCCTTCATACTCTCCTTCATCAGCATCAGCTTTTTCTTGCACACTTTATCTTCTTCCCAAGGAAAACTCCCAAAGGAGCCATCTTCTCTTTTCTCTCCCAAATCCCGCTCGACTCTGATTGCTACACGTCATCACTTCCCCCCCTGCTACATGGACGCGATCGCCGCGCCTTCGCCGTACCGGCTCGCCCGACTGGCTACTGATGCCTACGAATTGCCCCTCAAGGTCTTTGCCCAAGGCGGCGGACAGACTTCGCCGTCGCTTTCTCACCTCTGTCTCCTTGTTTTTGAGGCCGTTCTAGAGGTCGTCTGCGTCAGCTTGCCGGGCTACATTATCGCACGACTTGGCCAATTCGATGGCGATAAGCAAAAGTTCCTCGCCAACCTCAACGTCTCGCTCTTCACACCATGTCTGAGTATGTCCCAACCTGATTCGGCCGTTCCGTAGCACTTGGTAACTAACTGAGCCCCATGCGTTAGTCTTCACGAAACTCGCTTCCCAACTTAGCGCCGAGACGCTGAGCGACCTCGCCATCATTCCCGCCATCTTCATAGTCCAGACCCTCGTCTCCTGGACTGTCGCTGTCGTTGTCGCTAAGCTCTTTCGCTTTAACCGCCGCGCCTCCAACTTTGTCATTGCCATGGGCGTCTTTGGCAACTCCAACTCGCTGCCCATCTCTCTCGTCCTGTCCTTGTCACAGACCATTGCCGGCCTTCACTGGGACAGGATCCCTGGCGATAACGACGACGAGGTTGGTGCTCGCGGCATCCTTTACCTTCTCATTTTCCAGCAGCTCGGCCAGCTCGTGCGATGGAGCTGGGGATACCACGTACTGCTGGCCCCCAAGGAGCGATACCTCGAGTACGATGACGAGCGCGCCGAAGAGGGCCAATACCGTGACGATGTTGCCACCACCCCACTCCTCATTGAGGGCCTTGAGGGTGATACTGAAGACGATGCCGAGGGCAGCGCCAATGGTAGCGCCGATGGTAGCGAACGCTTCAATCCCCCGGGCCGCACCCCCGTTGGCGGTGCTTCCCATACATCTGTGTATGGATCATCCGACGACGAAGGCGTTCCCAAGAAGAAGCGGTCTAACGGCCACCACCAGCCCGACTTCTCTGCTCTCCCGAGCAACGAGCAGGAAATTGAAGCACCCAGTGGTGTTTTGAGTAAAGCTCAGCTGAGCATCCGCAAGGCCTTGGCACGCATCGGAAGCAGCATCAACAACACTGGCATTCGCATTTACAAGTCGCTCCCCCGTCCTGCTCAGGTGACCCTCCGCGGCGTCTCCTGGGTTGTCGCCAAGGTCTACAACTTCGTCTGGGATTTCATGAACCCTCCCCTGTGGGCCATGCTGATTGCCGTCTTGGTTGCTTCCATCCCGACACTGCAGCGTCTTTTCTTCGAGGAGGGCTCCTTCGTCAAGAATAGTGTCACCAGCGCTATCCAGTCCAGCGGTGGCGTTGCTGTTCCCCTCATCTTGGTGGTCCTTGGCGCTAACCTGGCCCGCAACACCATGGCCAACCCTGATAGCATCGACATCGAGGAAGAAGAGATTGGCACCAAGCTCCTGGTTGCGTCCCTACTGAGCCGTATGCTCCTCCCCACCATCATCATGACGCCGATCTTGGCCCTCCTGGCCAAATATGTCAATGTCAGCATTCTTGACGACCCCATCTTCGTCATTGTTTGCTTCCTCCTCGTTGGCGCTCCCAGCGCACTGCAGCTGGCCCAGATTTGCCAGATCAACAACGTATATGAAAAGACCATGGGTCGTCTGCTTTTCCAGAGCTATGTCATCTGGTTCGTATCCTTGTTTCCTGAGTTCTGACGTGCGACTAACATGTGCTTAGGATTCTCCCTTCCACTCTCATGCTTGTCATGCTGGCACTCGAGGTCATTGAGTGGGCCCGTTTGTAAGCGACGAAGCATTGTGTATTGTATTAGCATTTTCTGGCATGATTGCTATTATTCGTTACTTGTTTGCATGCAAGTATCTCGGTTTTGCACGTCTGGCGTTTGGGCGGCGATTGGGTTTGGAAAATTGGGTCTCGTGACCGGTCGCTACATGTGTATAAAGACACATGTATACCTAGCTATGCTTTGCAGCTGAGTGCGACATGACTTGTTAGATGGATTGTGACCTCGTTTTCACGTTGCTGTGTTTTTCCTAGAGACGTGTCGTTGCTAATCCCGATCAAATTGTATCAACAGCGCACTGCGTTAACACAGAATGAAACAATATTAAAAGAGGCTGATTTTGAATCCGCGTCCTAATTTGCCAGTTACACTTAAGATTAAACGACATGTATAACAAGATAAAACGAGACATGTTCCGTTGCGCCGGGTACAATGATGGATTTGGCCTGACCAGAGATTTATCCTCTACACATTCCGTTGACTGCCTCGCTCGGGACCAGGGCCCAGTCGCGGACGTTGCCCTTGAAGTCGCTGATGCGCACCGTCTTGATGTCGACAACGATGACGCGGACGTCCTCGCCGGCGACGAAGCGGCTCGTGTCGGCCTCGCCGTGGGCAGCGGCGGGGGTGAAAAGGGCGCTGCCACTGGAGTCGTCAAACGTGTTGTTCTCGAGGTGCTGGGCGACGTAGAAGCTCTCCTCGTCGGAGCCCGTCGGGGCCAGACGCGCGGCACCCCCTATGGTGGCGCTGATGCTGGACATGGCGGAGCTGTTGAGGTTGAGCAGCAAGGTGGCGAGGCTCGAGGACGGCACGGGCTCGGGGGAGCCGCCGGACGGGCGCCGGCCGTGGGGACGGTGGGAGACCCCTGCAAGGATCAGCATAGTGACATGATAGGTGGGGGGATTGGTGACTGCTCACAGTCGTGCACGAGCAGGGAGACATTGGGGTTGGTGATGATGTTGGTCGTCTTGCGCGAAGCAGGGTTCGTGGTCATGACAATGACAGGCGCCGACGAGTGTGGCGACGACGGGAGATAGGTGTAGTTCATCAAGGATACTTGGGGCACATTATCCGTGCACGTCGCGAGATGCAGCTAGTCGACGCAAAGGATGCAAGCATCAGTCCTGGTTTTTGCAGCACGAGGTCGGGGCGGGGTCGGGTGGGCGTCGCGTACAAACCGGGCATTCTCGAGGCACTGCACGACCTCGGTAGGCAGGGTGCTGGTGACCTGCTTGTTCGTGTCGCCCTCGGAGGCTTCGTAGTTGAGGGGAATCTTGTCCATGGCGGCGGATGTTGGTATCGCGAGCCGCTGTGAGGACGAGTGGAGGGTGCGCTGCTGTGAGCCAATGGCAGATGTGGCAAAATCGCTGAGTGTGAAGCTGGAGAAGACGGCTGGGAGATGGGACGATGAACCCCGCCGCGAGGTGAAAGCCTAATCGTGTGTTCAGCGGCGGATAGGCGGAGCGCCGTGGCTGGTTAGTGGCTGGTGCAGCGGCACCAGAGACAGGGCGGTGCGCTTCTTATCTGCATGTTCAGGGCCTATGAAGAGTGGTAAAACAAGGCACTATAGATATAAGATGCTATTGCATATTTTGTCAATATATCAGCCTTTCTGTAGCCTTGCACACTCCATGTCAGGTACAGCCACTTGCGTGCGCCAGAGTCAGCGTGCTCGGCCTAAAATACCCCAATCCGGGGTAAAGATGGGCAGGTGGCCGGGCGCGCCGGCACAAGGCGGCCCAGCGGCCCAGTACAGTGTTGTCGTCACAAGACCCTCGCTAGAACCGGCTACTTTCGGCTCCCCACGGACGGTATTAGCTGCTGTAACTTCTGCTTCTGTAGCTGGTCGCGGACGGCGGCATCTTAAGACTCTCGACATTTTTTCCCTTCAATTTCTCATCTCCTAACCCTAGCCATTGGCTGCACTATACTCTAAGGATTCGCCGTTTGCTTCCTCTGGTGGTTACTTCTTTGTTTCTCGCACCTTTCCGCCACGCTCAACTTTCTCCCGCTGTTTGCCATCACCACTCAACAATGCGTTCACTCAGGGCTAACCGCCTCGCCCTGCGGCCCCTCCCCCGATATGCGTCCACCGCGGCCCCCAAGACGACGGCCATCCAGTCGGTGCTGATTGCCAACCGCGGCGAGATTGCCCTGCGAATCAACAAGACGGCCGAGCGCATGGGCATCCGCGCCACCACCGTCTACACCGACGTCGACGCCCACGCCTGGCACGCGTCGGCCGGGATCCAGTCGCTCTCCCTCGGCGGCGCCAAGGGCTACCTCGACGGCGACAAGATCATCTCCCTGGCCAAGAGCCACGGTGTGCAGGCCCTGCACCCGGGCTACGGCTTCCTATCCGAGAACCCGGCCTTTGCCCGCCGCTGCGAGCAGGAGGGCATCGTCTTCATCGGCCCCCCTCCCTCGGCCATGGCTGACATGGGCGACAAGGCCCGCTCCAAGGAGATTATGAATGCCGCCAACGTGCCCTGCGTGCCCGGCTACCACGGCCCCGACCAGGGCGAGCAGCAGCTGCTGGCGCACGCCAAGGACGTCACCTTTCCCGTGCTTCTCAAGAGCGTCCGCGGCGGCGGCGGCAAGGGCATGCGCATCGTCCTGACCGAGGACGAGTTCATGACGCAGCTCAAGAGCGCCCGCGCCGAGGCCAAGGCATCCTTTGGCGAGGGCGGCGAGGTTATGCTGGTCGAGAAGTACATTGTGCGCCCGCGCCACGTCGAGGTCCAAGTTTTTGCCGACAAGCATGGCAACACGGTCGCGCTTGGAGAGCGCGACTGCAGCGTGCAGCGCAGACACCAAAAAGTCCTCGAAGAGTCGCCCGCACCCGACCTGGACACGGCCACCCAGCAGGACCTCTGGAACAAGGCCCGCCTGGCGGCCTCGGCCGTCGGCTACGTCGGCGCCGGCACCGTCGAGTTCATCCTCGACAAGGATAGCGGCAAGTTTTACTTCATGGAAATGAACACGCGCCTACAGGTCGAGCACCCCGTCACCGAGATGGTGACGGGCGTAGACCTGGTGGAGTGGCAGTTTCGCATCGCCGCCGGCGAGAAGCTGCCGCTGAACCAGGCTGAGGTGGAGAAGCAAATGGCCCAGCGCGGCGCCGCCATTGAGGCTCGCGTCTACGCCGAGAATCCCGAAAAGGGCTTCATGCCCGACTCTGGCAAGCTCGTCCACGCCGTCCTGGCCGAGAGCCTCAAGGGGGATGAGGACGTTCGGCTGGACTGGGGCTTCGGCTCCGGCAGCGTCGTCTCCGAGGCGTACGATGGCATGATTGCCAAGCTGATTGTTCGTGGAGATACGCGCGAGACAGCTATTGCCAAGCTAGCCGGCGCTCTGCGCAAGTTTGAGATTGTCGGTCTCAGCACCAACGTCGAGTTCCTGAAGCGCCTCTGCGAGTCGCCTGCTTTCATCGCGGGCGACGTCGAGACTGGCTTCATCGACAAGTGGCGCGACGATCTGTTCAAGCCCCGGCACATCAAGGGTGAAGTCTTTGCCCAGGCCGCCCTCGGCGTTTTGAGCTTCCAGGCCGAGGAGCCCGGTCCCCATGGCTTGTCTCTTGGCTTCGGCGCGCCCAACGCCACCAGCGAGCGCAAGCTTGCTTTCAAGGTCCTTGACGGCTACAGCGCCAACGAGGGTGAGGTGGTCGAAGCCAGTGTCGCCCAGACCGGACATGATCTCTACACAATTTCCATCGCCCGCAAGGGACAGGACGCCCCCGAGGTCTTTACCAACATCTCGACCAAGCGTACCACCGAGGACGCCGTTACCAAGCTCAATTCGCTCTTCTCCCATGAGCGCATCCAGTCTACGGTTGTTCCACAAGAGGACGGCAACGACACCAAGGTGACCATATTCCAGCATGGTGTCAAGACAGAGCTGTCCCTGCTGCCCCCGCAATGGTACGAAAAGGCCCTTGGCCTCAAGGAAATTTCTGCCTCTGTGGCCGCTCCCATGCCATGCAAGATCCTCAAGAACGAGGTCCAAGAGGGTCAGACTGTCACAAAAGGCACCCCTCTGGTTGTGATTGAGTCCATGAAGATGGAGACTGTCATCCGCTCTCCTCAGGATGGTGTCATCAAGAAGCTCGCCCACAAGGAGGGCGATATTTGCAAGGCCGGCACCATCCTTGTTCTCTTTGAAGAGGATCCCAAGGCGGAGGAGTAAAGCAGTATAATCACTTGAGAGAAAAATCACATGTCAAGACTAAGCTATGGCGTTTGAGGGCATCTACGTGCGTGTATATAGATTTCTATTTGGGACGACCTTATGTCAATGTTGGATGCTGAGAACGGATATTTCAGACTAGAAGAAGAAATGCAAATTATGACATAACTACCTATACTCTTCCAAGTGCCATAATAACCAATATATATTTATAAGTTAAAGCACTTTAGCTTCCACACAACTATGTCTTATCTCGCGAATTATTTAAGCAGGCTAATATAGATATTAAATGACCAGTTATAACTAAGAGTATTTTATATAAAGGAGTTAAGAGAAGAATTTATATTAGAACTTATATATTTTTACTCTATTCCTTTTTCATTAGTTCATCCCTTAAATCTTACCGCTATCCCACTTGCTACGCTTAACGCCTATCTCGATAGCCGCCAGGCCCTAGTCCTCGCCATGGCCATACCCTTTGCCGTCGGCGCCGGCGCGGTTAAGGGCCTGCGCGTCGTTAAGCACCGTTAGTACGCCAAAGATGATAGGGACGCCTGTGTCGAGCTGCACGCGCATAAGGCTATGCGATACCGACTTAAATATACCAAAGTGCATCGTTTCGCCCTTAATACGCACGCAATAGCAATAATGGCGTCAAGCGCCGGACGGCGATTGGCAATTCCCACGCGCCGGAGCATGACTACACGACAATGTTGGACTCCTTAAGGTCGCACTATAGGAGCTTGCCCCAGACGCCGGCGATAAGCGGCTCGATGACGGTGGCGTTCTAGCGGGCGTGGACGATGCCGATGCGCAGGCCGGCGCCGTCGTGCTGCTGGGGGCCCTTAAGGGAAGAGGAGGAAATGATGGGAGATTCGAGGGGGGGAGATGGCGGGATGTAGAGGCGCGAAAGACTGGGCGGTTGTTGTAGTGGTTGCGCACGCTACAAAATGGTAACAACACCTCATGATAAAAAGAAAATTCGCGGCCGTAGCCTAGGTATTGTGCGTTCAATTACAAAAAAATGATGAACTGGACCTTGACAAGGTAAATTATAGAGGCTATTTATAAGTATAATAGTATGTAGTTACTCTTTTATTATCTTTATATGTATACTAGATTATAATTTATTTTTTATATATAGCCTTTACACTAGTAAGACTAGTTCGTTTTATTCTTTAGTTATGGTTGCTATCATAAATTGTGCACGTGCTATATAGTATACTCTTCAGGGTAGCTAGGGAAAACATCCTCATCTTGCCTCATGCACGCACGCTACACCATGCTTCCCGCGACATCAATTTCGACGAAAATCATACGAATTTCCCCGACGAACCAATACACACCGAACCCTGTGATGAGGCATCGGCAACGACACAGCCACACAACATGGCCGGCCTCCCTGATGTAGGCGGCCACGGCACCGGCCCGCCGCCGTCGACGCTCGCCGCGCAGCTCGTCGAGACCATTTCCGCCTCGTCCAAGTCGGCCGCGGCCCGCTCCGACGACCATGCCGAGCTCAAGGGCCTCTTCTCCGAGATACAGCGCGTCAAGGACCGGCCGGCGCTGCTGCAGACGCCCGCGCAGCGCACCGAGCACAACCACATGCTCGTCTACGTCTACTGCCGGGTGGTGCTCGACGCACTGCGGCTCGACGACGACGCCGCGCTGTTCGACGGCGCGCGCGCGCGGGCCGAGGCGTTCAAGGCGCTGACGTTTCTGCGCTTCACGATCAACGAGACACCGGGCGTGCTGTGCTTTGCCTCGGCGACGCACGGGCTGCTGTTTCGCGGGCCCGAGCCGCTCTGGGCGTGGCTGCTGCCGCGCTGGCTCCGCCTGCTGGGCCACCCGAGGTGCGCGGAGCTCGAGAGCGCCATGGAGGGCTTCTTGCAGTATCTGCTGCTGACGGTGACGCGGGTGTCGAAGCTGTGGCCCGTGATTGGGCCGCTGATGGTGTATTTGCGAGGCTGCTTGACGGGTACGTGACGGGAGCTGGCGGGAGGGGATGATGGGTATTGAGCTAACTTTGTGGTTGTGACAGGTCTGGTTGAGAAGCTGCAGTCGCCGCCGAGCAGTTCTTCGAAAACAAACGAAGCGATGACGATTGAAATGCCGCCCGTGCACGTTCTGGACCAGGTCCTGGGCGGGCCAAGCGCAACGGCGTCTGTCTCGCTGACGTACCGTATAAAGCTCCCCCAAGCGCTACAGCAGGCACACAGCTTGGCGCGCGTGCTCGCCTACCCGCTCGTCTGCCCAGACGCTGCGTTTGCGGCCATTGCGCCCATGTCGGAGACGGGACTGTGGCTGCTCGACGCCTGGCTAGACCTCTGGTCCGCGCAGAAGCGGCTGGATAGCGGCGAGAAGAAGTCGCCGCTGCCGCTGATCAACATGGCCGTGGACGTGGCCAAGGCGGCCAACGGTGACCATGCCGTGGCGACGGCCACGCGGAACAAGGCGTGCACGACGCTCGTATTGCTGTGCAGCGAGATGGCGGCGGCGCCGGACGAACTGGCCGAGGCAGATGATGCCGGTGGTGCGTCCAGGGCCAGTTACTGTCTCGCGCTGGTTGCCATTGCGCAAGCGGCGCTGCAATCGCCGACAATCGGTCGCCTGGCGGCGTCGAAACTCGTAAATGAGCTTTCTTTATTACCGTCGCAGTATCCTGTGCTCGGAGAAGAAACCGATATCTGGGTAAGAGAATATATGAATGTCTGTGGTAGGGTGCAAGTATGCTGACCAAGAGTAGAGATGTGCCCTTTTGCTTCGTGAAGTGGCCAATCTGGAAGAACCAAAGATGTTGCCTTGTTCGACGCATCCGTCGCTATTTCAAGATATAGAACTAAGGCGTTCTGTCGAAAGTATGCATCTGTTACATGAGCAGCCGACGGGCCAAGGGAACGCCATAAAACGAAGAAAACTGAATGCACGGGAAAACGATGCTCCTTCGCAGGCGTTACATGGGCTGTACGCCGCCCTGGAGCTGGATGCCCCTGCAGATGAGACGGTTTTGGAACCGGCTTACATTTTGTAAGTCTTGGTGTGAACTGACTTATGTATTTGCTAACTTCTAGCAGGAATGCCATGGAGACGTTGAATGATGGCTCAAGGTGTCTAGCTATTGACATGATGTCAAGGTTGTGTTGTCTTGTTGATGATCAGCCCTGTGAGCTTGACGAAAGACAGTGTGGGATTTGTTCTGCTAAAGCTACCCCCCAGAATATCAAGTCGCACAATATCAAAACAAAAATTCGCTCTATATTTATCGAACTGATTCGCCAAACGAGTTTTCTGGAATCGCGTCGACCACGAGTCGCCGCTATGCTTGCCCTGCGCCGGATCCTCCTCCACTGTGACGACTCTACTACACTCGACCTGGACACCTCTTCTTTGGGGCAGTGGTGTCTGCAATCTCTGAATAGTTCCATACGAGAGCTTCGTATAGCAGCGGGCAGGGTAATCGTCGTCTTTATGCCGCTCAAGGAGACGTCCTATATCGATGACAGCCTGCTCTCGCGAAACCGCAAACTTACAATTGGTCTGTTACGTCAGTGTTCCGATCGCGATCCAGCCCACTTTGTTGAATCCCGAATCATGGTTTGGGGCCAGCTTGGCAGAGTGATGCCAGAAAACGAGCTCAACCTGGTTCTGATAAAACTGCTCGACTATCTCGGCAGCAGCAACAGTTTTGAAGCCGCCGTCGCTTTCAACGAGCTTTTAAATCTGGCCGACTCGCGCAGCACCACGCCACGACGGCTGCTGGAGCCCTACTGGAAAAGCTTGGCATACATGGCGACCAAAGACATGGTTCGCGGGCCGCAACGAAGCAGAGCGATAGCGGAGCTCCTGCAAATTTCAGTCAACGACCTGTTGCTGCTCATTCAGACGCACGCGCTCCCCTGGTTGGTCTTGGACAAGCGGACAGAGGTGATTCAGAAGTTTGCCGAGGCACGGCAAGATAGTTTGGGCTGGGAGCCTCTGATGGACAATGCAAACATGGCTGCCATTCTGTCGCTTCTCATGATTCAAGAAACGGACGATATTGAAACATTTGTCAAATCTCGCCTAAACGACGTCGGTCTTCATCTACCTGACCGGCGGATTGTCGACTTATTACAAATTGAGCCCGTCTTGATTGCTATTGAACTCTTGAAGGCGGCCGGACAAGCCGATGGTGCAAGAAAGGAAACCATCACTGAAGCTCTCCGGTGGATGGCAACAAGCATCCTGACTGCAAATCCTGATACAAAAAAGTTAAAAAAAGGGAATGTGATTGGCAAGTTCCTGCAATCGCATATTCTAGGCTTGATGGCTCGCCTGACCGATGTGATCAACGACCCGGCCATGATGCACCCTGGGGAGATGGAGCAGCGCAACTGCATCCGTGCCCTGGACGAAATGATTATTCTCTGCCAGTCGCATGCGCGCATTGCGCGACCGCAAATATCCGCCTGTCTGCTCGCGGCACTGGCACAGGATTCGCTCCGTGATAGTTCGCTCTCCTGCTGGGCCTCTATGCTGGAGAACTTTGAAGAGGAAGATGTCGAGGCGCTTCTGGAGACGACGTTTTTCATTGTCAAACACTACTGGCCTAGTTTCAGTATCTCTTCGATGGACACAGCCACTACTATTGTGTCCTTTTTGCTGGAGAATCACGAAGCCATTGTCGAGAAGAACATTAGCAGCCTGCCCTCGTTCCAAGGCATTCCTGCCTTGTCCAAGCTGGAAGCACAGCTGCGCGCTCTCCGACCGAAGCTTCTTCCGGAGGAGCTGCTTCCCATATATGCCACGCGTCTTCGCCATGAGAACTCGGGCGTCGTGCAGCAAGCCCTGAATGAGCTTGTGCCATATCTTAGAGCCAACCAGAGCGCGCTGTACGCTTCCAATGTGGCGCAAGCGGACAGTGTCGTGACAACACTCATGCGTGCGTTGCTAGACTGCGCGTGCAGGTACAACAATCTGCATGGGAGTATCAGTCGGCTATGTGTCGAGGCAATGGGCTTGATTGGGTGCTTGGATTCGAATCGAGTCGAGACGGTCCGTGAGCAACGGTCCATCGTCATCCTGAACAACTTTGAAAATACTCAGGAGACGACTGATTTTGCCCTATTTCTGTTGGAAGAGATTTTGGTGCCGGCATTTCTTTCTGCGACTGATACTCGTCTGCAAGGATTTCTCTGCTTTGCCATGCAGGAGCTGTTGGATAGATTCGACATCAAATTTGCGATTGCATCGCAAAACACGGGAGATGTTGCTGGGAACAACATTTACCGCAAATGGCTTGCGCTGCCAGAAAACGTGCGCGAAGTCGTCACCCCCTTCCTCACCTCCAAGTACATGGTCGCTCCAATGCTGCCTGTCAAGGTGGAATATCCCATCTTCAGCCCTGCGAAGCCATACGGCAACTGGCTTCGGTCTTTTGTGATTGAACTCTTGCGAAACGGGCAAACTCCCTATGCCGACATGTTATTCGAGCCGCTGTCGCGCGTCATTCGTGTCAAGGACTTGTCAACGGCAGAGTTCTTGCTGCCGTACCTTGTTCTCCATGTTCTTCTGGGATCGACAAGCACAAATCAAGACAAGGACCAGATTCTCCACGAGCTTACGAGTATCCTGGAGCACAGTCCTGCAGAGGATGCCTCGTATGCTGAAAAGGAAGAATTCAAGCGCTACTGCCATGTAAGTCGAGTCGGACTCGGCATCATCTAATCTACGCGTACTGACTATTGCAGGCTGTATTTCGGGTTCTTGACTACGCCATGCGCTGGGTACATGGCAAGAAGTCTTCGGGTAAACTCTCGTCAGAGAAGAAGGAACAAGTAGCCAATATTCAGGCCATTCTCGACAGCATCTCCGCCGAACTCATCTCGCAGCGGGCGACTGACTGCAATGAATATGCGCGCGCCTTGTTCCACCTCGAGCAGCATGTTCAGAAATTGGAGCAACAGAAGCGAGAACCCGGCGATCGCAACCGGATGCTGGAGAGACTGCAGGATATCTATGCCAATATCGACGAGCCGGATGGCTTAGAGGGCATTTCGGCGCACCTACACGCGCTGGATATTAATCAACAAATTCTAGGCCACAAGAAGGCGGGCCGGTGGGCGGCTGCGCAGACGTGGTATGAAATTCAGCTTGCAGAGAAGCCAGACAATGTCGACGTGCAAGTCGAGTTACTGAGCTGCCTCAAACACGCGGGTCAGCATGACGTGCTACTCAACCATGTCGAATCAATGTTGACAGACTCGTCGAGCGATACCAAGATCATGCCGTATGCTGTCGAAGCGGCTTGGGTCACAGGTCGGTGGGAAAGCCTGGGCAAGTTTATTGAGCGGTTCCAAGGTGACCCAAGTCAAGACTTCAACATGTCGCTCGCGTCAGTCCTGTCGTCTCTTTATAAGAAGACGGATCGTGTGAGTCTGGCTCGGACAGTGCAGGGGATGCGCGAAAAAATTGCTTCGGCAATGACCACGTCTGCGACAGCATCGCTCCAAGCAGCTCATGATTCTCTGCTCAAGTGTCACGTTCTTTCCGATCTGGAAGTCATTATCAATCTAAAACCTGACAGAGAAGAGGACCGAAAGCAGGCACTGAGTCTGTTGGATAACCGGCTAGATATAATAGGAGCATATTTCCATGACAAGCAGTATATACTCGGCATTCGAAGAGCGGCCATGGAACTCGCGCGACCCACGTTTTCCGACCTCGACATTTCCGCGCTTTGGCTCACCAGTGCTCGCCTGGCCAGGAAGACGGATGCGACCCGGCAGTCCTTTAATGCTGTTCTCCACGCCTCGCAGCTCGGAGACGACTCGGCGACTATTGAAAACGCAAAGCTTCTCTGGAAGGATTCGCACCGCCGGCAGGCGATCCAGATGCTTCAAGGCGCCATTGAGCGCAACCGGTTCATGACGCAGACGGGCGCGTCGATGACGGCCAGCTCTAGTAAACTCGGCCCGCAGCAGAAGCTCCTGACGGCGCGCGCGCAGCTGCTCTTGGCCAAGTGGTTGGATACGTCTGGGCAGACGCACGCATCAGCGTTGCGTGAAAAGTATCAGCAGCCGCCCAAGACGCATTCCATGTGGGAAAAGGGCCACTATTACCTGGGCCGCCATTACAAGAAGATTCTCGAGGCTGAACAGCCTCTGAAGGCGGACGACCAGAGCGACAACTATGTCACAGGAGAGATTGCGAGATTGGTTATTGAAAACTATCTCCGGTCTCTCAACTTTGGCACAAAGTATCTCTACCAGACCTTGCCGAGGATATTGACGCTATGGCTTGATCTGGGTGCCCAGATCGACAAAGCACCTGACGGAAAGATGTCTCTGTCTCGCGAACTGCACAAACGCCGGGTGGAACAACTCAACGTGCTGCACAGCTTTCTCGACAAGTACATCAAGAGGCTACCGGCGTACATTTTCTACTCGGCCCTTCCGCAGATTGTCGCGCGCATCGCGCATCACAATGCCAGCGTCTTTGAGCGGCTCACGCACATCATCGTCAAGGTCGTGCAGAGCTACCCGCAGCAGGCGCTCTGGAGCGTGATTGGCGCCATTACGACAAAACAAGCCGGAGAGCGTAAGACGCGCGGGATGCAGATTCTGCAGATGCTTCGAAGCACGTCACGCAGGGTGGAGGGCTCGTCGTACGACCTCAAGCAGCTCCTGCGGTACGCGGAGAAGCTAGCCGAACAGTTGCTGCTTGCTTGCACAAATGGCGATTTCCAGGGCAACAAGACGGTCAATGCGAGCTTGACGCGGGACCTGCGGTTCAACCATAAGTGCACGCCCTGCCCACTTGTCGTTCCGGTTGAGGGCACGCTGACGGCGGCGCTGCCGACTGCGTCCGAGTACTACACGACGCACCGGCCTTTTTCGCGAGATGTCGTTACGATTCAATGCTTCCTCGACGATGTGCTGGTGCTGAGCTCGCTGGCCAAGCCGCGTCGGCTGACGGCGCGTGGCAGCGACGGCAAGACTTACATGCTGCTTATCAAGCCCAAAGACGACCTGCGCACCGACCAGCGGCTGATGGAGTTTAACGGCTTGATTAACCGGTCGCTGAAGCGCGACGCCGAGTCGAGTCGCCGCCAGCTGTACATCCGCACCTATGCCGTGGTGCCGCTGAATGAGGAGTGCGGCATCATTGAGTGGGTGCCGGGCATCAAGACGATGCGCGACACGCTGCTCTCGCTGTACTCGGCGCAAAAGATCCACCCCGACTACATGGCACTGAAGCAGCTGATGGACGAGGCGTCGGCGTCGGAGAGCAAGCTGCGCATCTTTACCGACGACGTGCTCGGCCGGTTCCCGCCGCTGCTGCCGCTCTGGTTCGTGCAGCAGTTTCCCAACCCGTCGGCGTGGTTCGCCGCGCGTCTGCGCTACACGCGCTCCTGCGCCGTCATGTCCATGGTCGGCACCATCCTCGGCCTGGGCGACCGGCACGGCGAGAACGTGAACCTGGAGGAGGGCAACGGCGGCATCTTCCACGTCGACTTCAACTGCCTGTTTGACAAGGGCCTGACGTTTGCCAAGCCGGAGCGGGTGCCGTTTCGGCTGACGCACAACATGGTGGCGGCCATGGGCATCCACGGCTACGAGGGCCCGTTTCGGACCTCGTCGGAGCTGACGCTGCGGATCCTGCGGCAGCAGGAGGAGACGCTCATGACGATTCTCGAGGCCTTCATCTACGACCCCACGCTGGACCTGCAGAAAGAGAAGCGGCCGAGGAAGAGCGATGCGGCGGCGGCGGCGGCGGCCGGGGTCCGGCTGCACCCGCAGAGCGTGGTGGATAGTATTAAGCGAAAGGTCAAGGGCTTGCTGCCGAATGAGAGCATTCCGCTGTCGGTGGAGGGACAGGTGGAGGAGCTCATCAAGCAGGCTGTCGATCCGAGGAACTTGACGGCCATGTATATTGGGTGGTGTCCATTCTTGTAAAGGGAATTTGGTGTATATATATATATATGTATAATTTTCTTCTGTCATGGTCTGTAGGTATCACGGGTATACATAAGCTGGCGTGTAAAATATCAGTTTTTATAAGCTCACAAGACTTGAATTGGTCGCGCTCCTTTGTAACCGTGGTATGGTTTACCTCATATCGCGCTTACTATATACTGTCCGCGAGTCCCTGATTTGACTGACCCTGACACAGCCTCTTTTCTTGCTTCTGAAACTGCCTCGTATGGAATTCGGTCAACGAGCTGACTTGCTCGACACGGTCCATCAGCACCAGCACCGGCCTCGGGCTGTACACGCCGTTGTCCGTCCGCGGCTCGTCGGCCACCCGCTTCAATATCGTGTGCATGACCAAGCCGGCCAGCGTGCAGCCTGACGTGTGCGACCTCGGGAAGGGGCCAGATACCGGCGAGACAAGTCGCACTGGGGGTGCCGTCCCCTGCCGCCGGCGACGGTGAGCTACTTGGCCACGGCGCCAACAATGTCCAGCAGCTTCCTCGTGGCCCGCCTCCGAACGGAGCTAATGCATTCTGTTTCGACCCCTATTATCAGCGGCCCCCGCACATACACGACGGGCTTTCCACCAAAACTTGGTGGTTGCCCGCTTACCGAGGATATGCGGCGGCTTGCACCGGCGGCTCCGCGACCGCCGCGCCGCCGTGCTCCGGCGGCATGCGGCGCGTCACGGCGCCAAACTCGTCTTGCCGGCCCAGCTCCCACGCAATCCAGAGCAGTTTGGATCATGTTTTTGCATCCTGCGAGATCTCGGCGAGGGACGCCATTCCCAGCCGGCGTCGGGCGTCGTAGTAGTTGCTCAGCACGGCCAGCGCGTACAAGGGCCATCTCCGGAGAGGAAGGGGCGGCAACGCGGGGGGAAGCGGGCTTGCGTGATGCTGAGGAGGACGTGCCATCCATCTGGGCTTTTCTTCGGGGCAGCGCGACGGTTGCGCTGCCGGGGCGCCGGCCGGATCCTCTGGCTGTCCACGGCCTCGATGTAGAGCCCAAAACAGCATGTGGTCAAAAGACGGGGGGAACGCCCGGGCCAGCGTGCGAGAGCAGGCGAGAAAATCAACGGGCTGCCAGGAATCATGGTCCCGTGCGGACAGCAAACTGGCCAGCGACGCCGGCTTGTCGTGGGTGAGGTCAATGACTCTCTGCCCCGCGCCGGGCCGCTCCTGTCCCGCGCGCTCAGCGTGGAGTGTCTCGTCAAAGACGGGCGAGGCGCACGACAGCGCGCGGGAGCAAGTGACGAACGTCGCAGGCGCGCATCGCCGTCGCTGTCAAGTGTGATCCTGTCGGGCGGCAATTTCGAACACCGTCAAGAACACCGTCAAGCTCCTGCAATTCTGTACGGCGATTTTTGCTAACCTTGTCACCCGACACTGGTTTTTACGCGCTTTACAAGAATCGTTCAATTGCTGGTGTGACGGCAGCCGCCTGTTTCAATCCGCGCTGTCGACCCTGAGAGTCGCACCTGGCGGTCAATTCAGCCCAGTCTCCCTCCCAGATCCATAGCCACGGCCGTATCTGGGACAAGTTGGAATTCTAAAGAAAGAATGAATACGACACAGCGACGGCGGTTGCTGAGCGGCTGCTTTGCCAACTGGAAGCTTTGCCGCCGACGTCGTTGACCTTGTCCTTGTTACCGGCTTCCCCGACATGCCCCAAATGGAGCTTCGGTTGCCACAGGTAAATAGTCTTATACTTGACCGTGTGCGCTGGTTGCGAAGCGCTTGTGGTTGGATGCAGCGGTGGTGATTGGAATCGTGCACCATGTGTGAGCAGACGCTCATATTCGACAACCACGGGGACTCTCAAGTCCGATTGAGCCGAGGCACGACTCGCTACCTTGTCTGTTCTCGCGCCTTGGCACGGACACCTCCAGTTCTCCAAGCCCAGAAGCGTCAATATGTCGACGTTGATGCCCCAGAAGACCGACGCACTCGCAGTGCGACCTATCAGATTGATGGCGACTCCTCCTTGACGATATCAACATTGCAGATGCACGTTTGCTCGCCGTCCGCTGCACACTCAGCCCCAAGCAAATACAACCTGTCCATTTTGACGTCCTGCAGGGTCATAGGTGCAGCAATACCCCTTTCCCTGCGTCAGGCTTTTGTTTGGTCTAAGGATCCCCAGGCTGCTTGCCTGGAATCCGAAGTGACACTTTACAAGCTCTCTTTGCAAAGCTACTCCTCCTGGAGCAGAGCCTGACATGGTCTCGTTTCGCTGTGTGAACTGGCCCCTGTCGCTGCCGCCATGCCACCATGATGGAATCGCCGTTGGATGCGGCTGGCTTGTGGTCGTTGCCAGAGGTAGCTAGCATGGAAGAAAGCCTCGCAGAAGTGTATTCGAAACTTGCGGCGGTTGTCAGCCATAATTGCATGGGCCACAGGGACTGCAGAACTGGTGTCAAAGTATGCAAGATGTCCTGAAGGTGCAGCTCGAGGACATCAGCGGCATAAGAAAGGATGACTAGAATGTATTTTCAGAGGTAGAAATGGAAGAGCAAAGCCTGTTCAAATGTTTTTTATAGAAAAGGAATGAATTTCAAACCCCGAATTCCAGATATATCCCAGGTTTAGTGCAACGGGCTGTGATAATGCAGCTCGCATTGACGAATGCCAGACCACCACTCCAGCTCGCCACGCCAGCCCACGAAAAGGTACTTGCGAGCGTCCCAACGTGGCGCACTGAATTCGACCCGGACAACTTGCGGATAGTCGTCGACTTGTTCCATCAGGAACCAGATACCACAGCCATCAACAGACTGCCAATGGTCAATCTGGCCAGGGACTACACGTCCGAGGCAAGCACAGGCCCCATCTTGGTAACATAGCATGATGCCGATGATGAAATTTTCCTCGCGGCACAAACGAACCTGTACTACGTTTTCGAGGCGAGCCCTGGAGTAGTAGAATAGCTCGTCCGAAGCCGCGGCGGGATGTGACGATCGAGGCCTTGGCAGAAGCGTTTCCACAGCCACCTTCACCGTACACTTTGGTCTGGCTACATTGCATGTTCCTATTCCCTGCAGACCATCGGTGAGGTCGAGATGGAGAGTTGCAGGTTCATTTTCTAGAGTCATGAGCCACTCGTACCAGTAATCGCGCTCCGAGAACTGGTATGGGTGTTCGCCCATGACGTGGACTTGCCCGGTATTCATGATAAACTTCAAAGTCAGTAAAGCGCCGGCTTGAAATTTGACAATTTTCATATATACATACGATCAGGGCCGACGTTGTTATCGGAGTCTCCAAGCGGAACCGGGCCCAGATTTGGCTCACCCATTCCCCGGCATTCATTGGAGTGAACAGATGCACAGCTGCTTTACGCCGCGACATGGGCAATGAAGCACCGCAACCTGATTGATGCGCCCATATTGCCACAGTATCGCCTGCGAGGCTGGTGTAGTAGCCAGTCGTCCTGGCATCGTTGATGCGTAGAGGATCCATCTGTATGCGAGGGAGCATGTCTTTCGGCATCCAAACTTTAAGTTGCCGCGCTGGTAAACGAGTCAACGCCCGCACAAGGGACTTGGGACATTTAATGGTCCGAAGCTTCAATCCCTTTGATTTGTTGAGTCAGCAGAGGCGAGAAAAACAAAGATGGAACAGACGCACATCACTGGTGGTAATCAGCGTATCGGAGACGAGTTCAAGGGGAATGGCCTCCCACCAAATATTTTCTCGCGCCTCGGCGGAAACCTGTGCAGCGTCTGGTGTGAACAGAACCTTTCTGATACCCCAAGGATCAGAGGCGACATAAATGACATTTGATGCCGGCTTGCCAGGGCAGTGAATGAGGACGGACACGACGCCCCTCTTCTTCTCGGGTCTGTTTGAGAGGCGAGAAAGATAGGTCCTTCCGTGCACCTTGATGTATTGGGCCCAGATACATGAAGAGATGGAAATTGACATCGAGCCGGGCTCACCAAGGGGTAGCAGTTGAGTCGCCGCCGTGCAGTAAAATCTGACGAGGTATTCTCCAATGAACTCGCGAATTTCAAAAGGGAGTCGAGCTAGCAAGGGTTCGGTCGCAGTATGGGTAATTTTGTCCAGGATTTCGTTGGGCTCTGCAATGCTTGTTCGTTGATCGGGAATAAGATCATGCCGAACAACTGCGCCAAGCTGTCTGGCTGGGATGTCATGGCTTGCATACAAATAGCAGCTCTGGTGAAACACCGCCGACAAGCGTTTTCCGTGGTAACAGGACCAACAGGCCCAGCCACAGTATGCGTTGCGGCTTTCTTGGGTGATGGATCCGTCAGGCCTGACTTCATTTCGTTAAAAGATTATCGCCATGTCGAAGACGCAGTGTCACATACTGGTAACCACAGTCTCCCCCGCATCCAGCTCCAAGGTGCACAGCCCACAGAATCGAGTCGAGCAGCCAATGAAGGCATTCTTTTTGTTCATTGTACAAAGAGTGAAGGCCAACCACGCGGACAATTTTATTTCTCGCGCCTGTAGTCGGTGTAATGTTTTGACGGAGAAAGGGGGCGGCTACCTGGTGACACAAACATGGAGAGATCATCACGTGAATCAGTCGTCAGCGTCGTCCTGCGAAGAGCAAGTCAAGTCGCGGCGGCTAGCAGGCGCCAACACTGGAGCAAGGCCGCAGGTAAATATCGGGCAACAGCCATGGAAAACTCGACCAAGACAATGACGCATCTCCTTTCTACGTTTTTATTTCCATCCTCTGGTAGAATTCCACCAGCTGCTACCGCGCACGCTGCGCACGCTTGCCTCGATGGCGACGAAGACGCTCCTGACGAGCATACGATATCACCTTCAACGACAACACGCCGAGGCGAGAGCGCCGAATGGGTTTGATGAAGCACTGAAGCGGGTGTGTGCCTCGGAGAACACGCTGGAACGCAGACTGCTGGAGCAGTCTTTACTAGCTTGGGCCGCCTTGGTGTCCGAAAAGACTTACAGATCATCTCTGGATCAACTGTCGGCCAACGACGCCGAAGAGCTCTTGCGCCATATAATGGACATGGAGCCCAGTGACGGTTTCAAGGCGAATATATGTCGTTTATTTAAAGACTCCGGCACGCGTGCCACACAACGACGAGGTAGTATAACTGATTTGCCCCGCTTAGTTAGGCCTGTGATTGATGCGGTTTCTTACTATCTCCAGTAGAACTTCTATCACGGACAGGCCTTGATTTCCTTCTCGACAACACGTTCCCACAACCACAGAGCGGTACACACCATACTCATGACGAAACAGAGCGACACGTTACCCTCGATGACGCAGACGAGATTTGGGGCGCCGTAAGCAACGACAACACGGACCAAGTCGCTCCCAGGCCTACCGAAGGTGCGGTTCCGCCACAAAGCGACGCAATCAACCCAACTCTAGGTATATCGGAAGATTGGGGTTTCAACTTCGCCTTGCTGAGGCCGGAGGCCAGACATCTGCCACGAATATTCACGCAAATCATGTGTGACAGAATCGTGAAAGAAAACGGGCTTGCCAAAATATCAATACAACATAATAATGATTTACTCAAAAGCTTCCTACGGATCGAGATTATCCGTAGCTCTGTGCCCTATCTGGCTCTCCAGCTCTTTGGTATCACTCTCAAAGATAGGGCATCCAAGTGGGCGATTGTGTGGCCGCAGGGGTCCGAGATGGAGATTGTCGGGCCGGATGCGCAGTTTTGCGTGTGCCGTGCCCGTGAGGAGGCTATTGAACGCGAAATAGGAGCCGTTGCTCTCGAGAAGATCAAAAATTCGCCAGACCGCGCGACCGAGGTCACCAATGGAGAGGGACTTACACGCCTCGTCCGCCTGGTGGTCTTTTTCCACGAGGGATCAAACGCTTGGCTGGAGATACAACCGGGTGATTCCATGCTTGAAGAGGTCAAGTCCATACTTTGGCAGAACCCCTTTTAAAGACGTTGTATCGGTATATACAAAACTCCGTGATAGATGCGTTTTCCTCAGGTTCAGCAATACGAGTTCGTTCATTCTATCGATTTGACTGAATGTTTCAAGATCAAGGTCAGGGATGATCGGTTGGGCCCGAGAAGGGAGATGAGTCAGAAGCTCCCGAGCGGTGCTTGAGTATGTAGCTCGCCATTCTCTGGTTCTGATTTGAGCCGCACACGGTTGTGTAGGACAACAAAAACGTCTATTCGTCGTGGTGCAACTTGCTGGCTTCAACGCGAGGTCAGGACTGTGTTGGCGTGGGTGGTCATGTGGGACTTTGGTTCTGCGGGACTGTGTTTAACCGGGGCTACGATTCATGTGGGACTGTGTTTAAAAGGTGGGGGTTGCTTCATGGGACTGACTGTGTTCGTCTTCGTTCGTCTTCGTACATAGCCATCTATGTATTGATGTGTCGTGGTAGCCAATGTGAAGAAGCCAGTTACGACTGTGTCGAGCAGTCAAGTTGTAATATAAATACAACGCTTATCCCCCGACCCTACAAACCCTCCATAGCTTTAATCAAAATACGCAATCCTCCTCTTAACCCGAAAATTTACCAACTTGCAAAATGGCCACTCATTCCATCTTGGACAGCGACCAAATGGTCAGCATTTATCACGGCGCCAAGGGCAAAGAAGCCTACTCTATCCGGTTTTGGAACCCTCGACTCAATCAAGACTTTTGCCTTCCAATTTGGCTTGTGGCCCCCGAGCAACCAACTAGCTCGCGACCTGGAATCCTTGATAGGGTCGACACAACCGTGGAGCGTTGGTGGCCAGAACAACGACAGTTCAGACATTTCATGATTCATGAAGCAAAACGTGAAGGTTCGAGTGTGGTACACCTTCATGAGCAAACTGTGCGTTATGCCAAAACCATCGTCGGGGAGAATTTTCTTGGCGAACTTTTTGTCCTGACCACCATTGGCACGACCTTTCGAACCTGGGTTTTCAAAGCCCGATCGGAAGCTCTGCATCCACTGTTTGGGGCGCCTGGCGACGATAGGAAGGAATACATTGATGCCAGTCACCCATATGCCTCTGCATACTACTCAGCCTTTCTTGACAAGGTTCGCTCAATTACTCTTCCAACTGTGCCACCTCTGCCCAGCCAGCCGATCCCACCGGCCACGGGTGATTCCGATGAATCCATGGTGGATGATGGTGATATCCCTCAGTATCCAGAGCCTGAACTGCACATGTGTGAATCGGTCAAGTTGGAGTACACAAAAAATCGCACAAAGTTCAAATTTACCAGAGAAGAGGGACAGATTGAAGGAATAATGCCGGTCAGCCATTGGACATGGAGCATGAATCTGAAGAGGTGGTGGACATACTCCACCACCTTGGAAATGTATCTTTGTGGCAAAGCGGAGTGGTGATTTACAATTTTCTCGCAAAAATGGTTACGCAAGTCGTTGAGCTGTTGGGGAAAAAAAAGAAAAAACGAAAAAAAAAATTGCAGAGCTTACAGCTCATATACGATTGCCAGCTTTAGTCTATTAACTTTCTTTGACTCTATGATAGTATTGACAATGAATTTTATATCGGAGAAAATTTCGCCCTGACTCTTTGTCTACTGTTTCTAATACTCAAACTCAAAGCAACTCTTTCACCCCTCGGTCCTCCCACTATTTTAGTATTAGCTACTATGAACCCGCAACTATTTGATTCTTTATAAGCGTAAGCCTCATCGCCAGGCTCCACAGGCTCGAGTCGGCAGTCGCGGAGCTTTTAATAACTACCTAATTTATTATTAGTTGGGCTCCAGATTTTAGATTTTAGGGGTCTGATGTCGCGTAACAGCAAGAGCGGGATCCACACCTTACTGGCATGAATTTGACCTCGAGTATTGTTCAACATACGTCCCGGCTAACCAAAACCTTAGAAACCAACATCTCCGGTACAAAAAGCCAGATTTTTTTATTGTAATTAGACGCGCTAGCCAGCGGACTCGAAGGAGCCTGGAAGTAACCTTAGAGTGCTCGAAGTAGCCCTATAGTGCTGGCCAGAGCGCTGGCGAGAGCGCTGGCGAGAAGCACCGGGTTCCCACTACATAGGTACCTACCTATGTATGAATAACAGAATAACGCAATATCGCAATATCGCAATAACGAATGTCCCGTTATCTCTAAATAAATAATTTAAATAACTAAGTCTTACAATTGCGCCCTTGGAGGAAAATACCTAGTAATTCCCTACAACCCCGTTATTCGCAAGCTTCTTCAAGCCATCACGTCTGGGCTGGGCCATTGCCGCGACGCCGCGATTGGATATGAGTCTCGTTGTTAATATATAGCGCAAACCTAGCCACTTGGCTCACCACGCAGGAGAAACCTTTACCGAGCCCATCAATCAGCAGGCGACGATAGTTTGCCATTTGACGGTTTGCTGCATCTGGGAGCAAACAGACATGGGGCTGCATCGGGCATGCGAGGGCGCGCTCCCGTCCACCGAAGCTCACAAATAGGGAATCGCGCCAACTAGTCAAATTATGAAAGACGGGCGTACAACCTTGTCTCACCTTGTCCCCCGACATCGAGGCCGCCACAGCTTCTCATAAGGATAAGGAGGGGAACCCCCCCCCCCGGGGTCTTCCCGCCTGGATCGAGACAACTTTGTACGCTTGTCAGTATCTGCCCTTTCCATGCCGAATAATTCGAAAAAGGGGGCACAGAGTCCCGCCTCCAGCGGCGACGTCCTAGCCGAAAAGCCTCAACTTGTACGCAAAATGCTTTTCTTTCTTCCAGTGGCAGATCTAACTCACTCCTCTCCTAGACTCATGAGGATGGCCAACCCCTGGCACAGACCGACACACAGGCTCGGGTCATCATGAAAGACCTCAACGTCACGGAAGATGACCTGCTCGAGGCCAAGGAGCTGGCTGCTACATACTCGCTCGACGAGGTGAAGCGCGTGAGTCGCACGGCTTACAATGTCCTGTACTGCAGAATACTCATATCGTCAGTTGATGACGCACGTGTACAAGATTCACAGGCGCGATCCCAACTTTCCCGCCAGTGTCATTGACATGATTGACGAGTTCCTGAGTACGTCCAACAAGGATGCCCTCCCTCTTCTGCTCCGCACACTCATCCTCCCTCCTCTGTCCAGCCGACGACGACATTCTCAAAAACCCCGCAAGGCACGCAGCCCTCATCGCCGCCATGAAGATCCAAACCGCGCTTCTCACCGCCAACTCGCCCTACGCCGAAGTCCGCGCCGTCGTCGACCACCACGACGACCCCGGCCTGCCCGCCTCCACCATCCGCTCCTGGTCCCTCGGCCTGCTGTTCGCCTGCCTCATGGCCTTCATCAACGGCTTCTTCGAGCCGCGCTTCCCCGCCATCTCCGTCGCCAACACGGTGCCCCAACTCCTCGCCTACCCGGTGGGCACTTTCATGGCGCGTGTCCTCCCCGACTGGGGCCTCACCGTCTGGGGCGTCCGGCACAGTCTGAATCCGGGCCCGTTTAACAAAAAGGAGCACATTTTGGTGAGCATCATGAGCTTTGCGTACGACACGGCGCCGTACACGAACCAGATTGTCTGGATACAGACGCTGCCGCAGTACTTTGACCAGGGCTGGGCGTACGACGTTGGCTACCAGCTCTCCGTGGCGCTCTCCACGGCGTTTATCGGCTATGGCTTTGCGGGCATCACGCGCCGTTTCATCGTCTGGCCGTCGCATTGCATCTGGCCCAACTCGCTGGCGACGATTGCGCTCAACTCGGCGTTTCACTCGAATGACGGGACGCAGCCGGTGCCGGGCCCGTTCAACACGACGTGGGCGTGGTCGCGCATCAAGTTCTTTCTGGTTGTGTTTTTCGCCATGTTTATCTACTTTTGGCTCCCCAACACGCTGTTTGGCGCGCTCAGCTCCTTCTCGTGGATCAGCTGGATCGCCCCTACCAACCGCATCCTCACGGCCATCGTAGGCTCTCAGACAGGCCTTGGCTTGAACCCCTTGCCGACGTTTGACTGGAACACCATCACGGCGTACCTTGACCCCCTCTACATCCCTGCGTTTACCACGTTCAACTTTTTTGCCGGCACCTTTACGAGCATGTTTATGGTTCTCGGCATCTGGTTCAGCAATGCGTACGGCAGTGGTCATTTGCCCATCAACTCGAACCTGCCTTGGGATCGCTTTGGCGAGAGATACAACGTCACGCGTGTGTTGGATGAGCATGGCGCTCTTGATGTGGCCAAATATGAAACGTACTCGAAGCCGTACCTGTCTGCCGGAAAAATGGTTCAGTATTTCTGCTTCTTCGCAGTGTATAGCGCGTCCATTACCTATGCTATCCTCCAGCATCGCAGCGAGATTTGGGCTGGCATGTCTTCTGCATTCCGCAACATGTTCAAGTCCAACGCAGCCGCTCGCGAAGAGGTGGGGTTTTTAGACGTGCACATGCGTGAGATGAGCAAGTATCGAGAGGTGCCGGATTGGTGGTATATAGTAGTTCTTGTCCTCTCTGCCGCCCTGGGTATGGTGTCCATGGCCGTGTGGCCCACGGGTACCAGCCCGGCTGTGGTGGTATTTGGCATCCTCATGTGCGCCATCTTCGTCGTGCCCATCGGCATCATGTACTCCATGACGGGATATCAGGTGACCTTGAACGTCATGGCCGAGTTTATCGGCGGTGCCGTCTCCAACGGTAATGCCGTGAGCATGGCCTACTTCAAGACTTACGGCTACCTCACCTGTGCGCAAGCTCTCACCTTGGCGCAAGATCTCAAACTCGGTCACTACGTCAAGATTCCGCCGCGCATTATCTTCTGGGCGCAACTGGTTCCGACGTTCATCTCCACGTTCATCTTCGTTGGCCTTTTGCAGTACCAGCTACACATTGACAAGATTTGCACGCGAGCCGCTCCGTTCCGGTTCATCTGCCCCGCCCAAAATTCATTCTTCACCGCGGCTGTCCTCTGGGGCACTGTTGGTCCCGCGAGGCAGTTTGGCGCCGGAAGCCCGTACTGGACGCTCTTGATTGGCTTCCCTGTCGGCGTCGTCACTGTGCTGGTCTTCTGGGGCTTGGGTCGGAGATTCCCCAAGAATTTGGCGCTGCGCAGCGTGCACCCGGTCCTCCTGCTCGCTGGCGGCATCGGCTGGGCCCCTTACAATATGACACACATTTGGCCTGCCGTTCCCATTGCTGCCTTTTCTTGGTTATTCGTTCGCAGCAACTACCTTGCGTTTTGGTCCAAGTACAACTACGTCCTCTCGGCGGCCTTTGCTGCTGGTGTCGCCCTCTCGGCGGTGGTTCAGTTTTTCGGTCTTGCTTTTACCGGAGTCGAAATTACGTGGTGGGGAAACAGCGTCGTCGGACTAGGTTGTGAGGGTATCGCATGTCCTCTGCTGCCTTTGCCCAAGGGCCAGGGGTTTGCTCCTAAGCCCAATGGCCAATACTAATGATATTGGCTTCTAGCAAAGGATCTGGCCGTAAGAATTTCGCTAGGCTCCTCACAATGCTTCTGTTGACCGCCCCGGAGCGGTTTATTCAAAAGCTTGGAGTGCATCCTCAATTTAAATCACATTTTGAGCCCCCTTTCGCCCATTTACCAGCCAGAATATGGTGCGCTCGCTGTCAGTATCGGCCAGCAGCCCGACGATCCAGCAGCTGGTGGATAGGTGCAGGCCTCGGCCACCGCCTTAACGATGCCGTACATGGTGTTGGCCTGCTACGACGTGTCGCTGACGGGGCGCGCGAGGGCGTCCGATGAGGCGGTGCACCGAAAGGCAGCCGCGAGATCGTCGGGGCTGGGCTGCATTTTTTGACACTGTTGTGGTTTGCGGAGGCGAGACGGGATGGGCCGGCGCGCTAGGCCGGCGCGCTAGGCCGGCGCTTAGCTCGAAAACTAAGGACTGTCAAGTGGGTGCATTGAGTAACCAAGCCACCGAAGACTGACAAGTCATTGCTTGATGATTCGATTTACCCAAAGTGAGTGTCGTTTGTGCAGGGTCCCGGCGCCAAGGTTTGTACAACGCACGAGGCAGTTCCCTGTCTTGTCTGGCCGGACAGTTGGCCTTCATATAGCAATTTACATATAGCAGCATTTTACAATGACATTTAATTTTGTAAATAGCCCCTAGCGATGCTTCAACAGAAATTAAACTCTGGATTACAACTCTGGATCGGCACAGATCTATTTGTTGATCAATCTCCCACTGGTACGCCGTAGACGTCTTCATCACGTAGTCACGGCCACAGCCATCATGTTGGTCTGCCCTTTCAACGGCCATATTGCCCGCCATGAGAGCAAGCTTAGAGGAAAAAATCCCACGCTGCAACTACGACGCTGCGCCGAGGTAGCTAGCCTAGCTCCATGACCAAGTGCGGGCAGTCCCGTCGGGATTCTATTTGTGGGGTAATCAGCTCCCGACGGCACATTAGCTGCCATCGTCAATATCGCATGTTAGTAGTTTCAGGATTTCAGAGTCCATCCTAACGTCGAGTGTGACCCCGGGTACTGTGCTCTTTCGCTGACAACAGAAGGACGTTGGTCGTGGCACAACACTTACAAGCCCTAGAGTCGAGGCTGCAGGCGGAGGAGGATTGTCGCGGTGGCGGTAAACAATCCATCCGCGGAGCCTCATCGGCCGATCCTTCAACCTATAAAACAACGCAATAACAGTCTACGGACCAGTCTCCTCGTACATCTCGATGACAGCAAAGCTACTACTCCAAGGACAAGGTGGCGGGTGAGTAGGTGTATTTCTCGACAGCATGGCTACTCTACCCAAGACGATTGCGAATTTCATGTAAATTCACTCTACAGTAGTCTATTCAACCCCACCAGTCTCATTCCCTTCGTCAAACCGCCTGCGCCTCGCTCAAAACCACCCAATAACCAGCATCATCGTTCCGCGCACCACGGCTTTCTACATCTTGTGCCTGCCCGTCTCCGGCTCGTCCTCGGGCACCAGCACCGCCCGGAAGTGCACCTCGCCCCTGTGCAGGCGGTCCAGGGCCTCGCGCACGCCGCTCTCCGTCATGGGAAACGTCTCGGTGACGGGCTTGATGGCGTGGCGGGCGGCAAACGCGAGCATGTCGCGGTGCACGGCGCGGGTGGCGACGAGCGCGCTCTGCACGACGACGCCGCGCAGCAGCACCGGCGCGTACGGCACCACGAGGTCCCCGCCGCCGACGCTCAGCGGCACGATGCGCGCGCGCACGGCCATCATGGGCATGATGACGGCCCAGTCGGGCAGCGCCGACGTCGTGACCAGCAGGCGGTCCAGCTCCCACGCGTCGTCCGCTGCTGGCGGGGGGGCGCCGCCGCCGCGCAGCAGCAGCTGGCTCGTCGCGAGGAAGCGGTCGGCGCCCAGACGCAGCGCCTCGTCGCGCTTGCGGTCCGAGCCGGAGAGCACGACGACGCGGCAGCCCATCTTGCTGGCGAACTGGATGGCGAGGTGGCCGAGGCCGCCGACGCCGAGCACGCCGACCGTGTCCGTCGGCTGGACGCCCAGCAGCGCCGTGAAGACGGTCGCGCCGCCGCACTGCAGCGGCGCCGCGTCCACCGCCGAGAGCCCCGGCGGCAGCGCGTGCAGCCACGCCTCGGGCCACACGGCGTGCGTCGCGAAGCTGCCCTGCTCCGGCGACGCAGAGCCGTACATCTGCCGCCCCGCGCAGTACGTCTCGTCGCCCGTCAGGCACGGTCTGCACTGCCCGCACGCGCCCGTCTGGTAGCCCCAGCCGACGCGCTGCCCGACCCGGAGGGCGCGCACGTCGGGGCCGACGGCTTGCACCTCGCCGACGCCCTCGTGTCCGAGGACCATGTCCTTTTTACGCTGCAGTTTTTTTTGTTAGATGGCTTTTCTTTTTCATTTTGTTTTTTCACAGAAGCTAGACTCCTCATCTGGAAAAAAACGTACGTAGTGTAGATCTGGTAAAAAGAGGTTAGCGGGATAGGCAGTAGTGGATGAGCCGAGGTTCAACGTACCGGTGCCGCAGACGCCAGACGCCAGGACCTTGAGGAGGACTTGGTCGCCGGTGAGCTCCTTGGGCTTGGTCGTGGTGCTCTGGACGGGCGCGCCGTCGGGGGCGCCCTTGTACACGGTAAACGAGAACATGGCTCTGCTTGGAAGTTCGTCGAGAGTGGTGATGCTCGTGGGTTGTGGTGGTGAGAAGTGGACTAGTGGGAAGAGTTTCAGGAAAACCAATGACGACTAAGAGGCAAAAATGTCAGCCGCAGGAACTGCTTGTACTTGTATATCTCAGAGATGGATATGAAAAAGATGAGTGAGTATTGACAAGTTTAAATAACTAAAAATGCCGAATACTTCGGTCTATTCAAACGCGGGACAAAAAACCCCGGCAAGTTGCCGTTTGGCTTGCCCGTAATAACTAGTCTCAATGTTTGCACAATCGCCGAAATGACCCTTTTTTTTCTTCCTTTAATAAATTTTTTTTTTTTCCGAGCTAGCGGTCTGGCGGTCGTTGACAAATACCAAAAAAATCGAACAAGCCAATCACGAGGGAATACACGACGAGGCTTCGAAATCGGATCAACTTGGCCCAAGCTTTATTCTGGGCTCCATCTTCTCGTTTCGGGGATTAGCAAAAACGTGGCTTACAAATTCATCTCGACCTTTTTAACTCCGTCGTCTGATTGCGTTTATCGGGACTATTTGCCTGCTTGTTAGTAAGCTCGAAAACGGTCCATGGTTCGTGTTTCATTCCGTCGTGGCCGGGGTTCGCTCTGGCATGATGACGCGCGGGCTTGGCGATTTGGTATTGCCCGATTGAGAAGGCTGTGACAACGGCCCATCAGAGACATCACGCCACAGCGTCATATCTTACGTCCGATCCCGCCCTCACAACCGCCCTTCCGCGCTGCTTGTCCGTCTTGTATTGCGGCAGGGGGTAACCCCGGTTTTGCTGGGCAATCACACGTCTTCCTGTATTGCCTCTTCAAACATCCACAACGCACCCATCAATACCAAGCCGAAAGGGGCTCCTAAAACAACATGTAATTCAATGTGTGCTTCGATATGTAATCAGTGTGCCTCGTTATATCATCATTTTGGGCGCCGGCCACCTATATACAACTCCGTGCCTTGAGGAACCGCCCTGATCGCTTCCCCTCTCCCCTCCCCCAACCAATACACGAGCAAATATGTGAGCAAGATAAAAGCAATATATGGAAGCAAGATATTGTAACAAACAACCAAGAGCAGAGTGGTGAAAAAAAAAACAGCTTCGCTTATGCAATATAGACCGTTCATGCATTCGGCATCATGCCAGCCCTGTCATACAAATGACAGCTTGGCCAGCACACAGTACTCGACATAGTCCTGCCCATCAATCGTAATAATCTTGCCGGGTGAAACGAGCTTTCCTCTAAAAGAGCCGTTTGTTCTCCGCACATACGTCATGCCGTTCAACACAGCTGATCTGGGTTCATCGTCGTCATCCTCGTCGCCTGTCGGTGGGCTGGCAATGACAATGCTCCTCTCGTCGGTCGACGTGCTCTTCCTGTGTGCCGCCGTGGGCAGGGCTTTGCGCGGCGGCGGCGGTGAGACGTACGGGTGTTGAGGGAGAGGCTGCCGTGCGGGCTTGGGGGCAATGGCCTGTATCGGGGGCAGGCGCTCCTGGTCCTCGAGGTCCATGGCGTCGGCGGCCAGGGTGGCGTGCAGAGGCGGCAGGCGCTCCTGTTCGTCAAGGCCGTTGGCAGCGCGAAAGGCTTTGAGTGGCGGCAGGCGATCCGGGTCTTCGTCGACCTTGATGTTGGCGGCGCGAAACGACGACGACAAGGGACGGTCGTCGGGCAGACGGTGCCCGCGGACCCTGGGTGACGGCGGCCTGTACGGGTCCCTGTCGGCGGGTTGGGGCTCGTCCCCGAGCGGCGAGGCAGAGCGCCTCTTTTTAGAGCCGGCCGACGAAGTCCGGTGATGCGAAGGGGGTTTCTGGACGGGATGGGAAAGGTCGACATCGGAGGGCGGGGAGGTGGGCTTGATGCCGTGCGTCTGTTCGTGCAAGGCTTTGGCTTGGGCGCTGGCGGTGCCAATCTTGCGAATAGCGCGCTGGCGGTCGGCGCACTTTTCGCGCTCCCAGCGAAGGTTGCGGGGTCGCTGGCCCTCGCCAGTAGTCGAGATGCGCACGGCGTAATCGACGGCCTTTTGCACATTGGCCTCGATGCTGGCCGCGTCCTCGCCGGATGTGACCTGCCTACCCCGCTCGCGGCAGTACTCCTTCATGCCCAGGCGGTTGAGGTCAAGCAAGTGGGGGAGCAAGACAATCTCTTCATGAATGAGCCATGTTTCCGAGGGAGGTGGGTAGTTGCCGCGAATATTCTTGCCGTCGCGAGTCTCGGAGACGAGCTTAAAGCGCAGTTTGCCATCGCGGCTCAAGATACCATAGACGGCGTGTTGGTCTGGCTCGGGCTCAGATGAGTAGAGCCAATAGCCAACCAAAATGCGTGTTGGGTAGCGGGCAGCAAAGTCGGAAGAGCCGCCAATTTTGGAGTAACTGTGCATATTTACAGACGACGACGAGAGAGTAGTCTGACGAGTGGCGCGAGGGCGGTGGTTTTTAGGCTGAATAGGTACCAAGGCCGTTTCCCCTCTCTTGCAACGGTTGGTGGTGGTGGTGACTGAGTGATGGCGTTTGGTGGGATGTGCTATAAAGAGCAGCCTATAGATGTCATGGCCTCGGTCATGAATAGAGACACGCAAGAGATGCGCGACCGGGAGATTCAAGCACAGGATGTGTGAAGAGGACAAGGTGAACGAGGAGAAAGAAAGCGAGGAGGTGTTGATGGCCTCTTGGGAGGAAAAAAATGGGCGGCGGGTGCTTTTGGCTGCATTGCACTTTGCTGTCTTGGGAGGGGAAGAGGAGGGGAAGGTACGAAAAAAGACGCCAAGAAGGACCAAAGAGGAGGTGGAGGGGGGGGGGGGGTTGTAGCGGTTACACTGCCTGGGATTAGGGGACAAAGGCGCTGGAGAGCTGTAATTGTAGCGCAGCTTGGTGCTGTGGAGGGAGATTTGCAGTGGAGGGCGCTGTATTTCAACGGTGGGGTGAACAACCAAGAGACATGCATGTGGGTGGACGACTTGGGGAATGAATGGCAAGAGTACGGAGTAATGCAGACTAAGAAAATCGATAATAAAGGCTGATGGGTATAGCTAATAATATAAATTAAATAAAAGTAACACTAGCTAAAATAAAAGACTAAACTACTGTTTGTCGCAGTTGCTGAGAACTAGTTAGGAGACTGCTTGCTAATTATAAGACCACAGCGTATGGGGATAGCTGAAGACAACCCCAGCCAATGCAATGCACCAATGCAAGCCGTCGCGCAAAGACAAGCTCGTCGGTGCAGGCATCCAGGCATTGAGGCCCCGGCCGGCCAATAAGCCAATAGCTTTGACCAAAGGTTGCAGCCTGCACCATGACAACCATGGCTGCCACGACCTCCCAGCACGTCTAGGAGCGGCCGGTTCTCCGCTTGCCGGCAGGAGGAGGGCTGTGGGCAGTGGTCGGTGGCTTGATGGTTCCATGTAGCAGCAACGCCGCAACGCAGGTTTGTCCTCTTTGAATGCAACACTGTGGCGGGCATCTAAAAGGGAGCGAGCTGCAAAGGTCACCAAGGAGAGTGAGGTTGGCATTAGCAACCGGATTGCGGTCTTGTGAGGCGAGCATTGGCTACCTAAAATTAGCAACTAGGTACCTACTAACCTCCTACCGTAGGTACCCACCGTAGGTACCTCCTACCAAGCAGGTCTTGATACCTATCAGGCCACAGTCGGCGTTGTGTTTCTTTTCTTCTGGCCACCTGGACGTGGCCCGAATAACCCGCCCTGCAGCCCAGTACCGGCAGGCCCCGTTTTTTCGTGTGTTTCGTTTTGGGAAGAAAAATATATTCAGCGGAAAAAAGGAAGAATTTCATTGCACATGTGCCTGCTCATAAAACCTGCAGCAGCCTGCAGCAGACTAGCAGAGACAAACAGCCTCTCTTGTTGACAGGAGACCTAGTCGGCTTACCAGCCAGCATACCAGCGTACTGGTCCACGTTTTGGCGCTAAAAAAAACAGCAGCGTGACAAGGACAGGTGTTGGCCAACAAGTGGGGGTCGTTTGGGTTGGCGCTGGCAGCTGGCAGCTGGCAACAGAGCGGGGATTGGCAAAACGGCCCGACGCTCCAAAAATGTCATTTTGTTCATCATCAACAGAGACGAGCGAGAATGATGAGACTGCCACGCATTGTCCAAGAGACCAAGAGATGGCCAAGAACTAGGTTCCACTAGCGGCCGGATTATCAGAGAAATATTGGCGTCGGTAATAGTAATAACACAACTCTCTATACCCTCCCATACATACATCTCACTGTACAGAGCACTCGCAGCTCCATCGCCTATTGTAGGCAGACCTTAGTGACCTTAGTACCTACCTACTAAGTTAGGTACCTTCCTAGGTGCCTACCGACGAACTTCTGCTGGTGCCGTCCTATAAAACTGCCTTCCTACAAACAGAAACACATCCCCATCATCATCAGTCGTCAATTTTTACCTCTTTCTCCCTCTCATCTACTTCCTCGGTTTTATCCCTGCGTCACCATCTCACCAACAACACATGCAACCACCCCCAAATGACTGCATCCAAGAACCGACGCTCACCCCAGTATCCATCGATAACCGCGCCACTTCGACACCTGGCCCCTCCCCATCCTCCCCCGTTCTCCATTCAACAACTCCTCCGTCCAATCCTTCTTGGCCAGCCACACGCCCGCTCCGGACAAAGCAACAACGGTCAAGTGCGGAACCAGAAGCGACGCGGCACAAGGACCATCAGCCACCGGCACCCAAAAGCCACCAGACTGGTCCCGTCGTGTTACCTGCTCGTACAGTCCCTCTGCTCTTCGCCATTGGCTTCTCTTCACCGTCGTCGCCTCACACATGCGCCAGCCACCCAATACCACCATGACCTCCACGCAACCACTCGCGACACCATCCACGCCAAGCTATCCAGGCATGCTTACGGATACAAACTCTTGTCTCACCATGCTCAATAATAAAGGGTAGATCGACCACTTGCCACAGTTGAGCGTCCAGGCACATGACGCCTTGGTAACCCATCTCTAGCTTGCGCACGACCAAAACGCTCCGACCCGACCTCACCTTTCATGTAACACGCTTTTGCAAAAGTCACAACATGTGTTATCTCGAGTCAACAAATGCGGCCCTTCGTCTCTATTCTCACTCTCCGTACTTCGTACTCCGTTCTCTCACGCATCTGGGCCACCCATCTGCAAACCACTGACAGCTAACTAGCCTAGATCCGGAAGCATCTTCCTTTTGCGCCAATCGTGGCCGGCTCGCGCCATCCCCCGTTGATGGAAAATACAACCGCAACCACCACCGTACTCCGTACACCTGGCCTGACTTGAGCAGCTGCAGCTGTCCATATTTGACGGGCCCCTCCCTCGTTCCGCACTGCAGCGTGCAGCTTGCAAGGTACCACTGACTGCCGGAGCCCTTGCCCACCATCCGTCACTGTGGTGTGGAGAGAGAGACACTCTGTCCAGCCAGCTCGGCCCAGCCCAGTCTAGCCCACACCCTCCCGACCCTCCGCCGGCCGGTCTTGCATCCTCCTCATCCTGTGACGGGCTATTGGCCGCTTTGCCACGGATCTCAACGGCGTCGTCGCTCCTCGGCTGCCCTGACGGTGCTCAAAATTTCCTTCTCGAACAAGACACGCCATGATTGCTGCGCCTCTCGCCCATGGCATGGCTAAACACGGCCAAACGAACCGAGATGCTTTTGTCGTCTTGCTCAAGACCCTACTCCACTCGGTTCCCCAGCAAGCACATATGTGCCCCAGTCCACCAGCGAATCCAAAGAGGCCAGCGGCCCAGTAACTAGCAGTTTTTTTAGCCCCCGGAGTGGAGGGGCAGAGGGGCCGGGCCTTCAACGGCGAGCATTCCTTTTGCTGACTTTTGACTTGCCTTGCCGTGTCAACCTGCAGCTTGCTTTGCAAATGCTGTTGGCGAGACCGATAGCAAGACAAACCTGCAGCCTCGACGCACGCAAGAGGGCCAAGGGCCACGCAATATCTAGCCTCTCCCATGCAAGCGCCGGCACTCGACATTATTCCAAGACTAACTGTGCGCCTGTCATCAGGCTGTGTCCACCACTTAATTTGAACAACACCCTATTATTAGTTGCAGTAAGTGTCTGTACGAATATTTGGCCTCCTCCGAGACAGCGCCCCGAATCCGCCAACGAGCCTCTCGAGTCCGACACGGCCCGTAGTGAACTCCGCTAGCAACAAGCTAGACCTAGGCTTGCAACGTGCCGCTGTTGCCGACCGCGACCTAGAAGCAAATCGAATCGACCAAGTACAAAATTTATCCAGGTGCTAGGTGCCAGGGCCGGGTGCGAGGCAGGCGGCAAGTGTCAATTGGCCTGGTTTTCCAATCCTGTTGATTGCGGAGGAGCTCGTCAGCGAATAGTCGTCTCTGACTGCCCAAACGCATCTACAACTCGTGCCATCTCCGATCCGCATCGGCTGCCCGCTCACCACCAGAACTACCATCTCCTCTCGTCTAGGCTACCAGTAGCTGCTTTTGGCTTCTCCTCTTCACTTGTAACCCTGCCCTCCACTCATCCTCCATCCGCTCTCCCATTTCCCCGCTTAATACCACCATCATCATCCTAGTCTTTTGGTTTTCTGTTATCCACTCTACCACCCGCGAAGTATCGCCAAGTATGGGGGAGATGTGCAACTAAGAACTATCAGAAGATGTAGTTAGTGACACCCCAACACAATCATGGGACAGTGTTTTGTATCCCCTGCTCTTCAAGCACCTTCTATTACGCCCTCTGTCCTCGACAAAGTGTCCCAGCCTTACTTAGCCCCCAACTCAGCCAAGGTCCTCTCGTTTATCTCTGTTTGTCTCATTAGCGCTAGCCTGCCTCGCCGCCAGCCTTTTTCAGTTACTCCGCCTCACACATCTCAACCCAATCGCTTCAATCTAACTATGTACTTCCCCTTGGCCACCTTGCCGCTAACCCATTTCTTCCGCCTCTCTGTGGCGCGCCTCTCGTCACCAATAAGGATTGTTAGCTGTGCCATCCTCTACATACGCCGTTCGCCCAATCCCGCGAGGCTCGGTTCATGCACAACTTACCCCGCCCAGCACCATCCTCCTCGCCGCCCCCCGCCTCTGCACAGCACCTTTCCGGCGAATATCCTGCTTGCCTCGAACTTCAACCCTTCGGCTACTTTTTGTGCCAGGTTGCGTCGCCCGAGTTGACCATCACACACACACCACTTTGCCTGCATGGCGCTTTGCACTCACACCATCCACGTTCCACTGCCGAGCTGCTTGGAAAGGAGTGGATCATGGCTCTCCTTGTCCCGATGCAAGCTGCCGCTGCTGTCTCACTGACCAATGTCGACCAGGTGGCAGGCCCCAGTTGTCTATACTGGTACGGCCCAGCCGCCCAACCCTGCCCAACAACGGTTGGGATTGGCAGGGACCCTGTATTTTGTATCGTTACACAAGATCTATGCAGAACTTGTAACAGCATCGTGCATGTTCAACAACTTTTTCCACTCAACGTTGCTTATTTCCTTGGTAGTCTGGCGCCGCAGATCTCGCGCTTGACGCACGTGACGTCACGATTAGCGGCGCTGACCAAGCATGCGAAATCAATGATCGCTATTAGAACCAGAGAGAAGCCCGAACCAAAGGATTATTCATCATAGCTACGTTCTAAGTATAAAATACGTAAATGCCTCGTTGTTGTCGATCAATTCTCAGCCGCCCCATAAAGAAATCAGCCAAACGAACACATATCAAGCCTTTTACACACTCACCACCATGACCATCCTTCACTACGCTGCCACAGCCCCAGTAAACCCCTCTGGCGCCGCGCCCGTCCTCACGGCCGCTCAAGTCTGGGAGGGCCTGCGCCGCAAGATCCGCCACGCCGACCAGTTCGTGCCACTCATTACTTCGTGCGTCGTCGAGAAGGAGGAGAGCAACGTGGTGCACCGCCGCGTCGCCTTCGAGGGCTCCAAGGAGATGACCGAGGTGTGCACGGAGCTGGCCCCGCACAAGGTCGAGTTCCGCCTCGAGGATGGCACCGAGATTGAGAACATCCTCGCCCCGGGACCGAGCGGCGGCCCATCAGACTTGTACTTGACGTACTCGTTCAAGTGGAAGTTTCCCAAGATTGAACAGGGCAGCCAGGAGGAGCAGGACATGCGTACGCAGCAGCAAACGGTGAGTTAGGGTAGTGCACGACGGCAGGAGTTATGACTGACTGGGCGACAGATGGCGCTTGGCGCGGTGCAATCGACGATTAAAGTCATCAGGGAAATGGTCTCGGATGGTAGATTGAAGGCATAAGGGTCGAAATGTCCATTGTTAGGCCTCGATTATGATGTGGCAGGCCTTATCCAGCGGGCGCTAATCCAGCAGTACCGTATCGAGATGCTCGGCAAATATCAAATATTTTAGGCACGCATCGAGCGAGGCCGGGCCAAAAGACCAGGAAGTAAAAATAGTACACGAATAATTAACACAGGAAGATTCACATATATATATATTACATATATGATGCAGGAAGATGGATTTTTTATGACTACATGTATTCATTTTAATAACCGCCACTTCAAGTGGAGGCTAAGGAAATAATCAACAAGCGCGTTTTCAGCGAGCAAAGCGAGGCAGAGATAAAAGAGACAAAACCCCAAGCCTTGAATATTGAACTATTGAGAATATTTCGAGGCAAGTCCAGATTAGTCGCAGGGATAATCATCATTCTCTCACAAGTGGCCCGTGCGTTGGCGCAAACGCGGCGGAAAAAGAGCTTCACGCGTAAATGACTGCATCCACCTTTTTCTTTTTCATCACCCCCGGCCGATTGCGCCGCCACCAGCTTCACTTCTTCATGTAGTCGCTCAGCGGAGTCTAGAGTGTCGACTTACAGCGTTTTTCATCTTGCTTGTTTGTATTTGCTGCTCGGCAAGCGGCGTGCACGTGCTCTGCCAAACGGAAAAAAGTATCCCGAGTCACACGTCACACTTGCCCTACCTACCTACAGACCCAACCCAACGACCTTCGACGACCCCCCGATCAGCTTTGCGAGCTCTTCTTTCTCGCAAAACAATGAATACGCCCCTTCGCCCGCTATGTCCAACGTAATCAGTGAGGAGCTGGGAAAATGGTTCGACGAGTTTCAGGCAATCCCCGCCGAGACGCATCTCCTTTGTCCGAAAATCAACGACGAAGACGGCGAAAATTACAGATGCCTCGAGGATCCTGACTCCGCCATTACCCGGGACGAAAAGGAAAAACGCATAGAGGCTGGCAATAGCCGTATTAACATCACATACTGGAACAGTCTGATATTTGGCTTCGACAAGAAGGACGCGGGCAAGTGGCTCGAAGAATTTACAAGGAGGCTTGATGCCTCGCTCAAGGGTTGTTCCGAGTGTGTCCTGAACTGGCACATGAGGCGCAAACCGCAATTGCAAAAATTCCTCGAGTACGTTGACGGAGCTCTGGACCACTCAAAATGCGGCGTGAAAACTAACCCTGATGGACGTTCGCAGGCGCTGGGACGAAGATGCTACCGCTCAAATTCAAGACTTGCTCAATCGAATCGATAATGCCCGAATCGACGAGAACCTTACGTGGGCGAAAAACTATATTGCCAAGATCGAAAACACAGGCGCCACTTTCAAGAAGTCAGAGTTCGGAGATAACTTGGGCCACGTGCTGATCACCGTCTACGAGGCACTATGCTGCATGAATTACATGGCTCAACCCGACCAGCGAGCCGCGTTTCAATACGTCTTTATGCGTCTCCAGGGCAAAAGTTATCTAAAGCTCGGCACCAAGGACCCTTTACCTGGCATGACGTACTTTTTGTTCGATAACAAAAATGAAGATCGTCGAAAATGGGCGCACGAGAACTGGAAAAATATTACCAGCTCTTCTCTTACTGCAAAGCAATTTGAGTGGGCCATCCACGATGGACTCGTCAGTGCCATTGAAGACACCTGGCGTAAAGACCTGAACCAGGCGACACCTGAGCAGTACCTTCAGATTGAGCAGTTTTGGTGTGGCTTCGAGGATATCGTGCGCACACTTCCTACCGCCTTGATTGCTTCCCACGTGCGTAACTTGGAGGTATCCAAGTCTATCTATGAGCTGCTTTTCGCCCACCTTCAATTCTGTCGCTCAGAAGGTGTTGTAGTTGTCGCGATTCGCATATTGACAGCTCTTCTTGAAAAGGCGCCTAATGTCATCTGGGAAGTGGTTGGCGGTGCTCGTCCTAATGTCATCGCTGACTTGCTTTTCGGAAGCCCAATCTATAAAGGCTTGCTTCGCCAGTCTCTTGAAGATTGTTGGGATAGCCCCAGCCAAGATTCAGTCCCCTTTGCCACATCCTGGATCATACCGTGGCTGAAATCCATAAATCGTGACCAGCGTTACGATGCTTGCGAAGTTTTAATGCATACGCTCTTTGAGACATTGGCTAAGGATGCCAGTATCGGTGAGCCCGGTCAAGCGGCGTGCATGCGAGCTGGCTTCGACGCTCTTGCCTTGACTTTGAACACATATTTGGACATGGAAACAGCCTCTGCAACCTCCACAGTCCAGCTTTACATCAATGCATCCTTCAACCTGATGACGAAGTACAAGGACCTTATCATACAGCAAATCAACCCACCCAAAAAACAGCAAAGCATAGAGGGCTGGGCTACGTTTAAAGTGGCCGATTCTGCGCACAAATTGACAGAGGCTGCTATGAAGCTGGACATGAAGCTATTCTACGAAGAGTACCATGCCATTCACGGTAGCAGCAAAATCCAGTCGACTGTTACACGAGACTCCAGGGAGTTTTGGACAGCCATCATTGAAATGTATGAGGCGTCCAATGATCGCGTCAAGCTCTCCAAGCATATTCTCCTCTCATTGGCCCCGATATGTGCTGTCGAGCAAATTCGAGTACGGAAAGCGGTGGGCAAGCTTGATCAGTCAAGCACAGCCTTCAACGAGTCTCTCAAGGCCACTGCCGACACTATTTCGAGAATCATAGGGCGAATTGGTGACATGGATGTCATGGACCTCAACAGCCTCTTTATTGAACGAGTGCCCATTCAAGTCATCATTGGCCTGTCAGTCCATGATGAGTCCGATCTAGCAGAGTCTGCCGCTGAAGTCCTCAAGGGATGGACCGCCGAGGATACTCGCTCTGCTGCTATTGGACAGCTTGCGCAGCTGCACACTGAGCAGACTCTGGCCTCTGCCGTGTGGTCTTTGGATCGAGTTCTTAAGCCACCGTTCCCCTGGGGTCCGATCCGCCCCCTGTTGAACGCCAATCGTTCCATCTTGCGTGGTCTTGCGGAAGCCTCCACTGGTGTCTTGCGAGGCGGGCAACTAGACTCTAGGCAGGCTGCTACTGTCCTCCGCTGGTGGAATGAGCAGTGGCGTTTTGTTTCCAAGTCGTGTCTCAACATTGAGTCCTGGTCTCATTACGTACCAAACGCCATCATGACCGAGTTCTGCCGTGAAATAATGGAACTTGCAGAGGCTCTTATTGCCGAAGACGGCCTTCTCACCTCTGCAACAGCTCTTGGACGTAGCGAGGCAGACATGATGGTCAAGATTCTGGCTCCTGCCAAGGACAACTTTCGTGGCATGGAAAACATGATTAGACTCAAGGATCTGTGGCTAGTCGATGTCACTGTGCGGGTTCTTTGCAAGATTCTGAAGCGACTCCGCGAAAACAATCTCGAGATCAACGCTGCCTCTCGAAAGCTGATTGTCGACGCATGCGTGCCAACTGTCACGCCGGGCAAGTATCTACGATCTACCAATCTAAGCGACCAGCAACGCGCCGAACTTCTGCAGGCTCTCGGAAATACTGATGATGACGTGCAAATAATCCAACTCAGCACAGCCGATGCCAAGTCTGCCAAGGACAAAATCAAGAAGCAGAGTAGAATAGATGCTTGGTCTAAGTCTGGGTCTGGATCATCGTCAACAAGCGCATCTTCATCCACAAGCAAGCTCAGCTCCAATCGCCAGGATGTTTTGGACCTTAGCAAGTCTCTCAGCAACCCTCTGCTCAGTTCAATCGAGGCCAGGCAAAAAGCCAAGGCGAGAGTTCCAGATCAGAGGGCTATTTCTGCACTCAAGGAAAGCCGGCAAAGAGAAAAGGCCGAGAAAGCAAAGAGAGACGCAGAGGCCATCGCCAAGGCCAAGCAGCTCCGTGGCGAGCCTATTGGTGGTCCTGCTGGCCGAAGTGAAATCATGGTCAACAGTTCTGATGAAGAATCTGACGACAGCGAAGATGCCGACGAAGTTGACCAGCTTGCTCTGCTTAGTGGTCATGGACAAACGGGAATTGACGAGGCAGAGCAGCGTCGCCTGCAAGCCCTGCGCAACTTGGCGCGGCGCCCCGTCAAGAAGGTTCGACAGCAACGATCAGTCAAGGAAATGAGGGCCCGCCTTATTCCGCCCATGGATAAATTGCACAATGCCATTCTTGCTTGGGACATTTTCCATGGCGGAAATGACCCCCCCAACGGGCCCAAGGCTTGCAAGGTTGACACAAGATATCCCAACCCGGCAGCCTACAGAGATACATTCTTCCCACTCCTTGCCTCGGAAGCCTGGAGGGCATTTGTCACTGCAAAAGATGAAGTGACGGCGCAGGCGTTTGGCATCAAAATTACCAGCCGAGCCAGCGTGGACAGCTATCTTGAGATTACCTTTACCTTGGAAGTCGCCCTGAACAGAGAGCGAGGCATCGGTGAAGGCGACATTCTTCTCGTTTCTGAGGATGAGAATCCGCTCAACAACCCCAGTGCCCGCCACTGTCTGGCTCGTGTGCATCGCTTGACGTATAAGAAGGACCGTGTGGAAATTATTTTCCGAGTCACATCGCGCGGCAATCCCCTTGCGGTCGCATTGATACCCAACACCATGATGAATGGCATCAAGATTACCAACATGACCACCATTGAGCGAGAGTATGCGGCTCTCGAATCCCTGCAGTACTTCGATCTCATGGACGAGATCCTCAAGGCAGAGCCATCTCCTATTCTGAAATATGGAGACGAAAGGGTTACCAACTACCAAAGCAACTGGCAGCTCAACCGAGGTCAAGCTCTGTCTGTTTTGGGCGCACAGGAAAACGACGGGTTCACCCTCATTCAAGGTCCTCCCGGTACGGGTAAAACCAAGACCATTGTTGCCATGGTCGGTGCGCTCTTGTCTGGGCAGCTTGCGCAGGCGCCTGCAAAGGGCACACCTGTTGGAGTCCCAGTTCGGCCCGGGGTGGCAAACCAGCCTGCTGGGTCAAGGCCTAAGAAACTGCTCGTCTGTGCACCCAGTAACGCAGCTGTTGACGAATTGGTAACCCGCTTGAAAAGGGGAATCACGACAATCAGCGGCAAGACAAAGACTATCAATGTCCTCCGTCTTGGTCGTTCCGATGCCATCAGTGCTGCTGTCAAAGACGTTACTCTAGACGAGCTAGTCCGCGTCCGCATGCAAGGCGATTCGTCTAAAGATAAGGCCAAGGCTATCAGAGAAAAGCTACATGAACGCGCAAGCGAGATCAAGGAGCAGCTCGGTATTCTGCGGCCGAGGCTGGATGAGGCCAACGAGAAGGAGGACCAGGACGCTCGAAACAAACTTTTGCGGCAGTTTGACGATCTCAAGCGCGAGCAAAGAGATATTGGCAAGCAGATTGAGGCCGACAGAGACAGCGGCAACTCCGCTGCTCGAGAGGTGGAGATGAAGCGACGCCAGATCCAGCAGGAGATTCTCAACAACGCCCACGTACTATGCGCCACCCTCAGTGGTAGCGGTCATGAAATGTTCCGAAACTTGGATGTGGAATTCGAGACGGTCATTATTGACGAGGCCGCTCAGTGTGTTGAGCTTAGTGCCCTAATTCCACTCAAGTACGGCTGCTGCAAGTGTATCCTAGTCGGAGATCCGAAGCAGCTACCACCTACTGTTCTTTCCCAGTCAGCCGCTCGTTTCGGCTACGATCAGAGTTTGTTTGTGCGTATGCAGCAAAATCACCCCAAGTCGGTCCATCTCCTCGACATGCAATACCGAATGCACCCTGAAATTAGCTTATTTCCGAGCAAAGAATTTTATGAAGGGCAGCTCCGTGACGGGCAGGATATGGCCGGGCTGCGCCAGCAGCCTTGGCACAAGAGTGCTCTGCTTGGGCCGTATCGTTTCTTTGACGTGCAGGGTGTACAAGAGCGTGGCCACAGGGGCCAGTCGCTCGTCAATACACGCGAACTCGAGGTTGCTCTACAAATGTACGATCGCTTCCGCAAAGAATACAGCGAGTGCAACTTGGTGGGCAAGATTGGTATCATCACACCTTATAAAGCCCAGTTGTTTGAGCTGCGAAAGCGTTTCAGGGCGCGATACGGAGAAGACATCTGCGACATTATTGAATTCAACACTACCGATGCTTTCCAGGGTCGTGAGTGCGAGATTATCATCTTTTCATGCGTGCGAGCTAGTGCTACTGGAGGTATTGGTTTCATGACGGATATTCGTCGTATGAACGTCGGTTTGACCCGCGCTAAATCGTCGTTGTGGATTTTGGGAGATTCTCGCGCGCTGGTGCAGGGTGAGTTCTGGAAGAAGCTCATTGAGGATGCCAAGTCGAGAGACCGCTTCACGCAGGGCGACATTGTCAACATGTTCCGCAAGCCTCTGGAGAGGGCTAAGCCAGGCAGCATCACGGCTTCTCCGGCGCCGACACCTGTGGATAGCCCGATGACTGGTGGCTCTCCCGCATCAATGGCTACAGACGGTGATACTGTTATGCCGGATGCTTATCGCCCTGCGCCCTTGAAGCGTTCCAGCGAGGAACGTACCCCGATACCGACTCGACCAGCCGCTGCCCGGTATGGCCCGCCTGCGATACAAGCATCTACATCGCTCGGTGACAGCAAGAAGAGAGCGCTGAATAGTCCAGATCGTATGGACCCGGTGACCAAAAGAATCGCTAGCGACCGGCCCCGTGGAGGAGGACTGGCTGGTAAATTTGGCGCAAGGCCTAACAGGCCGCTCCCCAAACAGCCGACAGACCCGAGCGCTATGGTGACTCTGGGCCTGGCGCCACCAGAACGTCCGCCGCCACCCAGGGCAAGCGTTCTCCCGACACAGCCAACATTACCAACACGGCCAACGGCTCCTTCAGGGCCGTCTGCATCATCAGGTTCCTCTGGACTGTCCGGGTCGCCTGGGCAGACTTTCCAAGCTGTGCGTGCCTCCATCTCACCTTAGTTCGTAATCCCGCCGCTAACAGTTTACAGAGACCACCACCTACCGGACCACGGAAGAAGCCCAAGCCAAGCCTCTTCATACCAAAGAGACGATGAGTGTCATCTATTGACGTAATGGAAAACCACATCTGCTTCCTCTTGCTTTCTTTTGCTCTTTGCTCTTTACTTCATTTGGCTGCTTTCATTATTCATTTACATAATCATGGTTTCATAGACGGGGGAGCATTTAACGGCGTTGCTAGGTTAGAGCTGCATTTTCTGCACAATCGGGTCTTTTGACTTTTTTGAGAAGTGGAGGAGGCGTTATTGACTACAAGACAGAGAGACAGCTAGATGGAAGGCAACCCAAGGGTTGCTGCGAGGCGAAATTGGATTTCTGCTGTTGAGTTCTGGGTGCTGCGTTTACGGGCTCCCGGCTGAGCACTCTGGATCGGCAGAGACGGTGTTGTGTGGTGCGTAAATGGAGGGGGAACTGTGTTTGCCTTTGTTCTTTGGCAAGCACTTTTCCCACTTTGCAGCCAGAGTTAACTTTGGTCTTGCTACTCCTCCTCCTCTCTTGTTCCAAGATGACCTTGGCAAGCTTAACTGCCAACTCGAGTACAACTTCTCTCCTGCTTCCTGTAGTCGAGCATCGATTCTTGTTTCCCAATTCTGCTCGGATGCTACCATTTATCGTTTTTTTTTTTGCAATCGCACGCTGTACGCCGCGTACAAATCGCTTTGCACACTGCTTGAAATGCAGATAGCCGCCCAGACCTCTTCCTCGCCCGTGCTTTTCCTTGCTTCTTGCTATGCAAAATATGGGAAGCAAAATGCTGCACAGTTGGGTAGCTATAGGGTAGGGATGTCTGCTGACTACATTGATCTCGGGTTGGAAACTAGTTGTACATGCCACTACTTCTCTCTTCTCCTTTTCAAGTACGCTGCGTAAAAATAACGTGTTTGTTATGAAACGTGTAGGACTCTTGCAGTTGGCAGCTCTGTTTCTCAAGCTTTTCCGTTAGGATGCTGCTTGGCTTGGCTTCGCTGCACAAACGGGCGAGATCTGCTGTAGCGGTGGACTATAAGGGGCCCAGAGTCTACTATGTCATTGTGAAACAATTTTACTTGTATGATTCTCTACTACCATGACAATTGTCTTTGCAAAGGTAATTTCGTCACAAGGCTGCTGTGGTGGAGTGACGTACTAGTTAGTTAATTCAAGTAGTTAGTTTAGGTGGCGCGGATAATTCGCTTCAACCCCTATCCAGCACGCGCGCGTCTCCCTACCTCGTGCATTTCTCCCTCCTTCCACTGCTTCCAGGACCCGACATTTTCAACTCAATACACTCGCTTCTTTTTTTTTCTTCAGTGAACGGCCCCGACTACGGCCTTTTTACAATGGCTCCCCTCGTCCGCATCCTCGTCCTCGCCGCCGTTCCGCTCGCGCTCGCCCGCACCGACCTCGCCGGCTGCACCTACACCGACCTCGTCATCAAGCCGACGCAGCAGGCCGCCTACGCCAGCCGCCTCTACTACGTGCCCGACACGGGCGAGGTCTGCGCGCTGCTCGACTGCGGCGGCGGCCGCGCCCCGCCCAAGTCCACCGTCCCCGGCTGCCCCCTCTACACCGGCACCGAGACGTACCAGCCGTCGTACATTAACCCGCAGACGCTCGGCAAGGCGGGGAGCAGCGTGGCGATGGCGACGGCTCCAGTGACGCCGACGGCCGCGGACACCACCACCACCGCGGCCAGCACCACTGCTCCGGCCACCGCCCAGGGGTCCGTCACTATCCTGACCGGCACCAACACGCCGTCAAGCACCGCCGCGAGCTCCGCTGCTGGCGGCGCGTCGACGAGCAAGACGGCAGCGGCATCGGCCAGCAGCAGCAGTAGCAGCGCGGCCAAGACGACGAGCACCAGCTCTGCTGCCGGCGCGATGCAGACTGTGGGCGCTGTTCTGCCCTGCGTGGTGGCCGCCATTGCCGCCGGTTTGGCCTAATTTTACGGGCTGCTTTCCCACCTGGAAAGCAGGTCTCGTCCGCCACTGACATTTACTGTCCACGACTGCCAACGGTGTTTAGAGCCCGGAGCCAAGACTGTACACACATTCCATATTCATACCTTGACACATAAAGTCTAATACCAGTGCCCCAACGCTATAAACCTTTTTGACTCAAGCCCAATTTCTTCTTCTTGAGGTACTGCTCAACAGTCCAACACGGGGGACGCGGGTGTGGGCCGGATGCCCCGGGGGAGAAGAGCAGCGTGTCGTCGTCGCTCTGGGCGGTCAGAAAAATCAAGAAAGCACACACACACATTAGATACTTTGGCATTCTTTGTTCCCCGGCGTAGACTTTTGGAGCTGTGCTGCCCCGGACCGCCAGGCCAGGATGTTGCTCAGGAACCAAGCCCGGCACGTAGCTGGCTCGTCTTCTGCCAGAGAGAGGTCTGGGTACGTCTCCTTGACGTAACTAGGCCTCGACCCCTTCACCTTGGAGTTAAAAGTGGTAGACCTGCGTGTTACTTGCCGACCTGCAGCTCCGACGCGCGCGCGCCGGCCCACGCCATCAGGCTCTGCCCGGCTTGCAGCGGCTCGTCCGGGCCGCCGGCGGTGGCCAGGGTGGCGAGCGGGTCGCGGGGGGGTATGTGGTGGTCGGTCTACAGGAGCCTTTTGGGAGGCCATCTACTTCGTACACTAAATAACTTGGAGGACAACTGCTGATGATCAGCTCGTACGAATTGGCCATTTCCTCGCGCGACCAGCTCCAATCACGGCACGTCGCGATTGCGACCGTGACTAATCCAACATAAAAAAAAAGGCACAACGCGTCGGAGATTCAGCCTCATTTCGAATCACACCTTGCGTGCTCGTCCCTTTTTGGAAAGGTCGTCCGGGAGAGTTCACTTTAATTTCCTTTTTTTGCTTTTTTGGTCTTGCTTTTTTTTCTTCTTCTTCGTCGCCGAATCCGAGCGCTTGCTTTGCATTGTGGGAAAAGAAATGCGCTGAACTGTCTGTGTGTTTATTTTGCGGGTTTTGGTGCCTGAGCGTTTTGCTTACTTTCAAAACAAGTTTAATATCACCAAGTGAACCATCAAAAGTTTACCAGCCATCACAAATGATAGGACTTTGGTCTGATACACATTACTGCAAGCCACGTTTTCTTCCCATCGCCTGCCAAGTTTTTTTGTTGGGCCAGCAAGCCACCGGGTTTTGTCTTATCACAGACAAACGATAAAATGGTCAGCCCGCGAGACATTGGACTGGCGTTATCCTGACAACGACTTTGCCCACTCACACCGGACAGTCAGGCACCGAGAAAGAACAGGCTGATGATGACTGGCGGTGGCGTGTGATTGGCCGCCCCTTCGTATTACACCCCTCCCCATTTATTGCGTGAACTAGCATGGGAGATTATCGTACAGATTTTTCAAGTCTTGGCGAGAGATTGTCCAAAGAAAAAGAAAAGAAAAGTGTGGTTACAATGCAGTTAAAAATCGATTGTAGAAATTAATCATAGAAATTAATCAGTTTGATATTAAATAACCAAGTCTATAGGTATTCCAGACTCCGAGAAGAAAAAATGTACATCAACAGTCCTTGTATTAGTGCCTCTGACAGAAAACAAGTTCCAAGGACCATTCTATGCTAGTGCTAGCAGCAACTTGGCACATGATGCATAAAAAAAAAGGTATTAAAATCCACCGCTACCATAACATGTCCTCATTTTTGAAGCAAAAGGGAGTTATGCTATTTACAGCATGGCAAGGGCAGCGAGGGCAGCAGCGCCAAAGGGAACGGCAGCAGCGGCACCGCCAACCTGGGGAGGGCTGGTAGGGTTGGTGCTGGGACCGGTGGGGACGGCGCCGGTGCCCGTGGGCTTGACGGGCACGCTGGTGGCGGGGACACCGGGAGTGACGGTGTGAGGCTTGCTGATGGTGCAAGGGCAGTCGGTGATGGTGAGGGTGGTGGCCTCGGTCACCGTGTGCGTCTTGTTGTTGACGACGACGGTCGTGGGAGCCGGGCAGTAGGTGGTGTAGGCCGTGACAATCTCCGTGGTCCAGACGACCTCGCCGGTGCCGGTGGCGTTCTTGTGAGCAGCGACGGCGCCAATGAGGGCGGCGGTGGCAACGAAGAACTTCATCTTGACGGTCTTGTGTTTGAGGGTGGTTTGTGCGGGAAAGCGAGTGGAAGTAGACAAAGAGTCTGAAAGAAGCGAATGTAAGTAAAGGTGAGTTGGTTGGAAAGAGAAGAAGAAGGGGGAAACGGACCTTGGGGGTGGGCACGTCGCCTTATATGGTCAGTCGGTTCGTCCCAATAGGGGCGTATATTATTAGAAACATGGCATCATGGTACTGATAGGGATAGCGAAAAACAAAAAAGTCAGGCACCGGTATTACGTGACATCACCCAGCCCACTGGATATCCTCCGGTAGGCGTCCTATGTACTCCGGACTGGGCGGTGCGACCGGTAGAGGATGACTTGGGTGTGGGCGTTGTGGGTGTGAAGCGGGTGCCTTGGTGAGCGCCTCCACCAATATACGAGGAATTTTTCTTCTTTGTCCCTGTTCCTTGTGGAGCCGTACCTGGGCGAGCGACATGTACCCATAACTGGAAGGCGGGCTGATATCGAGAACGGCCCATGGCTAATTTGCCAGCCTGATTGTCGCCCACCGAGCCTGATGTCCAAGCCGGGGGGGGGACAAGGCGTGCAGGATCCGATCCATGCAACGATCCTTGGGAAACTCCTGATCTTGTTAACGACTGATTGCCGAGGAATTCTTCTTTCCGCCGTCTTCTTCTCTGCAAAAAGAGGAAAACTCGAATGCCGGAACCACGGCGATTGCTGGCCCTCTTTGGGTGGCGAGCCGGCGACCGGTGGTGAGCGAGAGCGACGGATCAATGGCGGCGACTGTTTTTTTCTGGTCCTAACTAGAAAACAAGACCAACGCCCCCACGAGCGTCTTCTCCACTGTATCCGTAGTTAGCTAGGAAAAAACTCGTCAGTCTAATTTCACCGTCAGCAGCCGAACAGGGCAGCTCTGGACACCATCCTTGTGCCAAAGATGAAAGCCTGGAGGCTGTCAGATGTCTTGGAAACGCTCGTCTGCATTGCAGAAATTGCTGGCAATGTGCAATGTGCCCAACTCGCGTGCACAACTGCTACATTTCAGCCCCCATCACCCATCACAATGCATATCCGTGCCGTCCTTGCGTCTCACAGGGAAATGGAAATGCCTCACAACGCCCTTTTCGTCCAGACGTGAACCCCTGTCCGTCTTCCCATACGCGACGGGCACCACGGCAACAACCCAAAAGGAGAAACGGTATCCAGGAAAAAAAAACTTTGCCTTCTCGAAACGTCATAGGGCAGTGCCCAGCCAGGCTAGCACCGGACTGCCCAAACTGGCATAATCGCTACAACGCTAGCGGTTTTTGACTTTTTCCTTCCTTTTTCTTGTCTCGCCGACGCCTTCGGCTAGTCAAGCACGAGATGGCCGAAGAGCCCTCTGTCTGCTTCTCGACGCCCATCAGCCCAGCGGGAACCTGCATGGCAGATCCGCCGCTGCGCTGCCCTTGGCCTGCCAACTTGGAACCTGGCAGCTCAGGCCCAGCGAGCTGAGAGGCTTGTCCAACAGCCTCAAGCTCTGGGCCGTTCGGTACCTGAGCAAGTGCAGCCACCGTCTCCGCTCACCTCGTTTTTGCCCACTCTCATCTTGCGTTTTTTGTGGCATCGCAGGGGTGTTTCCTGCCCTCATTAAAAACAGTCATGCAAAAAGGTCTCCGTCGCGTGGTGCCAAATTTCCAATCAGGCTCTCTCGTGTTCCGACACAACGACAGTTGCCTGGCCACCTTATCTCTCAGGCCTCTCTTTGCCCCTTTGCTGCCTGCAAGGGAGCCCAGCCCACTAGTGCGGAGTCGACGTTGCATTGTGTTCAACAAAAAATCAAGACCCGTCCGGAGATGCGGCAAATCGGGGCCCGGACAATTATCTCCCCCCAGCCTTGCAATCTCATATCGAGCTCCTGCAGCGAAATACATAGTGACCGTGCAGGCGGCCTGCAGGCGGCTGCGACGAGTAGCAGCCCGATGCCACCGCCTGGACGAACTTGTCTCAATGTCCGTTGTGCTGGCAGCATGTCTTTCGTATCCGGTGCTTGGAAATGTGTCCGTCGCAGTCGTATCTATATCAGGCAGAGCGACAAACTCGGCTGTCCGTGGCCGTATGGCGCCACCCTCTCGTAAAATCGAACAAGCAATGTCAGCTGGTAGCGTGCCATGAGCTGTAGTAGTCGACATTCAGCGACATCGTATTCATTTGCCCCCAAAATACTGGAAGCGCCCAGGTTCATGCAGCTCTATCGAGAGTGCTCGCTGTTGGGGTTTGCATGAAATTGCGCTGCCCCAAAACTTTAAAGAAACACGGGCATCTTGCCATGTGCCCGCCCGCACTGGGAATAAGGCGCGGCAGGTGACTGCGCAACAGCCATCGTGATGGTGTAATTTGTAATTGGTATAGGGTAGGCTATTCCTCCAACGCAGTTGGCGCTCTGCGCTGCTTTTTTTCGTAGCGAGTGTTGTTTTATCTGAAAATAAATTCTGGTCGACACCGTATGGCTTGTGTATCCGACTTGTTTCGGGTTTCTTAACTTCGAGCTTTGTTGCGCTGGTCGTAACATGCATTCTCCTACATCGTCCAGCCGTACCGATGATCATGCGGCTACCCCGCGTGACAGCTTGCCCGAAGATAGCTCGGTGAATGCGTAGGTGCCAACTATTGATAGTAATACGAGGCGACCGGTCAGCTGCTCAATGATATGGTTCAACCTGGTCTCGAATTACCAGCTGCTGCCTGGCATCAGCCATTGATTGGTGTTGCAAGCAGTCAGGCCAACAGAGCTAACTCAAGCCTCTGGAAATACAGGTCGACGAAATAACTATGCAATCCGATACAAAAGGTGGGTTGTCGGAACCTCCGGAAAGGAAGCTGGTGACGACGCTGTGACTTGTAAATCATGACCATCGGAAGACCATGCCGTGCTTCAAACGGCCAGCCACGCGATCAAGGGCCATGATAGGGTCGCCATCATCCTCGAAATGCTGCTGATTCGCTCATGTTTCTCCGTTTCGTCCAGGCTTTTTTCGCTGATCAGCCAGGTTTCGGGGGAGGCTGAGCCTGGCTGGGGCATTGATTGAGGCTTGCCCGCCCAGTTTTGTTTGCATGGCTGCGTGGCCTTGCCCTGCTACTATCCTGCCATCAATTATCAGTAGCGATGCATCACAATCGAATAAATGTCGAATGGAATGCGGGGATGAAAATCGAAGAAAAAAGAATGCGAATTTAAGACAAGCCTGCTCGCTTGGAGAAACATTAGCCGTAGTTATGAACTCGCGGAAAATGGTGGAACGAGGCAGCGTTGTGGGTGGTGGCCGCGATTGAGGCGGTGCAACATCAGCCACTGCCTGTCGGCCTTGGTTTGTGGCTTGGATCAGCACTTGAGTGACGACGACAATAGTTAGCAAGCCAACGTCCCAGATTAGATTTCTCGTATTGTATAGTAAGAGGTATCCCGAGGCAAAACTTTCTCGATTTTCTTCTTCCCTTCAATTTCTGTCTTACTTCAATTATTTCTTCCGCATTCAAGCTTCACAGGATATTATTTCCAAAACCATGCATCACCGACAGCGGCTCTCGCTCCACATTCCCGGCTCCCCGCCCGGCGCCTTGCCGGAAGCGACTTACACGCCCTCGAGCGACCGACGGCGCTCGCTCATCAGCCTGCCCGACAGCCTCAGTCGCAGGCCCCTCGACAACACCAATCACAGCCCCCGGAAGCCGTCCCGGACCAAGCTCCAGAGATTCTGGCCCGGCGCCAGGAGCCCGACCGCGCACGGCCCGGCCAAGGACCACACCGCGACGCACGACCTGTCGACGCTCATCCTGCTGGCCGGCGAGCAGATGGGCATGCTGGCGGATCCTCGCCGGAAAACAGCATCGTGGCCGCCCGCCCCGCCCCGACCAGACGACCCCATTCTTCAGCGCGATCTGGAAAGGACGCTGCCTGCGAGCGCAACGGCCCTCGCGCAACGGGGCAGCAGCCGCAGCATCCAGCGGAAACCGCTGCCGGCGAATGCCGTGCCGCGGCGTGTGCCCGCACCGTGTCGTGCACCGCCGCCGCCGCCGATTCCCGAGCTGTTCGCCGTCGACTACCGGTCCGAGGACGTGGCGCATTCACCACCCATGACGCCGGCGTTTGCGTCGACAGTGCGACGCCGCGCCAAGACGCCCGTACACCGCATCGGTCAGCTGGAGGCGGCGGCGGCGGCGCGGAAGACGGGCACGCACCACCGCGGCAACATGGAGGGCATCAACCGCATGTCGAGTGTGAGCACCATTGCGCGCGAATACCGGGCGCTGGCGGTGTACGAGGACACGGATGTGCCCGACGTGCCCAGGACCGACCCTTTGCATCTGCGGCGGCAGGACAGTGCCGAGCTGCCGACCGCGCACAACGCCGAGGCCCTTCTGCTCGGCGCCTCCTACCGCGGCCACTACCGCACGTCGTCGTCCCCGTCCGCCGACGGCACGCTGCTGGGCTCGGACGGCAGCAGCTGCCCGTCCCTGACACGCGCGAGCTCGCCACCCGCCGATGACGACGACGACGACGACGGCGAGCCGCCGGCGCCGGCGTCGCTGCGCTTCCAAATCGGCCTCGAGCTGCTGACCAGGGAGCTGTCGACGGCGTTTGCCGACCAGTCCGGCCACCAGCGCAAGACGGGCAGCGCTTCCGCCGGACTGCAGATTTGGGTCATGATTGAGGCGTACGAGAGACTCCGCGAGCAGCTCGTGCTCACAGAGGACAACAGGCAGGCACGAGAGGCGATTGAGTCTTGGATTTGCGCGCTGCGCGCTCTTCACGGCACTGTGGCGAGTGAGGTGGCAGCGGACGAGAGTGACTACGAGAATGAATAACAGACAATAATGGTGCATAACGGCGAGAAAGTAGAAGGCCCAGGTTTATTTTGGCACGTACGTGGGAAAACAGGCAAATTCTTCCTTCGCGGTGAGAATCGCGGTCGTGGAGGTGGCCGGTTTACTGGCAAGCGCATGGTGCAGTGCAGCTATTAGCAAGAGTCTCTGGTTCGCTATCGACTCAACTTCCATAATTGTAATGCCAAATATTCTCTCTCCTTAGCTTGCGAAAGCAAATTTGCTACAATGACGACATTAGAGACTGCATAATAGGCCCCGAACTTGCTTTTTCTTTTCTTTTGCCAACTTTGACTCTGTACCTGCCGTCGGCACAAATGGTCAAGGCAAGATAGACCGAACCAGCCGGTAACGCTCATTCCTCCATCACCGTCTTGGCAAATGGACTCTTGGCCCGAATCTGGGGCCCGAAAAAGCTTAGAAGCCACGGGACAGCCGTCAACGCAAGTCCAAGCCCCCCTAGGAGACTCCCCGTGCCGTGGTACGTCAGATTCCGCAGCATAATGTGCGTAAACAACGGAAAGATGCCCGCCAGCAGGTTGCGACACATGCTCTGCGCCGCCTGCGCCGACGACGAGTAGCGCCCATACGTGTCGGCCAAGTAGTTGAAGACGGCGAGATAAATGCTGAAGATGCCCATGGTGCATGCTCCGACAGCCAGCGCCGGGAAGATCCAGTGGACCTCTGGACTTGCCGTCCACCCGAACCAAAACAGCCCGGCGGGTAGCAGCACTGACTGCACACTGGTCGAGAGCAGCCGACTTTCCGGTGTGGTGGAGGCGGCCCGGTGCGGCCAGAGGCGGCGCAGCACGGGACCCTGCGTGATGGCGAGGCAAGCACTCAGACACGAGGCCGCGACAACGGCGACGAAGACAAGACCAACCTGCCGGCTGGAGAAGCCGTAGACGCCGCGGAAGACGATGCCGATGCTGTTGAACTGCATGTAGGATCGCCCACGCAAAGGACACCCACAGGGAGAAGCAGAGGACGACGGGTTCGGCGACGAGGAGCCGCAGGGGAAAAACGAAGCTGCGGTAGACAAGGCCGATGTCGAGTGTCTCTTGGACGACGCTGGGGTGGAAGCGCAAGCGGGACGCGGGATGTGTCTCGGCCAGTTGTTTGTTGAGCGCGTGGCATAGCCGGGCCAAGACGACATTGGCTCGCGTCTCCTCAAACAGCACCAGAATCAAGGCCAAAGTGGCTGCAATCAGCATCATCTGCAGGTAAAATATCCAACGCCATCCCAGCGCGTCCACGACGACACCGCTCACCAGCGGGCCCAGGCCGGTGCCCGCCATGATCATGAGCGAGTACAGCGCCATCGGGGTGTTCCTTGCTTCCCTGTCGTACACGTCGGCGACCACACCGCCGGTGAGCGTCGCAAACACGGACGCGCCCATGCCCGTGACGAAGCGGGACACGAGCATGCCCGCGTAGCCCGCCGTCACGGCGCACCCGAGCGTGCCGAGGAAGAAGACGGCGCCGGCGCCGACAAACACCCAGTACCGGCCGTGCGCCTCGCTGACGGGCGCCAGAACCATGGGCGCGAAGCCAAAGGCGCTGACGAAGATGGTGATGCCGACGGCGTAGGCGGTTTCGGACACGTGCCAGGCGGCGCGCAGGGGCGCGGCGGCGAGGGCGTAGGCGCCGGCGGAGTAGGCGGCGAGCGCGGCGGCGAGGTACGGACCGAGGAGGACGGTGAGCTTCTTGCGTAGAGGCCACTGGGACGGGCGGGGCGGGGGAAGGGTGAGGCAGAGGGCGGAGGACTGGGCGTCGGTGAGGCCGGCGGCGAGGAGGCTGGCTTTCAGGAGGGCCCGGTTGCCGAGGGTATCGAGACTGAGGAGGGCAGCGACATTCTGGGAATGAGCGGAGAGTAGCTCGGGCTTGGATGGTAACATTTCGGGGCAATGAGGAGGGAAGCGAAGGGAAGAAGAGGAGGGAAAGGAAGAGTCGATGTTGGTCGCCGCCCGCTGATTTTCCGACATGTGTGGGTGGTATAAGGACGTGGTAATTACCATACACATGGGCTGGCAGCTACGCCTTGCTTCCTAGACTATCCTGAATGACTGGATAGAGAGCATTCATCGTTTGCAGCAATGGGTCAACTGTCAAGACATGCCCAATGTCGACTGGTGGTCATGTTACCGGAGAGGCATGCGACTGCGAGGCAACAAAAGCAGCTAAAATTTACTGCCATTTTGAATTATTCTTCGCACCAATGAGATCTTTTGCCAACCACCCACACAGGCATAGGTGCCCTGCAGAGTAGAGTGTAGCGACGGCGCCGACCGACGTCGCCTTGCCGCATGCTGCAGCACAAGGACGCGCAGCTCGTCACTCCCCGGCAGTATATTTCGTCCGAGGGCATAAACATACACAAAGCCCGTCACTAGGTTACCACGACTTCTGCCATCTGTAGTTGCCGCCAACGTAGTAGCCTGATGGGCAGCGCCAATCCCTACTCCAGTCGCGTCTCGTGCCACAGAATGGGTTGCATCCTGACGCTCGCTTGGCAATCGCTCTGCCTGCAAGGCGGGCGCAAATCTTTCCGGGGCATCCATCACAGTTGGCTAGTCATCTTTCGATGTGGGTTTTGCTGCTGGAGCTCTGCAAAGAAGTCTTGTGCTTTCCGGTCACCCACCAGAGCCACGGAGTACAAAGCGGCATCCAAGTCTTCAGGATCCGCGCCTTCCGCAAAAGCCTGGACGAGGATGACATTGCTCGCGGGGTTCGTTACTGCGGTAAACTTGAGACTGTCGTCCATACTTTGACGTGCGTTGTTCAAAGCGTTTCTGCCGACTGCGATCTGAGGATGTTTGGCGAGGAACTCGTCTGCGGTGAGAGCATGAGTTGTGTCATGGGCGTCCGCTATACTCAGGCCATAGCCGGCCAGAGCCAGAATGAATTAGTGTGCAGCATTACAAGGCTTTGCAAGGCTGGATTTTAGAAGAAATTGAGTTACGATAACAAGGCCGCGTTGTTAGACGGTGCCTTGTGTGGCCTTTAATACTTTAAGCGTCGACGAGCGTACAATACTGAAGCCACCATGGCGAGCTTTTTTCATATTGCAACAGGGCTCCGCCTGCCATAACTAACAAAAGTGCCTTGAACAAAGAGCCAACACTGCCTCCGCCATGTCTGTGATGACGCACCCGTCACGGCAGCGGCCCCACCACACTCGGCGCGGACCGACGCCTCGTTCGCCGTGATGACGCGCCGGTTGTTCCCGGACCCAGGACACGGGAAAACCAGGGAATAAGAGGTAACAAAAAAAAGTTTATAGTTTAGACCCGTACATACTTTGCCTTGGGGTGTTTATGGCATTGAACGCGCCTACGGATCCTGACATATAGGCTTGAGTCATTACGCTTGAGCCTGAATTATGCTGGTCATTGTTACGTCTGCCACATGTTCGTTTATCGCTACAGTACAGTTATTAAGCTACCTATGTAGTTAGAGCTCTCAAAACAAGGGGGGTGACTTGAACTTGCACCGCCAAGTGGGAGTGAAACACAAAATCGCACTACTCTACAAGTTATGGGCAATGAATCGCCATTGTACTTATCAGGCGAAGCGCCGGAGCGCATCAAGGTAGATTGTCGCAAAAATGCAAAATTACAAACCCCTCCACGAGTCTGTAATGTCATGATGCCCGTCTTGGCCCCTCGGCGTCTTCAAGCACATGTTTGACTACGTCATAGAAAGTGCTTGACACAGATGCTCGGCCCAGCGCCAATGGAAATATTCGTCAGTGGAGGATTGCCGAGCAGCCCTGAACCAAGGTCGTTTTTAGCAAAATAATAAAGCGCACACGGCTCATTGATTGCCACCGCTGCGAGGACTGGTAACTGGAAGGCGAACCAGAAAGCTACCTCGCTTAAAGACGTTTCTTTGTGAAGAAACATTACACCAAGTATTGGGTACGAGTTGCTTCCGGCGCTGTCTGGGCGGCGGAGCCAGCGAGGAAGCCTTGGCTGAACAGACCCATGTGAGGACGACTCAACCAATAACCCCGTCACCCGTCGTGATCTGGCAAATCAACGATGCTAGGAGCGATGCTCGGCGAAATTATTTGGCAAAGTCTCTGGCTAGCTCCCACTACTGCGAAATACCTACTCCCTCCTCCTCCACAGCTAAACCACAAGTGTTGTAACGGTCAAGGCCCGACGGAAGGATCTTGTTTAACCGAGCAGCGGAGTTCGGTCCGAGATTTTAGCTGCGGGGGGCGGACAAGCCACAGATATGAATAGCGGCAAATAACACAATGGCGCAATAAATGGCGCTGAAAGAACCTTTGTCAACTGGGAGGGGCGAAGGAATGCAGGAGCCACCCATCCATCTCAAATTATCGCACCCACTTGCTACCAACTTCCAATCTCTGACGAGTCTGGAGAGGCACTTGGGCAGGTAATAAATGCCAGTCAAAAAGATTTCGTTGAGATGATATGAAAACGAAGCGTCTCAACTCTCCAGTGCCAACCGTTTGGAGTTGGGCTACCCGCAATGACGAAGCCAAACACACCCTCGAGACCAGCCTGATGGCCGGCCGTTTGGTTTCTCATAGGTTCATTAGGTCCCGTAGCTGGCCAGAAACAACTGGCGCTGGACTCTTGGGTGCCGCTCCGGTCTGCTCATTATGGGGCTTTGGACATGTGAGATGCGCTTCGCGGAGGACCTCGCCATCTATTCGTGCCTTCTAAACTTTACGCCACCAGTTACCATCGCGTGCCAGCCCAGTCAATAAGACCGGGGGGGGTCTCGTTCCCGCATCGGCCGAAAAAGAGACATGAGGCGGTGGGTGTGATTGGCTCTCGGGTGAGAGGAGGAACGTCGATTCTGAACCAGTTGGGGTAGTCGGCGCTAAATGACCATAATCATTGGCTACCCCATGTAGTTACATATCACCCAAGCCACGCGTGGTGGACTCGACCTCGAACACCGTCCTGGCTCCTTCCTACAACGACATAGTTCGGGTGCTCCTTGCTGTCGGCGCTGTGGCAGCTGCACGGCAGCCAGATTTAGCTTCCCTTGCCGAAACTGTCAGAACTATTGATTTGATCACTCATTTATTTATTTTTGTTCTAATTTCTCCGGCCCTATATCTGACGCGTTGTTTATATCCCCCCACTCTCAGTGGAAGGAGCTGGTACACATCCTTACAACTCCGCCGGGAGAGGGGTAATACCGGGACATCTCCTGCCAACTAGGCTTCTTTCTCAAGATGGCTTCATAAGAAGCTTTTTCGAAAAAAAGACACCCAATGCCCAAGGCAAAAGCTCCTCGCATCTTGCATCATCGCCGCGATCCCAGTGTTTGTGCTCTGTCGGCCGCTACTACCTCCGCCTGGTAGGCTTGAGGCGCTCGGCCGAGAGCAGACGCCATTTGAGCTCGCTGAAGCAGGTTATCCCCCAAGTTGAGTACTGCACACGAGCTCTGTGGTTAGCAGTGCCGCCGGGGGACGATGTTGGTGAGGATTGACGTACCCGGGACTGCTTGGACAACGGCAACGCTGGCTAGGGCCGCAAACAGCGCAGCATGTGGGATGTTCATGGCTATTCGCAGTGCAATCGAATCTTGATGTGATAGTTGTGGTGTATTCGTAGGAAGTTGAAATGAGAGAGATGCGTCGGGGACCTGGACAGCCTGCTTTTGTAGGTCCTTTTGTAGGTCCTTCTCCGACAACGGATGACTCCGTACATCATTAACTATTCTGGTCTGGGGTCCGTCGTCAACGAATAGGGCCCATTTCCTTCCGACCCCCGTTCATTTGTGAAAAGAGGGCCTACATACAGATACTCAGTACAGTATATGCGCTTACCTTACTACTAGCCACACGCCTTCGGTGTACGTAGTTAGTCGAGGCACTGGGTGGATCTTGAGCCGATGGATATGACCAGGTTATGACAGTCCATACGGCCCGGTGCAATGCAATCCGCCAATACACCCAGCCTCGCGGTGAATCGGACCAGGCATCATATAATAAGGAGCCTCCTCCCCGCAGCAGTGTCGTTGGACAAAGGCGCAACCGCGACGGATATCTTGAAGAGCCTCGAGCGGCGACAGTGCTGCACCACCACCAGATCTCCCTGTGCCATGGACGAATCATTTGGTCCGCGGCTCTTTGGCCATTTCGACTTCACGCTGCTCTTTGAGCACAGCATCCTCGAGCTTGCTCCCGCCTGCTTCCTCCTTTTTGTTGTTCCCTTTTACATGTACGCAGTCTCAAAGGGCACGCCTCGCGCGAGGTTCGGCCTCCTGCTCTGGGCAAAACTGGCACTCGCCGCTGCCCTCATCGGGCTGCAGATCGCGAATGCCGTCTTGTGGTGGAGCTCGCCCCTCAACTCGGCGCTCGCAAGGGCTGCCGGTATCATGTCCTGCGTCTCGGCTGTGTGCATTCTTCTTCTCCTCTTCGCTGGCCACGTGTACTTTGTGCATTCGCCTGGATTCTTGAGCCTGTTTCTCAGCGTCACCATGCTCTTCGACGTTGCTATTACGCGCACCTACTTCAATCGGCACGGTCTCGCGACTCTTGGCAAGGTGCATGCCCCGATTCCAGTCGTCAAAGTAGCCCTCGTGGTTCTAGAGGAGGTTTCGAAGCGTTCGCTCATCCGAGCCGAGACTCTTCGCGCATCACTGGGCCACGAAACGCTGGCCGGGTTCTGGAATAGATCGACGTTTTTCTGGGTGAATGCGACCTTGCTCATAGGGTTTCGCTCAGACATTACGCAAGATTCCCTCGGCAATCTGGATCCGCAGTTTGACTCTGACAAACTTCAGACTGACTTCCGTCGCATCTGGGACACTGGCGATAGGCCCAAGTCGAAACATGCGCTCCTCCTCGCCTGCCTCTACACAGTTCCCTGGTTGTTCATTCTAATTATCCCGCCCAGGTTGTTTTTTATCGGCTTCTCCTATGCACAACCATTCTTGCTGCAGGAGGTGGTCAAGTTTGTATCGGAACAGGCTCCAGACCCGGCTGTCGCCGACGGACTAATTGGTGCCGCTGCGCTCATCTTCTTCGGCAAAGCGGTAGGCACCTTCTGAGGCTACGCAATTGATTATACACTCTAACCAGTAAAAAGATTTCCAGAGGATGGTATAGTCACTACAAGAACCAAATCATGACAAGTGTCCGTGGTATTCTCATTGGTGCCATTTACCGCAAGACCCTGAGATTGGGCGCCGACGACCTGGCCAACGGAGCGGCAGTCACACTCATGAGTACGGATGTGAACGGTGTTGAGAGACTAATTACGCTATCTTATGAAAGCTGGGCCCGTCTTCTCGAGATAGGAAGTGGCATTGGTATTCTCGGCAAGTTTATCGGCCCTTCCTGCGTTTTTACTTTGATTCCCGCTATTGGTAAGCACTTTGTCTCTATGCATGACTTGGCAACCAAGGCTGATGCTTCCCTATAGTTGCTGCTATTTGTTCTTCACAATTAGCCAGAGTCATTTCGCGCACAAGGAAAAACTGGAACGAACATATCGAGGTCCGCGTGGCCGCCACCTCGAACGTTTTGGCGCAGATGACAGATGTGAAGATGATGGGCCTGGCACCTGCATTGGCAAAACATCTTCAGAAGATGCAAGACAAAGAGGTAACAGCCTCACTTCGCGATAGAACTGCTCTCTCCGGAGTGTTCGCTCTGTCAGCTTTCGTCGAAACAGTCACGCCGGCGGTGGTCGTTGCAGCAACAATTTTCTGGACGCGGGCCGACGACAGCTTGAGTGTTGAACTCTTCTTCACCATTCTTGCAGTCGTCACTATGGTGACAAATCCCTTGGCAGCGGTCCTCGGCTCCATTTCCTTTTGGTCCACCGGATTTGCGTCTATATCACGAATTCAGCAGTATTTGTTGAAAGAAGAACCCAAGGACATACGCCAGTTTGAGCCCGAGCAGCCTCCAAGCTCGAGCTCTAGCCAGGAAAGCGTTCAGTCGACCGGAACCAGTACTCAACGTTCTGTTTCCGTCCGCGACCGGCGGGGATGCCGGACTTCTCGTCTTGCCGTTGACATGAGCGATGTCTCGGTGACCCTGGATACATCTGCACCCATACTGCGCGAGGTATCGGTCAAGATACCACGAAGAAGCAAGACAATGATCTTTGGTCGCGTTGGATCTGGCAAGTCAACGATGCTGAAAGTGATACTCGGCGAAATTCAGCCTCGACGTGGAACCATTAAGCTTGGGAGTCGCTCCGTATCCTACTGCAGCCAGGTGCCTTGGATTCTGAACGACACCATCCAGAACAACATTGTCGGCACAAACGTGTACAATTCCAACCTTCTCAGAAGAGTCATTTGGATCTGCGCGCTGGATACCGACTTGAATAACTTGTCGGATGGAATTTTGACCAGTTGTGGTAGCGATGGCCGAAACTTGAGCGGCGGCCAGAAACAGCGCATCGCTTTGGCTCGCGCAATCTATGATCAGGCAGACATTCTGCTTCTAGATGACGTTTTCAGCTCCCTGGATATGGAGACATCCTCCACCATTCGAATCAGGCTTTTCTCTCAGACGGCAGTGCTGAACTCGACCACAACAATCATGACGACCAACGCGACTGAGCACCTTGTGGACGCAACTCTTGCTTTGGGTATTACAAATACAGGTCATGTGGAAGAGATTACGAATTCCGGCAGGGAATTCAGCCCGTCTTGCATCCCCGCGAGCGTGCTGGCGGAACGCGATAATCTCATCCCGCCTCCCATGGACGAGAAGAAGGAAGCTCCCGCTGTCGTTGCCAGCGACGCGCCACCTAGTACATTGCCCCAACGCAAGCACGGTGACTTTTCGCTGTATTCGTACTATCTCGGTCCTGCAGGGTGGAAGTTTCTGACCATTTGGCTCGTCCTGATTGTGATTGCTGCCGTGGCGGAAAAGATGCCGCACATCTTTGCACGACTGTGGTTCGACAGAGCTCCAAACAGTCGATCCTACTTTATTGGCTTTGCGATATTATGTGTTGCAAACCCGACACTGAACATGATGGCAACCTCTGCGTTTTTTTACTTGGTCAATCCGAGCGCGTCAAAGTCTTTGCACTGGAAGTTGGCCGACACGACATCAAGGGCGACGCTGGACTTTTTGTCGCAGGAAGATGCCGGTGCGCTGCTGAATCGGTTCAGCCAGGACATGTCTCTGATCTCTCAACGACTACCGCTTGCGATTCTGCCAGCCAGTTGGATGGGTCTTACTGTTCTTATGGACATTGCAATCATCGCGTCTGGTGCTAGCTTTGCGGCGCCGATGCTGCCCATGTTTGTCTTGCTTGTGGCGGCTGTACAGCATTTTTACCTCCGGACGTCGCGACAGCTACGAATCCTGGAGCTGGATACGTCAAAGAAGCTCTATACGCACTTTACAGAATCAGCAGCTGGGGCTGCCCATATTCGCGCCTCCCGTTGTCAGCTTGCTTTCACACAAGAGCTTTACACCGTCCTGAATGAGACACAGAAGCCGTTCTACGCCATGTTTTGTGTACAGCAATGGCTCATTTTGACGCTCGATGTGGCCACTACTGTGGCAGCCGTATCTGTTGTTGCGTTGGCTGTCAAGTACACTTCGCATACTTCGGATACCGCCATGGGCCTGGCTTTTTTGAGTCTCATTACTTTCAGCGAGACCACGAGCACGTTCATCCAGCATTGGGTGGAAACGGAGACGTGCCTAGGAGGAGTGGCTCGCGTGCGAGACTTTGCCGAGAAGACGCCTGTGGAAGAGGTGTGCAAACCGGGTCCAGATGTGCCTGAGGATTGGCCGCGCTATGGCAAGATAGACTTCAATTGCGTCGAAGCGACTTATCAGTCTGGTTCCCTGCACAAGTGTATCGATTTTTTGCTAATACACGTAACAGAGCAAATGGCGCGAATCCCCATACTGCCCTTCGCAACGCCACACTCGAAGTGAGGCCAGGAGAGAAATTTGTCATGACAGGTCGCACGGGAAGGTAAGAACGCTCGGTTCTGCGACCATACGCTGGCCACTGACAACCAATTCTCAGCGGCAAAACAACAGTGTTGCTAGCGCTTCTGAATCTGATTCAGTACTCGGGTAGCATCAGCATCGACGACCGGGAGCTCGGCATCACACCGCGAGATGTACTACGATCGCGCATCACCACGATTCCTCAATCAGCGGTGCAGTTCAGGGGCACGATACGATACAATCTCAACCCCTTTGACCCGTCGACATTCTCGAAAGGCTTCGAAGTAACTGACGAGCTGCTCATTGGCATCCTTGACAAGGTTGGGCTGTGGAACCTGATTGAAGCGCGGGGCGGCTTGGATGCCGAGATGGGCAGGATGGAGCTGTCAGAAGGCCAGAAGCAGCTCATGCAGCTTGCGCGGGCCGTACTGCACCACCAGAGCGTAGGCTCGAGGATCGTCGTGGTGGATGAAGGCTCGTCCAGCATGGACGAGCTGACCGAGGCTAGAATGCAAGAGGTCATGTCGGATGTATTTGGCAGGTGCACCATGGTGGTGGTTTCGCACCGACCGGCCACGGCCACGACAGCAGATTACGTTGGGCGGGTGGCGGACGGGGAGCTGATCGTCTTTCGGCCCGTCCATCGATGCGCGCGGCAGTAAACGAGTTGAGACGGGCGTGAAAAGGTAGATCGTCAAGCCACCATTTCCCTAGTAGTGATGGGTTGTCGCACACGGGGTAGGCCACTGCCAGCCCCTGGCCAAGTTGTGCGCATCAAGCTGCTAAGCGAGTGAAGAGGTGTCGAAGAAGAAGGAGATGTGGACAGCCGAGATGCAACGACATGGGGTGGTGATGCCGCAATTCATCAGGATTAATCAGGCTTTTGTTTGTCGAGTTGTGATTCAAGCAAGGTGCTGCTAGTCGCGGTGTGGCTTGCGGGTTAGCCTGGCAAGAGTACTGCTACATCGTTATTTGCTAAATAGAATATGAGCCACCAGGTATAGATACTTGTTCCCGCCACACATGCCTGCTCAGCCACCCTCCTTGCCTCCTCTCTAACTAGGTACCTACTCGCGGCTCCCAGCAGGCCCGTCATCTTATCCATCAATCCATCATTCATTTCTCTCTCTCTCTCTCATCTGCCATGAAGAACATCTGACAACAGGCCGCGACGTTCTCCCCCAGAGTTTGCGCCCGCGCATTCGCCTGCCGTGCCCCATCTCTCTCTCCTCTCTAGCTGCAGTCCGCTGACTCTCCTCTCTCCTTGTCCCGTCGCATGTTTCCAAGGATCCAGGCGGCCTCCGATTTTTAGCTCGTTTTGGTCCCCCCCCAGGGAGCCAAAGGCGCGTTGCGTTTTGACCCCGTTTGCAGCCCACCGCAAATCGATTTCTGGAAATCAAACTTTTGGATATAGCAAAAACCCCGATCTTTAATTAAACTCACCAAACGCCTGCTTCTTGGCCGACGCCTTTCGCCGTGTACCCCGAATAGCAAACCAGCCACTGGCGCGCCTATTCGCTCCTTCCCATGCCTGGCCCGCCAGGCCTTTGGCGGCAGCTGCTGCCATGGTCGTCACTGGCGGCCGAACCCGACGGCGCCCCGACCATGACAGTGGCCGAACCATCGCAGCACCTCCTCGCGAAGCGCCATCTCACAGACAGGGCCGTTGCCGGCGTCACCGTCGGCGTCATCGTCTTTTGCTTGCTGCTCGCCTTTTGCCTCTATCCCGTTATCGTTGGCTGCATAAAGGGACGCAAGTTTGACACTCGTCTGAATCAGCACCTCGACATCGAGACGGCCATTGGGGACGAGCACCATGCTACCGACGGCGCGCGTCCGCGCCTTTCGTCCAGCGACTCGCTCAAGAATAGCAATACATTGTCCAGAGGCTACGAATTTGATCCTGCCGCCGCCGTTCCACAGCGGGAAGGCGTGCCAAACCCGGACCAAACCCTGCTCAACTTTGCCCACTACGACCCTGGAACCGCGCGAGGCACCATCGAATACATGCCCGAGGACATGGTCGACGACCAGCCCGGCGTACTCAAAGGCACAAGCGAAGACTACTACCGAACGTCGATACCATCATCCGCCTTTGGCATGCCCGACGAACCATTTTGGCTCCCGCCCCGAACGACCTCGCGCGCCAGCTCCCTCTCGCACAATGTCCGCCACATGTTCCGCCGCAAAAGCGACAAGAATCAGACTTTTAGCTCAGTCGGTTCTTCAGGCGATGGTGCCGAGCAGGGAGGGACGCCGCTGCAGCGCATCATCACAGCCGAGGAGCCTATGGCCGAGTCGCCCACGGAGTTGTCGCCACGCTCCAGTCCACATCCGCGGTCTCCCGCCCTAGGGCCACTGCCGTCGGTGACGCCGAGAGGCCTATCGTCCGAGCCGCCCGGTGGTGCGTTGTCGAGCGCGTCATCACCCCGAACGCTTATCAAGTCGTCCCCTCCAGCCAATCCAGCACCCGGCACGGTAAATCCAATGGACATCATGGCCCCGAGCACGGAATCAGAACAGTGGCACAGGACAGAATATCAGCTCTATGCGTCATCCTATGAATCACCCCCTCCCCAGCCACTACAGCCCCCTGCGGAGCCGGACCAGGTTTCACCAGACAGCATGAACCAAGCCAACTCGCCAGACGTTCATATGAGCTCAGCAAACCAAGACACGTCGGAGCAGAAACAGCCTGGGCAGAACCAGGCTGTCGCCGGCGAAGAAAGCCATCTCCCGGCGGACAACATCAAACCTGTCGGACGCCATCCAAGCTTTCCATCCGAGATTTCCACACCTCTTCCGGGCCCAGGCTTCACCGATGCGTCATCACAGAATACACCATCAACACAGCTGGACACGCCCTCTCCAGATTCTCGAAATAGCTCCGAATTTCGCCATAGTGTTTCCCCAGGCATCGTCGCACACCACATGCCTTCGCCTGTTAAGAACCAGGATGGCATGTATCAATGCGATGAAACTGGCTGCACACAAGCCTTTGACCAGCCGCATAAACTCAAGTATGTACCTCGGTTGCTGAACCAGCCCAGCATCTGCTAACTAGACGCAGGCATCACCAGCGCTATCACAGCAAAGACCACAAGTGCCCGTACACCGGTTGCGGCAAGGGTTTCGGCACCAAGACGCATTTGCAGCGTCACATTAACGACAGGCACGAGAAGAAGAAGAAGTTTCACTGCTCGATTGAAGGCTGCGACTACTCCAAGTTTGGCGGCCGGGCGTTTCCCAGAAAGGATAATTGGAAGCGCCACATGATGAAGATTCACAACCTCGCGCAGCAGCAGCTGCCTATGCCGGTCGAGGTGGACGCAGAAATGACGGGCCTATAGTTGCGTCTCTCGGGCCATCTCATCCTTTACTCACATGGAACTATCGCAGGCTACTATTGTTGCAATGCTGCCTTGGCTACTGTAAGCGCTCGGCATGTGCTTATCAAAGCCGTCCATCTCTGGACTTGTACATACACACACATTCACACACACTTTCACTATACTTTTTGGGCATTTACGGTTTCGGAGCGGCCATTTATTTGGGTGGGCAAGGCGTGGAATTCTTGCCTCGGCGTTTTTATTTTTGTCCGGCAAAGAGCACGGGATTAAAAAGCGCTCCTCGGTAGACTTGTGCGAGCAAGTCTGGGAAGACGGGAGCGTTGTACGGCTACGCTTGATGGCTGTAAAATATGTCATCTACTTGGCAATTAAGAAATAATAACATATTCACGACAATCTTAATCTTTGGTCATATCATGCTGTTCTTATAGAATCGGTTTACTACTCGCTTGCCAGCTTTTATTCGGCCATTTTCATGGGCGTCCCATTAAATCGTAAAAATGTACATGAATTTTGTCTATACTGTCCCGGGATTGGCCTCCTCAGCTCATCTCCTTGAGTAGTTTTCTCACCAGCTTCTGCTGCTCCTCCACCCCCAACCCCTTCTCATCCGTCTCCTGCACCGCCCTCCCAACGGCCATGACGGTTCTTGCACTGCCCGCATCCACCCACACCTTGCCGTTGCGCCCCGTCGCCGTCTCAAACTGCCAGCCGCCCGCGGCGAGCCCTTCGAGCACGACGACCCCGCTCGCCGCCGCACCACCGGGCATCATCAGCCGGCGCGCCATGCCCAGGGAGACGGCAAACAGCATGCCGCCCGTCAGCGGGCCGAGCCCGTCCGCCTTGCCCGTCGACGCCGACACGCACTCGAGCTCGGCGTCCATGTGGCGGTCGGCGAGCGTGATGCGCGCGTACACGAGCGCGCCCGGCGCCAGCTGCGGCCGCGTCTTCTTCGTGGCCCCCTCAAATGCGAGCTGCGGCAGCGTCGCTGGCGCCGCGTGGTCCGACAGCTGCACGTAGTACACGTCGGCGGCGGATTTCTGAACGGTGCCAATGACGAGCTCGCCGGCCCGAGGGAGGTACTGCGTCAAAGTGCTCTTGTGTTAGCGGTTTTTTCTTCTTCTTTGTATTGTCTGATGAGGAGAGGGAAGGGGGGCGGCAGACGTACTCGTCCGGTCGACGTCTCTACGCGCAGCGCATTCTTGGGGCGGTCGCTCACGAGCTGGCCCGCGATGGTCGGCAGGATCGCATTGGTGAAGGGGTCGTGTCGGAGGCCTGGGCCCAGTCGCAGCGGCTTCTTGGGGTGTGTCGGGATCTGGGCGTCGTCAATGGCGTCGCCCGGTAGGACGATGGTGTGCGCGGCCATTTCTGCGTAGCTGGATGTGGGTTGTTGATGATGGCTTGGTAGGCGGAAGAATGGAACGAGAGGAAATGCAAACAGGCGCTTATCGATAAGATGGGTTAAAAGTGTGTTGGTGCAGGACCACCAAGGAGAGCCAAAGCGTCGGGTATTGGACAATTTATCCTGACGGAATTTTATTTGTCAAGATGGATAATTTTAAGACGGCGCTGGTTCTGCTTTTGGTTGTAGGAGAATTATCTGCAGGTTAGCTTGATATTTCTTCAGTCGCTTAGCTGTGTTTCTCGATCGCTCATACGCGCGCTTACCTAGACGGCTTGCGAAGTGGAACATTGGAACATGGAATCAAAATAGATCCGTTTTTTTCTATCCCTAACCAAACCCGACTTCTACTTAAAACAATCTGGTATCCTTATCCCATGCATCCCTGCTTCCTGAGGCTTGTTACATTCTTGACATTTGTCTTCCATAATGCTTAACGACCTTGTCAGTCCTTGTCCCCCATATTTTCCAAAATTCACCACCCGATGCCAGTTGATTGAAAGGCGTTTGCTGCGGTCCGTGACGGGCCGCATCACACCATGAGCGGGTGATAAAATAACGAGTCGGCCATGTAATTGTGGATTGCGAGATTCTTCCATCGCACCAGGCCTTTGGTCATGAAATAGCGCGACTCGCCGTAGCTGCGTCGAACCGTGCCGCCCGCGCGCTTGATCAGCCGTGTCCTGCGCATGTGGTGAGCAATTGGCATCTCGTTCCGATCCCACGCCGCCGCGCGCCAGTAGGTTTCGTCGCCGGGGCTGCCGTTGTTTTCGCCGCCGAGATCCTGCCACGCCTCAATCATGAGCGTGCGGTTCTCGCGGCCGGGCGTGATGAGGAAGTCGACGGCGCAAAAGTAGCACTGCCCAAAGCACTGGTAGCCGCCCTCCAGGGCGTTCGACAGGCCGTGCTGCAGCGCCGACAGCTGCGGCGAGCGCACGACGCTGCCATCATTGCTGTGGGAGATCGGCGCCGTCACAAGGTGGCAGCACAGCGCGACGGCACCGATCCGATCCTCGGTGACGGCGTTTGGGCCGTCCTTGAGGACCGAAAATGTCCACGTGCTCTTGCGCAGGTACCGACCCTCGATAATCCTGGGCGTCAGGGTAAAGCTGACGTCCAGTTGGTTGGGGAAGCCATTGTTGGGGTTCATGCGAAATCCGGTGCTCGTGTGCTGCTGCAGCAGCCGCGCCAGGTATTCCCGCTGCATCGGCGTCGGTTGGCGCAGGCGGTTGAGGCGGATGCTTAGCTGCACGTGGTGGTGGTGCAGCTCGTAGGTGTCGGAGCGCGGGCCGCAGTGCAGGGGAATGTAGCGAGTATGGGGACAGGACGGTGCGGCGTGGTGCGGCGTGTCGTTGTTATTCGCGCGGTGGAGCTTGACGCACTCTTGGCAGACCCAGGCGTCGGGGCGACGGCGGACAACCTTGAACAGGCATTCGAGGAGCTCCTCCCTGGAAGTTTTCTGGGCCGTGGACTGGAGACGGTGGTGCAGGGCGGCGTGTAAGCCCTTGCAGGTCTGTGTCAGGGCGAGCAGGCTCTCGAGGGGGAGGTGGTCGGCCATGACTTCAAGTACGTCGACAGGGATATTGTTGATGAAATGATTGGGTTTGAGCTTCTTATGGTTTCGCATAAGACTGGCGAGGTCCGAAGAATGGCGAGAGAACTTCATGATGTCTGATGTGTGGTGGTTGAGCAAGGTGGGAAGTGAGTGAGATGATGGCCTTGGAGAGTGAGTTGAGATGATGGCTTTGAAGTGAGTTGAGATGATAGCTTTGGAAAGTTAGCTGAGGTGATGGCTTTGAAGTGAGTTGAGATGATGGCCTTGGAGAGTGAGTTGGGATGATGGGTTTGAAGTGAGTGATGATGATGGGTTTGAAGTGAGTTGAGATGATGGGTTTGAAGTGAGTTGAGATGATGGGTTTGAAGTGAGTTGAGATGATGGGTTTGAAGTGAGTTGAGATGATGGGTTTGAAGTGAGTTGAGATGATGGGTTTGAAGTGAGTTGAGATGATGGGTTTGAAGTGAGTTGAGATGGTGGCTTTGAAGTGAGGGGTGGGTGCGATTTAAATAACATTGGGAAGCCTGGAAAGAAATATACGCATCTGTTAACTTTTCAAGTGTCGAGGCCGTGTAAAGGTAATTTCGTAGGCAGATGCGCAAGTTGATGGATATTGACTTTACAACTTGGCCATTGGCAAAGTTAGCATGCGTCCGGGCCTTGGATACCTCGACAGACTTCTACGCCAAAACGGGGTATACAAAACAAGATTTACAAGATATGATCCGTATTCATGTGTATGTATTGACGATTTCGAAAAAAAGGTTTGCTACGCCGACGGCCAAGGTTCCAGAGGTTGGTGAAGAGATGGATTATGTGTGGCATAGTATGGGGATCCAACTAGGACGAACAATGAGTAGGCTAGAAAAGTGAGTTTACTAAAATTAAAACCTTGCCGATCCGAAAATTGTATTTCCTTGTCGTTCAACTCGACTTTATATATGCTTTACATGTTCATGGACTGAGAGGCTTATCGATAACGAGCCAACCCCAAAAGGTGCAATTTAGATGTGGATCCAACCAACGCCCAACCACGTCCGACTCAAAAAATTAAATCGCCGCCTTGTGAATTTTTTTTGACCCCACCATTCTGGGCCAAAGCAACCATCACCGCCCTCGCTAAACTTCCTCCTCATTTACTACACCTCTCTTTGGGCTTGTGTATACTCCAGGCTTTGCCTCTCCGTCGCAGCTCTTTTCTTCCCTTTTTAGCCTTTTCCTTTTTTTTCTTTGCCTTTTCTTTCCTAATTCTTCCCCACCCCCCTCGTCACAATGGTTGCGCCTGTTGACCCCAACGACCGCGTGGTCCTCGGCATCACGTTTGGCAACTCCAACAGTTCCATTGCCTACACCGTCGACGACAAGGCGGAAGTCATTGCCAACGAGGACGGCGGTATTTCCCCCCCCTGAAACGAGTTCTGCCTGGTCAATCCGCTAATTTTATCCTCCTCCAGACCGTCAAATCCCCACCGTCCTCTCCTACGTCGACGGCGACGAGTACTACGGCGCCCAGGCCAAGGCGTTCCTCGTCCGCAACCCAGACAATACCATTGCCTACTTCCGCGATTTCCTCGGAAAGGAGTACGTTTTGAGGCTCCCAACACCATTCTGTCACTGCTAACCCCCTCTGTAGCTTCAAGTCGATCGACCCCACGCATTGCCACGCTGCCGCCCACCCCCATGACACTTCCGGGCACGTATCCTTCAAGGTGCAGGACCAGCCTGGCCCCTCCGACTCCGACTCTGACTCCGCTCCTGCTGCCTCCGCCGCTGCCTCCGCCGCCGCCTCCGCCGCCGCCTCCGTCGCCGCCTCCGTCGCACCCTCCACCGTCTCCATTGACGAGACGGCCACGCGCTTCCTCCGCCGCCTGGTCACGTCCGCCTCCGACTACCTCGGCAAGCGCGTCACATCGGCCGTCATCACCGTGCCGACCAACTTCTCCGACGCCCAGCGCGCTGCTCTCCTCAGCGCCGCCGACGCCGCCGGCCTCGAGGTGCTGCAGCTCATCGCGGACCCCGTCGCGGCCGTGCTGGCCTACGACGCGCGCGCCGACGCTGGCGTCGACAATGTCGCTGACAAGCTCGTCGTCGTCGCCGACCTCGGCGGCACCCGCTCCGACGTGACCGTCATCGCCTCGCGCGGCGGCATGTACACCATCCTCGCCACCGTGCACGACTACGAATTCGCCGGCGTGCACCTCGACAACGCCCTCATGGACCACTTTGCCAAGGAGTTCCTCAAGAAGCACCCCACCGTCGCCGACCCGCGCGCCAACCCCCGCTCCCTCGCCAAGCTGCGGCTCGAGGCCGAGGCCGCCAAGAAGGCGCTCTCGCTCGGCACAAACGCCCAGTTCTCCGTCGAGTCTCTCGCCGACGGCGTTGACTTTTCCTGCACCATTAACCGCGTGCGCTACGAAATGGTCGCCCGCAAGGTCCTCGACGGCTTCACCCGGCTCGTCGAGGGCGCCGTCAAAAAGGCCAGCCTCGACGTGCTCGACGTCGACGAGGTCGTGCTGTGCGGCGGCACCGCGCACACCCCGCGCGTCGCCACCAACCTCGCCGCCCTCTTCCCCGAATCCACGGCCGTGCTCGCGCCGGCCACCAGCGCCGCCGCCATCAACCCCTCGGAGCTCCAGGCCCGCGGAGCCGCGCTCCAGGCCTCGCTCATCCAGGAGTACGAGGCCGCCGACATTGAGCAGTCGACCCACGCTGCCGTAACCACCGTCAAGCACATTACCAACGCCATTGGTGTCGTCACCGTCGGTGCCGATGGCGTCGAGACGTTTACCCCCGTCATGCAGGCCGAGACGGCCGTGCCCGCGCGCCGCACCGTCCAGGTCAAGGCGCCCAAGGCTGGCGGCGACGTCCTCGTCAAGGTCGTCGAGGGCGGCACCCACATCAAGGTCACCAAGGCCGAGCCCAAGCCGGCCCAAAACGGCGACGATGAGGAGGACTCGGATGCGGACAGCGACGAAGAGGACGAGGAGCATCGCGAGAAGCTCTGGAAGATTGGCTCGCCGCTTGCCGAGGCCGCCGTCAAGGCCGTCAAGGCCGGCGCCAAGGTCGAGGTCACCATCAACGTCCTCGGCGACCTCAGCGTCACCATTACCGCCCGCGAGGTCGGCGGCAAGGGTGGTGTTCGCGGCTCCCTTGCTGCGTAGACAATGATGCCAATGAGAGTTGTAACGATGAAAGGCAATGCAAAAAAAAAGAAGGCTAAAGGGAAAACGAAACGACAAAGGAGAAAGCAAGAATAGCCCTGCTGGAGAAAACAACAAGATAGAAAAGGGACTCTTCAAAAGCGGCTGTGTTTTTTTTATAGAAATGTATGCATTTCTATGTATCTGTTATAGACGACGATTACTTCATCAATGCCAAAAAAATACACCTTCTACTGATGGCTGGCTGCCTGCCAAACAAGGAACAGAGTTGTCAATCAACTGCGCGCTATTTGTACTCAAATTGCCTTTTGCAAGGCTATAGTGGTGTAGAACGGAACAGAAAATACCTACAAACAGCTGTAGAGATCAAAGACAAACGAGAGGAAATTGCCCGCGTCACTTAGCGACGTGGGAGAGTTTACAGTGTGGGTCGGCTTGCCTGAGCCCCCAAAAATATTATTCAGGGTTCCCCGTCAGAGTTAGCCGTTTCAACAAAAAAAAACGGCAAAAAAATTGTCCCCTTTTCTCCAGCGAGTTTCCAGTTGTCGGCGTCTTGCCATTGAAGCGTTCCGCATCTCTCTGGTACTTTTTTTTTTTTTCCTTTTCTTCTTCCTGACGAAAGCCACCACCATGCTTCGAGCGACTAGCCGCCGACTGGCCGCCACTGGATTGGCGTCGTGCTCCAGAATCGCAGGTGCAGCAGCAGCCACGACGCCCACATGGAGAGCGACCACCAGCGTCGTCTTCACCCCGCATGCTGTTGCTTCTGGGCAGATTCTTTCCTCCTTGCAACAACGAGGATTTCGCACCACTTCCTCCATCATGGCCGCTTCCACCATCCCCCCGCGCACAGAGAGCGATGCCTTTGGCGAGATCCAGGTCCCTGGCGACAAGTACTGGGGCGCCCAGACGGAGCGGTCCCTCGAAAACTTTCGCATCAACCAGCCGCAGGACCGCATGCCGCCGCCCGTGATCAAGGCCTTTGGCATTCTCAAGGGCGCCGCGGCCACGGTCAACATTCGATATGGCCTTGGTGCGTGAAATTTTTTTTTTTGCCTTCCTTTTCTCTCTCTCTCGCTCTCGCTCTCCTACCTCCCACCCGGCTTCGTCGGGCTACTCCGGGGAGGGTCGACCCGGGGCGTTGAGCTCCGTCCGCGCCCGAAAAAAGGCGCAGGTGGAGATGGCGCGCCGCCGGCGTCGGCACACCACAACAACAAACATATCCAGCTTTGCTGCTAACACGAACGGGGCCTTGTTACAGATGCCAAGATTGGCCAGGCCATTCAGCAGGCCGCCAAAGAGGTGGCCGATGGCAAGCTCATGGACCACTTCCCGCTCGTCGTCTGGCAGACGGGTTCCGGCACGCAGTCCAACATGAATGCCAACGAGGTCATTTCGAACCGCGCCATTGAGATCCTCGGCGGCACCATGGGCAGCAAGTCGCCCGTGCACCCCAACGACCACGTCAACCGCAGCGCCTCGTCCAACGACACGTTCCCGACCGTCATGCACATTGCCGCCGTCCTCGACCTCGAGGGCGAGCTGCTGCCCGCCCTGCGCAGCCTCCGCGCCGCCCTCCAGGCCAAAGTCGACGCCTTTGCCGCCAAGAAGATTATCAAGATTGGCCGCACCCACCTGCAGGATGCCACGCCGCTGACCCTCGCCCAGGAGTTTTCCGGCTACGTGGCGCAGCTCGACTTCAGCATCAAGCGCGTCGAGGGCGCGCTGCCCGACCTCCGTCTGCTCGCCCAGGGCGGCACCGCCGTCGGCACCGGCATCAACACGTTTGTGGGCTTTGCCGAGGCCATCGCCGACGAGGTCAGCCGCATGACGGGCACCGCGTTCAAGACGGCGCCCAACAAGTTCGAGGCGCTCGCCGCCCACGACGCCATTGTCCAGGCCCACGGCAGCCTCAACACGCTCGCCGGATCGCTCACCAAGATTGCCCAGGATATCCGCTACCTCGGCAGCGGTCCCCGCTGCGGCCTCGGCGAGCTCAACCTGCCCGAGAACGAGCCCGGCAGCAGCATCATGCCGGGCAAGGTCAACCCGACCCAGTGCGAGGCCCTCACCATGGTCTGCGCCCAGGTCATGGGCAACAATGTTGCGACCACGATTGGTGGCATGAATGGCCAGTTTGAGCTCAACGTGTACAAGCCCCTCATCATTCGGAACCTTCTCCATAGCTCGCGCATCCTCGCCGACGGCATGCGCTCGTTTGAGAAGAACCTCGTCGTCGGTCTGCAGGCCAACGAGGCCAAGATTGCCAGCATCATGAAGGAATCGTACGTACTCTTCAAACCTACATGACGGCAAAGAAAGAAAAACTCATTCGCTAACAAATGCCAATACATAGTCTTATGCTGGTGACTTGCCTCAACCCCAAGATTGGCTATGACATGGCCAGCAAGGTGGCCAAGAATGCGCACAAAAAGGGCCTCACTCTCAAGGAGAGTGCCATGGAGCTCAAGGCTCTGACGTCGGACGAGTTTGACGCTCTGGTCAAGCCTGAGCTGATGGTTGTGCCCAGCGAGTACAAGCAGTAAATGGTGCTGAGAAGGAAGCGTGGGGTGAGAGAGGATTGTGTGTGTACTGATAGAAGAACGAACAAACATTGCGACCTAGAATAGACATGGTGCCTACGGCGTGTAAAATCAATATAAACAATGGCATTTTTACGAAGCAAGGCCCTGCCTGTCAAGAAGTGTGCGGGAACAAGTTGCGATTCTCTTTTCCATGCCAGATCTGTCGGCTAGTCGGTTCTTTGATGTGAAATGTACAAATTCTAGAGAAAGCAGTACAGAGCGGCACTGAACAGTGACCTCGGTATTATTTTTATTTACATTTCAGAGGCCATTTCAGACCGGTCAGGCTTTCTTGCCCGGGAAGTTGCCAAGCCACGAAGTCATCGCGGAGTTCATCTTCATTAACCTCGCGCTGATGCTTGTAACTTGTCTCTCCACGCCCGTTCTCTGTTCCCGAGCTGCTGCCCAAAGTCGGAACAAGACTGGCGATGCTGTCGCTGCGACTGCTGCGGACGGCGTGATGGCCCTCGTCGTGTGAAGACAGGCGGCTGTTAAGGGGAGTATGCGACTTGCGCGGGCTGGGGGAATCGCGGTGATGGCCACCGCCAGTGACGGTGGAAACGCTCTTGTCGGAGGAGGCACTGGGGTGTCGACGATGGTTGCTGAGACCAAGACGACGGAAGTCGGAAGGACGCAGAGTACCGCTATTACCAAGGTCGTCAATCTCCAAGTCCTCGGGGTCCGTGTTGGAAGAAGAGAGCTCGCGCTTGGAAGAACCCGTTTTGGGAGCCTTCCAACCGTTGCCGCCAGCGAAAATATCTTCGATGCATTCATCAGCAGGGAGCTGTGCGGGCTGTTTGGACCATGATGCAGCTAATGTGCGGCGGTAGAGGTCTTGAACCTCTGCGTTGTCACGATTTTTGCTAAAGCTGGGTAGGGCTGATTGAATGGCATCAGCGGTTGATCGCAAACGTTGACTCTTGTACTACTCACGTCCAGTGTCATCTTCAATTTGGTTGGGGTCCATGAATCCGGTAATGCCGCCGAATACAGGAGCCGTTTTGAGCGAGGGTGCTGCAAAGTTACGGTCGCCATCGATTTGGATCATGAGAATCCCAATCTTGAGGGTGCTATTGATTTTGCTGTCCTGCATCAGATATCGTCGAACGATGCCTTCTTGGGCAGGGCGGCTCTCTGAACTCGTTCGACGATTCGAGGAGAGGCTGATACTGCTTCCACCAGTGCTTTGTTTGCGAATTCGGGGAGGCGACAGAGCGTCCCGGCTGTATGGCTCGCTTTCTTCGACAAATTCGCTCAAATTTAGCTTGATATGGCCGAGGGTGATTTTTTCGGCCACGGCAAATTCTTGCAGAATCTCGAGCTCAAAGGGGCACTCAGAGAGCATGTTGCTCTTGTCAATAGAGATGCGGATAGAGGGCACGATTCTGCCAAAGTCGTAATCGACTCTGTGATTTGCGATGGGGCACTTTCCCGTGCGTCCGCGATGATCTGCGTGCATGGAATGTGAGAGATGCCATTTTATATATGAGTTGCCGTTGACCAATGGGACGTTATTCAGGTCATATATCTGCCAAATGTTAATTTGAGACGGGTGAGCGAGGATCCAAACTGCTCACTTTGAGGTGAAGCTCAAACTTCGGCTATGCGATAGAGTTAGTAAGGGCGATGAGCCGGGATAAATTCGTGGCAAGCATACCTTGCGACTTTTGCCAACTGTTGGGAGATGCATGTCAGCTAGGTTCAAAACTCGTTACATATGAGAGAGGCAGTCTGCCTGATGTGTAGTAGGACGCCGAGGCCGGTTTCAAAGGGAACGAGGCAACAGTGAGTGGAAGGGGTCATGCAGCTAGAACGGCATGGCTGACGACAGAGAAAGAGGAGGACTGTGCAATACAGAAGAGGAACGGGGTCGAGATTAGCTTACTCAGAGAAGACATGACTTGCGGTAGGCGTTATCGCAGTGGCATGGCAGTGCGGACCAGTCCGGGGCTGGTGGTGAGGGTCGCAGTGCGCTGCAGGCAAGGGGCTCCAGGATGAGGCGTGTAGGCGATTCGGGAAAGGGTGCGCATTCAAGAATTCCAGACCGTGCTGGCTTGTGAGCTAACAGATCCGGCACAGCCGTGGTGGCGCCCTTTTTTCTTCTGTGCGAGGGCGGACAGAACGGGCCTAGACTGGTGAGACGGGGGGTTGCGACGACGGTTTCGAGAAACGGGACCGTGGACCGATGATTTCTCTGTTGGGGCGCGATGGAAAACGAGATTGGTCAAAGGGTTGTTGCCGGCGGGCAGGCCCTGTGGCAGGACGGCGGCGCTGTAGAGAAAATGGCCCAGATCCTCCTGGTGCATGTGATGATGACGCGCGCGCGCAGTCGTTGGCAGCTCTCTCTGTAACAAGGACAGCGGGGGGGGCCAAGCGGCGATAGGGGACGCCTGTGGAGACGAGGCTGACGAGGACAAAGAAATAGAACTCAATGCGGTGCGGGACGGTGATGCCAATGGGCGGTCGGCGGGGTGCACGATGATTTTGATTGAGTTGAGAGGAGATGCAAGATGAAGAATCTGTTGATCGCGTGAGGAATTCGAGGCTTGATCAAGTCGTCTTTTTCCTTTTTCGTTTGCAGCTGCCCCCTTCCTACTTTGCGCTTCAAGCCTGGCTGTGTTGGGCTTAGCGTGCCAGCTGCCAGCAAACGGCAAACGGATGCTGGTATGCGCCACAGACGAACTAGCCACATCACCAAACGAAGAGGCATGCAAGAAGCAGCATCTATGAAAACGAGTTTTCTTCTTTTCGCCTCCTTTCTATTCTCCATTATCTTCTTCTAGCTACTACTAATGCAACACGAAGCGAGACACGTCCTCACGGCTGAAGAAATTGCCCTCTTGCAGCACCGCTCCGATTTAGACCACCTGTCCGCTGTCATGGGTTGAAACGCCATCATGCACCATCAAGCCATGCGCCATGCGCCATGTCGCCCATTCTCTCATCCGACATATTTTGCATTATACGGAGGCTGACGAGGACAAAGAAATAGAACTCAATGTGGTGCGGATGCCAATAGGCGGTCGTCAAAGTTTTTCCACTTTCGAGATTCATCGGGTTCAATGTGCTACGAAATACGACGCATTATTTACAGAGCACACGCACCGTAGGCATTGGCGCGGCATCAGCATTTCTCCAACGAGCACACTGCTCTCGCAACATGAGTATTCGTACATTATTCCGCACATGTCCATGGATCTAGATATCACTGTCATCTCGTCCACTTGCCTCAAAAGTTCGTATCCAAAAAGGATGGCAGCTCATCCAAGCTCTCCGGAAACGACGCAAAATTACCATCCACACCGAAAAACGGCGTACACGACGGCATCAGCATAGTGTCCTCTCTCCACGCCGCCTCGGTCGGTCTCCAGTCCTGGCCAGCCATCGGCCCCATCTCCTCAGACCCAACCATGCTAGCCGCAGTCGACTCCGGCACCGACGGATGCTTCTGCACCCTCTGCTCCCACTTTTTAAACTTGGCATAGTCCGACTCCTCCGACACCGCCGCCGCGCTCCCCGCCGCCGCCGGGTGGCGTGTGATCATGCTCGCAATCGCCCGCTCAAACGCCTCAATCAGGGACGCCTCCGAGTGCCACGACTGGCTGCCCGACGACATGTCCTTGAGCATCACGACGCCGTCGCGCAGCGCCTGCCGGAACCGCTCCGTGCCCTGCGTCAGGCACTGCGTGGTGATGACGAGCAGCGCCGCCCGGCACGAGCTGAACTCGGTGTACGACGCCCGCGCCAGCCCGACGGCCCGCGAAATGACGCGGCACGCGTCAATCACCGACAGCGCGGCCTCGGCGCAGTCGCGCACCAGAGTCGCGCGTGAGCTGCGCGAGGTGGTGTCGGACGAGGACGGCGTCGAGCGGTTGTCGCTGTCAAGCTTGCCGTCCTGCGGGAGGATAAAGATGCGGCCAAGAAAGAGGCGCACCATGCAGTACTCCAGCCGGAGGTGCATCCTCGGCCGGAACGCGGCCGAAATTGGCTGCTCAGTGTTGAACAACGCGGCGTCTCCAAGACCGTCCCACCATTTGACCAGCTCGGACTGAAGTTGAGCAAGCTTCTTGACACACTCCGAGGTTTCTGTTTTTGGGAGAGTTCGCAGGTTGGACCTAAAATGGTGTCAGAAGCTTCCCTCCCGGCTGAGACTTAGCTTACATTATATATGCCACTTTGGATAAGTACTTATTTAGTTGTATGGTGGTGAGTAGAAGCTCCGGATTCCTAAACGATACTGTCGGGCTAGGCAGTGGCGACGGCAGATCCGCGTCAACGTCGACGCTTGCGATGGAGATGGGACGACCGTGAAATATACCGACTCGCCTATATACAGTTAACAAGTTACAAGGCCAGGAGAAAGGAGAAAGGAGAAGGAAAGACGGCGTCGCCACGTACTGCTCAACTGTGTAGAGTGCCCACCAGACGCGATTTCGTGTCTCCCGGACACGCGCATCTCCATCGTTTGCAGGATGCGTTCTGTGCATACCATTCTGTATCGCCAACTTCAACGCCAGATTCAGGTATATGTAGGCCAGCCCGGATGCGTCCACCGGGAGCGTATACATGCCCATCAACAGGCACGCCTGCACGCTCTGCAGCGACGAGGCCGCAATGACCTCTGGTAGCAGGTGAGCCGCTTTTCTGTAAAACTGAATACCGACCGCGTCTTCGCTGAACTGCTTCGCGTCACTGGCAGCAGCAGTAGCAGCCCCCTTGCTCTCTGCGACGGACTCGAGGTAGGCGTACTGCGTACCGATGGCGAGCATCGTAAAGATCATCGAGAGGGTGCCAACGTCTCTGTTTGACAGCGCCATGGGGTTTTCGTAGACAATGTCCACCTGCGTGCACAGCCACTCTCTGTCGACGAAGCTGTAGTTGGCCTCGGCGTGTTGGAAGAAGCAGTGGAGGAGAAAGTCGGTGATGGAACGCGGCGGCAGCGAGGAGAGCTGCACGAGAGAGCCGGCTGGGGACCGAAGCTCATCGGGCCGGTAATATTCGTCAAATACGATGGATGGTTTAGGAGTTTGCTCCTATGGCAGTGAGTGCCGTGAAAACAGATGTTGAAGCCTTGGTACGTACATTTTGGACCTGTCGTGCTACGCTCTGGTCTAGCCAGTCCTTGATGCGCATGGAAAAGTTCCAGTGCGAAAACTCGCCCGAATAATCTGCGCCGGATTAGATTCGATGGCGAACAAAGCAAGTATAAACGAGAGCTTACGCATGACATTCCCATCTAGAGATTGCATGGTGATGGACTTGTCAACCTCATCTTCGTGCGATGTCCGGGACGGACTGCGCCGGCTGTCTGCCTCGTCTGCCAGGTTCCGGAGAGTGTCCAAGTCCAGCGGCGCCTCGGACCCGGCCTGGCTGCGCACGATCCTCTCGAGATACTCCAAGCGCTTATGCTGCGCCGAGGCGCCCTGGTCAATGCCCATTTGGCTGCGGGCGATGGCATGCGTCGCCGGCGCCGACCGGCCGGGCCCCGATGCGGCGCTGCCCGCATCACCTGTGAATTCACACTGGCGCCCTAGGCGGAAGCATCGCCGGCAGGGGACGCCGCCGTCACACCGCTCTTTCTGGCGGCGGCAGATGTCGCATCTAATGGATTTTGTTAATGCAAACGGAGGGCATGGATTGGAGTGGTCAAACACGCACGCCCGCGCGGCCCGTTTGCGCTCCCTCGCTAGGCTTCTGTGGGAGTCGGGGGAGCGATATTGGCTGGACATGAGGGCCGTACCAGCGGCATATATCGCCGTTGGACGGTTTTAGTGAATAGGACTGTGATATAGTATGGTATGAAGTTGGTAGAGTCAAGTTTCAGAACGGCGATGCCCGTCATGGAGCGAGACCCACCAGCCGCCGCGACGACCAACCACTTTTGGGTTCCAAAGTCTTGCATACCTGACGGGGATGTTTTGATGGAAACTGTTTTTTTCAGATGTTATATAAACTGGGTATGTACTCAGCCTACTTATGCAACCGAATGAGATGCACCGGGCTGTTAGAGACCAAGTCCTCGGTCGTTGAGTTATAGCGGATTCAGCCGCTAGAAGAGCTCGGAAGACACCTGGAAGCAACCGAGACCGTGAATCCTCAACTGAGCCGCGGGCAATTTAAGACGCTGGCGCGTGGAAATAACTCGTCTTTTGAATTCTAATTCATAATATGTACTTGTACAAGAAGTATCCGCCGTGGTATTATTTACTGAAAACAGTTCTCATTGCACCGATAAGACTTCATCATCAACCGCCTTTACAAGGCAGACAGTACCGCCTCCATCGTGTTGATCAGGACAGGGACTGCAAAGGTCAGTATTGACATGTGCAAGAAAAAAGAATAGATACATTAACGTACCGTGAGTCTCGTCGAAAATCAGCATTGGACGAAGGCGAACAGTCGAAACACCGCAAGTGCCGATGTTGACGCCACGCTTCTTCATGGCCGCAACAAAGCCAACAGGGTCTTCCACGTCAAAGGCAATAAATGTTCTGCCATCGTTAGATATGTACACGAGCGAATAAAGAGACGCAAATAGTCTTACCCTTGTCCCTTGCCGCGCAGGTCCCGGATCTCAGCAGGATACTTGACCGCGAGCTTCTCCAGCTCAGCGTACAAGACATCACCAACACGAGCGCACTGCTCAACCAGGTTGTTGTCGAGAATCTCCTCAATGACGGCCTTGCACAGCAAAACGCGCGCAGGGTCGCCGATCCAACTACACGCCGCTTGTCAGTCTTTTGTCCTTCTATTCGACGCCAGCCCTACCAAGCAAAGCCACTCACGTGTTGAACTGCCTGTACGCCTGGTCCGGGACCAGCAGCGGGTTTCCGAAAAAGTAGCCCGCGGTCTGCGCCTTTTTGGAAAACGTCACCATGTCCGGCGGCGCGGGCAGGCGCCAGTGCTCGTGGCCCCAGAAGCGGCCCGTGGCGCCAAAGCCCGTCTGCACCTCGTCGGCGATGAGGCAGACGCCTCGGCGCGCGGTCAGCGCGCGCAGGCCCTGGAAGAAGGCCGGCGACGCGTGGTTGTCGCCGCCCTCGCTCTGCACGGGCTCCACGATGACGGCCGCCACGGGACAGCGCCACGTCTGGAGAAGCTCCTCGACGCGGGCCAGGCAGCGCGCCTCCTCGGCCGCGTTGCGCGCCGCGTGCTTCTCCAGCGGGTACTGCAGCTGCGGGAACGGCGCCTGCGGCCAGTCGAACGCGGGGATGTCGAGCTTGTGCACCGCCTTGGAGCGCGTCGTCGACAGGCTGCCGAAGCCGCGCCCGTGGAACGAGCGCGCGAAGCTCAGGATGGCGAGGTCCGGCGAGCCCGGCGCGGCGTTGTCCAGGCAGGACGAGACCTCCTCGGGCGTCCAGGCGCCCGCGGCGCGCTGCTTGCGCCGGTACAGCATAAAGGCCGCCTTGTAGGCCAGCTCGTTGGCCTCGGAGCCGGACTGCGCCGTGAAGATCTTGTCGAGCCCGCGCGGCGCCGCGCGGAGCAGGCCGTTTTGGAGCACGTCGTGCCACTGCGCCGACGGGTAGTTGCCGATGGCTGGGCGGTTGATGAGGGCCGAGATCATGGCGGGGGACTTGGCCGCGGCGGCGAGCGCGGCGTTGTTGTAGCCCACGGGGATAGAGGCGATTTGGGAGTAGCTATGTACGGCCGGTTAGACTTGCTGCGTTTTGGCATGGGGCAAGGTAAAGGACTTACACATCGAGGTACTTGTTGCCGTCGACATCGACAATGCTGGAATGGAGTTAGCTAGTGTGGAAACAGAGGGACAAGTTGGGATTCGTACTATGTTCCCTCGCTCTTGTCATAGTCGACGACAAAGTGAACAGCGCGGGCGTCGAAAACGGTGTTGAGCTTGTCTGAGGCAGCCTTGGACACGGGGCCGGGCACCTGGTCAATCAAGGCAGAGGCAGTCATCTTGGTAGCACGACAAAAGACGCGTTCCGAGTCTGTATTGGCTGGTGTTGGAAATATGTCCAAGACATAATTTTTCTTCCCCTTCAGCGTATATATTCACCAACGGTAAGTTGATCCGCTAGGCCGGTGACGTAACGGCTGCGCGCGGCCACCGACGGCCAGTTCAAGACCGGCTTGGTCGAGGTTGCCGGTCCCACTTGGCCGCCTCCGACCGGCGGGCGGCACGAGTGCTGCGGACGAGAGAAGATGACATTGCAAAAGGGCGATAAAAATGATATGAGACGGTGTCTTGTTGAAATGTTGAATCCGCGTCGTCTACCTTGTATCTTGTAAAGAACACCATGTGACTGCGCTCGAAGATCGTTTGGAACAACCACAGTTAAAGTAACACCAAGCATAGCTACATGATCCCCCTCCTCTTCTAAAAAGCCAATGCTCCGTTGACGGAGACTGAATCGAAGCCGCTTCCAGCAAGCGCTTCCCCGTGAACAGTACGCTCCCCCCAATCTACCACCGACCTTGCACACTAACAGTCTCTACCAGGCCCCTCGACCTCTACCACCATCGTCGACGCCCAGGTGTGATGCCGTATTGCCAGCACGGCGGCGACAGACAGAGCTAGCGGTATTACTAGTGACTGACTAAACACTTACCCCAAACGCGTATTTACTCCAAGATAAATCATGCAACTGAAGTCATGCAACTTATCTAATCGCAGGCCAAGAGATTTTCGGACAAAGAAGCCGGCAACTGGGTCGTCGCCTACGCTTCGTTCGTGTGGCGCCGCCCGGTGGGTGGGCAGCCCGGGGAAACTGGGACCGGAACCGGAACCGGGACCGGCTACACAGCGGCGGCCGCTAAACCTCCCTAGATGCCAATCTAGTATGCGCTGGCAAGAACGAACATTGCGATTCATTTTCGTGAAACGCAGCACGTTTCGAGCCAGCAAGGAACCCCTCTAGTCGCTCACTTTATCATGGAAGTACAGTACCCCGGATTTGGCCGCTCCAGGGTAACTAATGCCGCGAGAAAGAGGGCGAGCTATAGGCCGACTTGTTTGGTATTATATCGGTATGCCAAGCCTCCCTCGGTTGATATCCTCACAGTCGTACATGGCCTCAACGCTACCCCTACATTGATAGGCTCTCTCGCGGCGGCTCGTCTCCTTTTCCCATTATCTTTTTGCCCATAGTTCTTGGCAGATTGTTCTGCACATGGTCAACTTGAAGATCAACACCAATGGCACGGCAAATGCAATCCCGCTATCTAAATGGGTCTAGCCTGGGGCCCCGGCCTTTGGAGACGATCGCGCCCCATTACACCGCATTTGCCACTTGTGGGGGTTTGGAGGTTGATAACTCATTACATGGCGGCACTGACGCGCATTTGCGGGCTTGTATTACCCCTCTTGGTCATTGCTTTGCAGTGGCTTGACTGCTTGTCTACTGACCGTTCGACATCAGAGGAAGGATCAAAATGGGCCAACGCTGATAACAACCCTGCAAATCAAGTCTCGGCCTGTCGGTCAACACCTACCAGTATATCGGTCCCTAGCGTGCCGTCTTTATCATGCGTGATTCATTCTTTCTAGCGTCTCTTTAGTTGAACCTTGAGTTTCCCGTGCTCCACCACCACAGTGCCGACATGCTCCTCCCTCGCCCTATATAGCCCTCTTTCAGCACCAATTCATCATATCCAAATTCCGCTCTTCACGTATGATCCCCCCATAGCGTGACCCAACCCTCGCCATCCAACAATGAAACTCGACGCGGCCACCGCGCCGCCGCGCCGTCTCTCGCAGCAAGACGCGGCCGCGGCCGCCGTCCTCGAGCAGCTCGGGCACAAGCAGGAGCTGAAGCGCAACTTCTCGATGCTGTCGATGCTGGGGCTCGCGTTTGCCATTCTCAACACGTGGACGGCGCTGGCGGCGTCGATTACGCTCGCGCTGCCGTCGGGCGGCTCGTCGTCGGTCGTGTGGGGGCTCGTCGTCGCGGGCGCGCTCAACCTGTGCCTCGCGGCGTCGCTCGGCGAGTTCCTGTCGGCGTACCCGACCGCGGGCGGGCAGTACCACTGGGTCGCCATCATCGCGTGGCGGCGCTGGGCGCGCGGCCTGAGCTACGCCACCGGCTGGATCAACGTGTCCGGCTGGATCGCGCTGACGGCCACGACGGGCCTGCTCGGCAGCACCTTTGTCGTCAACATCATCTCGCTGCTGCACCCGAGCTACGCGCCCCAGCCGTGGCACCAGTTCCTCATCTACATTGGGTTCACGCTCGCCGCGCTCGTCATTAATGCCTTCTTGACCCGCATCCTGCCCATGGTCACGCAGGCCGCGTTCCTGTGGTCGCTGGCGGGCTTCGTCATCATCAGCATCACGACGCTGGCCTGCGCGTCCGGCGACTACCAGAGCGGCGAGTTTGTCTTTACGCAGTTTACCAACAAGACTGGCTGGCCGGATGGTCTTGCTTGGATGCTAGGATTGTTGCAGGGCGCTTTTGCACTGACGGGTACGTTTATTCTTCGCGCGCCGGCTGTGAAGAATACAGCTAACTGATGCGGTTCAGGATTCGACGCCACTGCGCACATGATTGAGGAGATTCCCGACCCTCAGCGCCAGGGCCCCAGAATCATGCTGTACTCTATTGGCATCGGCATGTTTACCGGCTTCATCTTCCTCATCTGCCTCCTCCTCGTCACAAAGGACATTGATGCCGTCATCGAGGCGCCATGGGGCCCTCTGCTGCAGGTCTTCATGGATGCCACCAACAACAAAGCCGGAAGCGTCTGCCTGCTGCTCTTCCCCATCGTCTGCATGCTCTTTACCGCCATCACCATCATGTGCACGAGCAGCCGCATGAGCTACGCCTTTGCCCGCGACCGCGGCATGCCATTCTCCAGCGTCCTTGCCAAGGTGCACCCGACGCTCGACGTGCCCCTCAATGCGCTGATCTGGACGGCAGCGTGGGTCATCGTCTTTGGATGCATCTTTCTGGGGTCCAGCAGCACGTTCAACGCCATCACCTCGGCATCTGTGGTTGCGCTCGGCGTGACGTATGCCATTCCGCCGACCATCAACGTTCTTCGAGGACGCCGCATGTTGCCAGAAGACCGCCCTTTTAAGATTCCTGAGCCTTTTGGTTGGATATTGAATATTGTAAGAAATGCCTATCCTGGAACGCCTGGGCATGAGTTAACATTGGTAGATTGGTATTATGTGGTCCGTTCTTACTACCGTCCTGTTCGTCTTCCCCCCGGAGCTTCCGGTCACTGGAAGCAATATGAATTACGCCATTGCCGCCTTTGGGGTTATTCTGCTCATCGCTGGAGGGACATGGATCTTGGACGGTCGTAAAAACTACCACGGACCTCAGCTCAACGTCGAAACTTTAGCTGAGGGTACGGTGGAGGGCATGGACCCTGCCGAAGAGAAGACGGATCGTATTCCAAGCAGCGCAAAGAAGGAGTGGGTATCTTGAAGATAGCATCAACTTTTTTCCCCTTTAAAAATCCAATGATGACGTGGGTGGGTATGTCTGTTTGCTTTGATGCGACTTCCCAACGAGGAAATGGTCTCAAGTCCGTCCTGGTTTATTTAATTATAGACACAAAACATGAGATCTTGTGTGGCTTTCTCTTGATAGATCGACCCACTGATCGCGTTATCCGTCCCGACTAAGCGATCAGGAGCCGCATCCTCGTCACAGAGCACAGATTGTGAGGGCATGCAACGCTCAGGCGCAGTTTCAGCATGAGTATTATTAGGAGCAATGACAACAATAACCAGAGCACAGAGGTTTCGTCCCCACTCCTACACAACCAAACGGATCAAGACAAGAAATTGCCACTGTTCTGTTTCCTAAACATCATGCGGGTTTCAGGCTGGCTGCTTGTAGATGGACTTTGTGGTTGCTTGTCGATCCCTACGCTGGCGCGTCGAGTCAGAACGTTGCCTAAGCGAAATTGAAAGGTTGTAGGGTGATAGGCAACCCTCAGCAACAAGATGGGGACTGACTGGATATATACCTTTCTGCAGGTTTTGATGGCGCGATCACAGACGGCGAGTTTCATATAGTGCGGCGACCCGGACGCTTGGTTCTCTACCGCTTCCGATTCTAATACCCTCGGGTCCTCAAAACATTAAATGTTAATCTTTCTTAGACGAATAGTTTCCTATATAATACTTCACGTGTATCGTAATTTCCGTTCTTCCTCAACAGCTTCGCCTATCCTTCTCTAACACGCCCAAGTCGCCAACTTGACCTGATCAACTCATCATCCGCTTATTTGAAACATCTTTATCGAATCCGCCGCAGACGCAGACTCCAAAGACTCTTTCCCATCTTTCACAATGCAGCCCCAATATGCTCTCGTCTCCCTCCTCGTCGGGCTGAACGGACACACTGTTCTTGCGGCGCCGACCTTCGGCCTCGTCTGCGACGCCATGAACATGCTCATGGGCGACCAGAACATCATTCCCTGCGGCAACAGGAGCAACAAAGCGCCGCCGGCCAAGGAAGACATTGCCGCGGCCGCGCAGCAGTGGCGGGGCGACACGCAAACCGTGTCCGACTTTCTCTCGCACGCCGAGTCCCTGAGCCCGCAGCAACGGCAGGAGCAGGGCCAGATTGCCTTTGACGCCGAGGAAGACGAGCTCCTCCACAAGGCCGTTCTCGACCGCGTGTTCCTCAACGGGACCGCCGAGAACCGGGACCCCGGCGTGGTGGCCGCCGACGACGTGCTGGTCGGGCAGGGCACGTTCCGGTTCGTCGAGGACACGCTGGCCCTCTTTGCCAAGCGGGGAGCAAAGTTGACGACGGACGAGGTGGCGACGATGATCAAGGCGGTGAACCAGGATCGGTGCCGCAATGTGCTGCCGGCGATTGATTCATACCTCAAGGCGGCGCAGAGTGTGACTGGCGCCAGAGAGGGAACGTTGAAGGCTGTGCGACCGAGCAATTGTTAGTCGGCCGCTTTTGTGGTGTTTGCCTTGGCGTCGACGTTGGCTGTATAAAGTACTGTTGTAGGTGGAATGGACGGTTGAAGTGTATGATGGGATATTTGTTTGTATTAAATTTTACATTTTTCTTTTCTAATTGCTACGGACTGTGCGGCACCCAGCGCCTTCTAGGGTAGCGCGTACCTATATCGGTGTAACAAGCCACAATACAAATCAATACTGGCAGCATTGTTGGTACGAATCATTTTGCCTTTCTCCGTGGCACAGCCAATGGTGCTAGCAGCGCTAAGCCTTCACTGCTGGTAACTACCTAGGTACCTATGATATAGCGACGCCCTGAAATTCATCAGCGACTAGCAGTAGACACCACGATTCATGAGACTATTCGCCGAGCCTGTACTATTTCTAGTGCTAGTAGTATTTTATGGCAACTATAGTTTATACGAAAATTCCTACATAAAACGAAGCTGGTTTAACCAAGAGACGACGAAAGGTAAAAAAGAAGGACTGACATGTGGGATTTGTGCGGGATACAGGGACGATCGGTAATCGGCATCGGTAAATAAAGCGCTAACAAACTGGCCAACTCCACTAACGTTAGTAGTAATCGACAAAGCTGTAACCCCACTAAAAAGTTGAATCTTCAACTCAACATTCTCCTCCCTCACTTTGCTTCCGCGCCTGCACCTCAACCAGCCATGGGCCCTAAGCAAGCTCCTGCCGGTGCCGGCCCAGGCAAGACGAAACCCGGCGGCGCGTCCTCGTCCTCCAACAGCCGCCACGATAAGTCGGCGCCGGCACCGCGACGCTTGCAAGTCCACCTCGCCCGCAACATCCCGTCCGCGCCAGCTGCCTCGGCCCTGCGCGATGGCGCCCTGGACCTGCCCGCCTTTGTGGCCGCGCACGCGTTCGAGATCCGCGCGCTCGAGCAGAGCATGGCCACGTCCAAGGCCGTGCGGAGCGCCCGCGCCTTCCAGCAGGTGCCCCGCGGTCTGCGCCGCCGCGCCGCCAGTCACAACCCGCGCCGCGTGCCCCGCCGCCTGCAGCTGCGAGCGCGTAGGGAAATGGCCGAGGACAACACACCTATGGTCCAGCCGCGCCGCCGCGCGCCGACCTCGACGAGAGCCCGCCTCCGCGCCGAGACGGCAAAGCGCCTGCGAATTCTGGCTGCGCGGACGAGGAGGAGGAAGATGACGATGGCCAAGACGGGCGACGACAAGGTGGCGAGTGGCGTCGTGCCCCAGACGACGCGCCGGAAAATTCGACGGAATCAGCTCAACCAGCCTCCGCGGCCGCCGCCGCGCTTCCGAAAGCGACAGACGGACAAGACGTGGCTGCCCACGCATCTGTGGCACGCCAAGCGCGCGCGCATGACCCCGCCGAGCAGCCCGCTGTGGCGGTTTGCCATCCCGCTGACACCGAGCGAAAAGGTGTACCGACCGACGCACCGAGCACAAGGCGAACGAGGAACACTGGTCTGGGATACGAGTTACATGAGTACCATAGGTCTCTACGGTCACGAGGCAGGACTCTGTCGCGTGTTGCAGCGCATCGGTCTCGTCGATGACGGCTACTGGAACGACCGGGGGAAGAAATGGAGACAGGGCACACGTTCACGCTCGACCGTCATCAGCAGGGAGCACCACGGACGACCACGACCCATGTGCCCGTGTACAGTGGTGTGGAATCCGCAACCCGCCGCCGACGATCAAAGCAGGACGCAGCGACAGGTTTTCCTGCGCGTGCATCCGTCTGCATTCAAAGAAGTCTTTGACCAGCTGCTTCGACTGACCAAAATGGAAACACCACGGCTGTATATCGAGGACCTGCGCTTCGAGATTGGCAGCATCGAGCTCACCGGCCCGGCGTCCACCGAGGCGCTGCTCGCGGTGCTGACGCCCCATCCGGCCGCCGGAAAGTCGAGTCTGAATCACGGCCAAATCTTTACATCGCTGCACGGCCTCACCAATCCCGCGGCGCTGCCCGCCAACGCGCTGCTCGCCACGACCGTGCAAGATCCGCGTCTCCGCTACCCGCCCCGGCGGCTCGACGGCTGGGACGATGACAAACTACCGGAGCGGTTGATGGAGAAGATAGCGGAGTGGCCTTCAGAGCGCGACTTGGATCGCAACCTACTATTCGACAGAAACGCCCGGCACAAGGCCACCCTGCTTCCCACGCAGCAGGCCATCTACAAGCGCCGCAGCTCCGCCGTCGCCGGCGCTCTCCTCCCGCCCACCGCCGCCGACCCAGAAATCCCCATCACCCTGCTCGCCAGCCGCGCCGCGTCCGGCACGCAGACCCAAGGCGCCTGGACGCTGCTGCTGCCGTGGGGGTGCGTGCTGCCCGTCTGGCACAGCCTCGTGCGCTGCCCCCTGCTCTCCGGCGGCAACCCGCGCTTCGCGGGCGTCGACGAGGCGCGCCAGGTTTCCCTCGAGCGCAGCGTGCCCTGGTTCCCGGCCGACTACCCGGGAACGGACGCGGGCGCAGACTGGGAGCGCGCCAAACGGGCAGAGCGCCAAAGGGACTACGCGAAGCGGCCCAAGAGCAAGCGCACGGAATGGGCGTCGCTGAATCTCGGGGCGGGCCGAAAGGGCGAGGTCGGCGACGGGCTGGCGTGCGATTTTGAGCTTATTTTCGGTCTCAAGCCCGACGGCGCGGCGGTGCCCGCAGGAGACCCCATGGAGGGCGTCGAGACGACGGCAGCACCAAAGGCACCAGACGTGGATTGTCTCAGGCTGCTGAACCAGGTATCCAGGGCCGACATTCAGGCCCATCTCACTACCACAAAGCCACAGGAGTTGCCAGACAATGCCGTCACCAGCATCCGCATCACCATCATCGGCCGCGGCGTCGTCACCAGCTGCGCTCGCATCTACCGCTTACCCCAGCCTTCAGCACCAGCGCCCGGCGCATCCCCCACCGTCCAAGTGCCGTCCACCGAGCCTCCCGCCGGTGCATCTCCCGCCCTGCCCGGCAATCTCCGCGCGCAGTGGCTCGCCAAGCTGTCCGAGACGGCACGGCCGGCGACGACCAAGCAAAAGCGGTCCGAGGCTACCGACATGCAGCACCGGAAGCGGATGCTCGCGCAGACGCTGACGGCGCCGCCCGCGCCGTACCCGCCGCTCGCGGCCAACTACAGTACAATTGACGGCCACCACCCGGTGGTGCCCGACGCGGAGGACCTCGTCGGGTTCGTCACGTCCGGATCGTACAACATGGCGCGCGGCCGCGGCACGGCAGTCGGGGCGCTGGCCGTGGACAGGGTGCTCGCGGATCTGCGGACGAGGCCCAAGGAGGCGAAGCTGTGCATCGTGAGGAACGCGGGCGAGAACGTCGGCTGGTTGGCGCGGTGGGAGCATGTATAACAAAAGCGGGCAATAAACAACGTCATAAATATCCGAACCTGGTTAGTGACATGATGATAAATAACAGATTCATACAAATCCGGACCCTGTTAGTGAAATAATGGTACATGATTACCTCCTGTATTTAATTCACGGGATGGCGTGTCATAGGCTGCGCCTATGACGACGAAGGGCGCTGATGACAACTTCAGCTCAACCATCAGCGTATATAAGCCTACTCCAATTCCAATCATAATCATCCAAACTCAACATTCAATTCCATCCCAACCGCACAAAAAAACCCGCTACGATGACCACCAACCTTCCCACCCGTGTCAGCGGCGGCTGTCTCTGCCAGGGCGTCCGCTACACCATCACCTTTCCGCCCTCCCACGATTTCCTCAACGCCGTTAGTCCCCCTCCCCGTCCCTCTCTCGCCCTCCTACCGCTAACCCCGCCAGACATCGACGTGCCAGTGCTCGCAGTGCCGCAAGCAGACGGGCAGCCTCGTCTTCCGCGCGCACAAGGTGCCGCGGGGCAGCGTGGCGTGGACGGCGCGCGCCACGCTGCACACGTACCGCGCCTCGCCGGGCAACGCGCGCGGCTTCTGCGGCCGCTGCGGCGCGCTGCTCTTCTGGGCGGCCGACGCGGAGGATGCGCTGAGCGTGTGCGTCGGCACGCTCGACGACGATGTGCTGCGGGAGCACGGCCGCGTGCTGACGTATGCCGAGAGACACTTGTTCTGCGTAAATGACATCCAGGGCGTGACGGACCATCTGCCGGGGAAGAAGTATCCGCAGAGTGACTGATGGGTTGGCAGTTTTCACTAGGCTCTGTACCGTTACTTTTAGAATTCGTTCCTCTTTTACTTGCATCATCAGCTACATTGGTGTGCCAAGGTGTCGTTTAGACACTTTCCTTTATTCCTGCCGCGTCCAAGTCTCCTCTCTCGTTGAAACGGTCGATAAACTTGACCACCTTGCGCCCTGTCGTGCTCTTCTCAAACCCGTCCGTGTTCTCCAGCACGCGCATGCAAAATGACTCCTCCTCCCCCTCCAGCGACAAGAGCACGCGCACGCGCTCCGCCATGTGCTTGAGCAGCGCCGCCTCCAGGTCCTTGTCCCGCGCGCCGCTCGGCAGCACGCGCAGCTCGAGGCACGGCAGCAGGTCCTGCGCGCCGTTCTGCAAAATGGCCTGCCACTGGAGCAGCCCGTAGCGCGGGTCGTCGGCAATGGCCGCCAGGTTGCGGAACTCAATGTAGTCGCCCTCCCAGTCGAAGCTGAAGCGGCGGTCGCGGCCCTGCAGCCGCAGCACGCGCAGGTGCGCGCGGTCCGCCACCACCGCCGCTGTCGGGGGCAGCTCGTGCAGCGAGCCCACGTCGCCCGAGACGTACCGCACGAGGGGGTTGCGCAGGCGGCACAGCGACGTCAGCACAATCATGCCAGTGGCGCCGTCGGGCAGCGGCCGCGCTCGGCCGACCTGGTCGGGGAAGATTTCGACGAGCATGGTGCGCGTGTCGTAGACAAAGTCGGTTGCGGCGTCGCCGTCGCCGTCGCCGGTCAGCGCCGGGTTGCTGAGCGCCCAGGGCCCGGACTCGGCGCTGGCCAGCAGCGAGCAGACGGCGACGGCGTCGCCGAGCGTGGCGCGGAGAAAGGCGCGCTGCGCGCGCGTGAGCACCTCGGACGTGTAGACGATCTTGTCGAGGCGGATCTGGTGCCGCGTCTCGGGCGGCAGCGTCGCCACGTGGCGCGCCAGGTTGACAATCTGGCTGCTGTCGCCCGACACGGCGTTGGCGTGGTACTTGATGAGCAGCTGCACGACGTCGGGCAGCGGCATGTGGCTGCCGGCGGCGAGCGTGCACGCGCCGGCGCACTCCATGATTTCCAGCGTCAGGTCGAGCGCTCTGCGGGGGGTTGTGCCCGTCAGCAAGGGGCCCGGGGGGGGTGTGATCAGAGGGCAGGAAAAGCTTGGATCTCGAGACGTACCTGTATAAGCCGCCGCCTGAGTGCATGCTCACGACCCAGTCGCGGCTGCTGAGCGTGCCGGTGCTGGCAATGAGGCTGCCAAACTCGGCTCGCTGGCGGCGGTTCTCGGCGCCGTCGGTGGCGAAGAAGAGCGGCTGGGCACCGCGGCCGCCGCCGGTGATGCTGACGTAGCTCGACTGGCGATATGTGTTTTCGGGGCTCGTGTCGTTGACGAGTCGCTGTATCGTGGTATATCTTGGATCGAGGTTAGAGGATAGTGACGTCGTCATGGGCGCTGCTCTCACAGTGTTTCTTTGTGTAGCAGCGGCCAAGCGGCCAGTTGCTCGGCCTTGTCATCGTGTGCCGTTTGCTGGACGATTTGGTCCACGGCCTCCCTGGTAGGAGGGTGCGTGACATTCTCGTCGTAGAAGCAGTGCTTCTTGGCCACGGCCAAAACAACGGACAGTGGATACACCATGACGGAAGAGAAGAAGAAACCTGTTTAATTATGCAGTGCTGGGAAACTATGCAGAAGCAGGCCAAGGTCGGCGGACCAAGAAGAGGGAAGATTTGGTGTATACAAGTTGCGCTTGAGCGACATGTCGCCCCCAGCAAAGGTGCATTTCAAAACACGTTTTCCCCGTGCTACTTGACGTCAATTTGTTTCATCGCTTGAACGACATAATTTGTCTTGGCTCGGCTTTTGTGTAAGTTGGGTCGAGGTGCATAAATGCGTGCATTGGCGCCCGAGAAGCACAGCTGTCTCATGGCGTGCAGATGATGTGCTGTTGAGAGCTCAGTACTACAGTCAGTACTCAGTACTACAGTGCAATCAGTTTAATGTCCAATCAATTTGGCCAAAACACTGCCGCTATTTACGGATTGCATATGCAGCAAGACCAGTATGCGCATACCTAGGCTGAGGGAAGACAACATTTTGTCTTTTTTCTAAACGACCAAGTGCTAGCAAAAATGGGAGAGAAATTATCCATTTGGATTTATTTTTCCCTATTTTCCCCTATTTTCCCCTATTCTTCCCCATGATATGATACCTTTGCAGATGGGTCACGCACGAATTCAAGTGAGTAATTCGTATCGCACCAAGCGTATATAGTATATACCTATCCATCAGTTATGACGCAGCTGCATGCGGCCCGGACAAAGAAACAAGGCGGGCCCTGCTATTATTGAACAGTATTAATACATATTACTTGACGTCTCATTCCATGCCAGCAGGTGTGCATCTATTTTGGTGCTGCGCGACGCACTGTACGCACAGTAGGCGCACTGTCTGCACACCACTGTATGCACAGTGCCAGCAAACGTCGTGCACCCACACAAGTCTATTTTGCTCATCCCATCATCACATCATCACATCATTATTTGTACCTTCAGCCCAGATGAGGTGGCTCCTCATCATACCCTCAGCCCCAGATGAGGTGGCTTGGCGCATCTCGCTCCCGCTCTCGGAAGCAAGCTCCGTGAGATGGAGCCAAGAACGTTCAGGGTCATGACCACTTCGCGAGATTGTTCTGCTGCACATGTTTCAAGAGCTGCTGGCTCCGTATTTATCTCCCAGATAAGTTTGACGTGCTTACTCTCTGCGCATGCGTCTGCTGCTGGAAATCCTCCGCCAGCCACAAACGTTTTCAGCTGCGTTGATATGTGCAGCGATATAGGCACCTGCGGCACCTTCCGAGACAATCTCATCCGATATGTGGATATGAAGAAATTTCGGCGCCCCTGTGGGTTCTTGCATCATTCATCTATTCCGAGACACGCATAGATTACATCTGTGTTTTATTGTGTACGACATACACCTGTGACACCGGCAATGCGCCGTGGCCATCATCGTCGACAGCAGTGGTGCAGAACCAGCATGTATAATATCGCATCTCAAGGCAACCCAATACTACCAAACAATCTAACTTTTTCCCGCTGGCCTATGCAGCCTTCCTGTCGCTCACCTTGGCTTGCTCCGCCTGCTCCGCCTCCGTCAACAGCTCCTCCGTCGTCTCCTCCATCCCAGGAAACGGCGCCGCGTCCCAGCGGACCCTCCGCAGGTGCCTCTCCGGATCCGTCACCTCGTTCCGCGCATGCAGCCAGCGCCTGTTATCCAGCAAGATGACAGACCCCGCCGGCAGATCCGCGGCCGCAAAGTGCATCGTCTCGTGCTCCTGCGCCGCGAGGTGCTGAATCGCGGCCTTGAGCGCCTTGAGCGCCGCCGCCGCCGCCTCGTCCAGCGGTGTCACGATATCCTCGCGGAAGCGAATCAGTCCGGGCCGCCCCTGCGCGTCCGCCACGAGCAGCCGCCCGCGAATCGCCGTCGGCGCCGCCGGGTCCTTGACAAACTCGGCCGGGATGGCGATGCGGAACGCGTCGCCGCGCATGAGCGTCGCCCGCGTCGCCGCATCGAGGTGCGCGCCCAGCCGCGCCGCGCTCAGCACCGACAGCGTGCCCCCGCCGAAGCGGTCAGCCCGCAGCACCTGCAGCGCGAAGTAGCGCGGCGGCGGGTACTCGTAGCTGCAGTCCGTGTGCCACGGAAACTCGTCCATGGTCTCGGAGCGCGCCTGGTGATGGTGCGCCGTCTGAAAAGACGACGTCGCGCCAAAGCTCGGCCGCACGTCCCAGAACCAGCCGCGCGTCGCGCTGTGCGCGAGCGGCAGCCGGTGCCCGTGGTGGGCGTGCAGGCTTCGGATCAGCCCTTCCAAGTAGCGGCTGGCGTCGTCGCGGAAGCCGAGTGTGATGCGGAGGATACCGTCCTGCTCGAGGTGGCGCGCGACGAGTCCGACGTGGTCGACATTCTGGCTGTAGGAGAGATCGGGCGCGAGAAGCGTCGTGACGGCGTGGGACAGCCTGCTGTTTGTCGAGTAAAGGAGCCTAGAGCTGGCCGGGCAGCCAAGCCGCAGATGCGGCCTGACGCAGCCCCAGCCTTTTGTGCGGCCCGAGCGAAGCAATGTGGAAGCTAGCGACGCCATGTTTGATGAGCTATGGAATTTGAGTGCATCTGATAAGAAACCAAGTCGCCAGGTTTTCTCGCGCGGTCTTTATAGGCCTCGTCTCGAACCATCTGTGCGACATAATATATCGTGTATGCGCAAATCCACATACGGATACGTAGACGCTTCTCATTCCATCCTCAAGCCCCTGCAGAGTCACGTAAAGTGGTCCAGGCCCGTATCCTGGTCCTCCTTGTCCGATATGTCGGCAGGCTGTGGACTGCATGCGCGAGGTGAGCGGGTTTGGATGAGCCGCATGGAGAAGGCATCGACCCGCTGTGGGCTTTTGAAGCCGTTGAAGGCATGAATGAGGCAAAACTCACCGAGGAACCCTGCGCGTTATGGAACCCTACAAACTGCAAGTCGAAAAATGCAAGTAACCAACGCAGTCCGCCCCCGTCGCCGAGACTAGCCGTTCGTCGCGAGAGTCTTGGACGTTTCTGACCAGCTCCTTCTTGTTGCAGGTTTTCGCAATATGCATGTCTCGGGGCTCTTATATCTAGGAAAATCCTTCCCACAGCTGCAGGCAACGAAATAAAACGCCATCGCCGCCAGCCCCAGCCAATACTGCAGCCGCGTGTCTCAGCCGCTTCCGTCACCGGTACACGCCACATTATACCCAACATAAAACACTCGATTCGAGACCATGGCCATGCCGGCTGCCGATCGCATGAGACAGGTCCACCTGGGTCTTGGCTCAAGTAGGTGCGCCGCCTCTGCAGACGACGGCACGACAGCCCAAGAGCAGCACGCCGCGCACGAGGCGCTCCTGCTGGCCCGGTGCCCGCCCAGCACCTGGCCGCACGGCTCGTTGCCGTGCCAGCTGCCCACGGCCTATCCTCGTCACGGCCGCGCACGGCCGGCAGCTAGCGGCGCTGCACGGGGCGCTGGCCGCGGCGCTCAACGACATTGTGCCGCGCTGGTGGCGCGACGTCGACGCCGCGTTTCCGCAGCGCATGCCGCTGGCCGAAGACGAGGAGCAGCTTCTCCAGGTACGCCCAGTTGTGAACAACTTGATCTATAATGGCGAGAGGAACCGGAACCCGCTAAAGAAGAACAACAGTGGCTGGACGAGCAGCAGCAGCTGGGTCGGCTTCGTCCGTACGCGACGTGCCAGGGCGCGTGGCGCCCCGACTTTCTCATCGAAGAGGTGCGCGACGACAACGGCCGGGCGACGGAGAATTTCCGCGTGTCCGAGATCAATGCCCGCTTCTGCTTCAACGGCTTCATGCACGTGGCGTACGGCAGCGCGGCGCTCGAGGACATGGGCGCCGCGCAGTCCGGCCTCGTCGCCGCGACCGACGGATCGCAGGTACCAAACTCCCTTTCTCCATCCCATCGGGCTCCGTGTGGCAAAGCAAGCTTACTGACCCCCTGCGCGCGCAAGATCGTCGACGGCCTGTTGGGCCTCTTCGAGCGCGACAAGCCGCTTCACATCCTCAAGGGCGACGAGACCGGCATCGACATGCCCATGTTTGTGCACGCCGCGCGTCTCCGTCTCGGCGGCCGGTCCCCGCGCGTCATCGCCCCGGGCGACCTGCGTCTGTCGGCCCCCGACGCGGACAGCCGCACGACGCTCTGCTGCCTGGCCCCCGA